TTGGAGTGGCAGCCCGCAAAACTGTGGTAGCTGTTTACATGCTGTCGAATTTTAACATGGATTTGACTCTCCGCATGGCTTGTGCTTTGACAACGATATCCCATGGCAGCAATGGGTACCCACGGCAGCGTTGATCCAAGAGATGTTGCTGACAACGCCGCTGCCAGATTTGACCGCTTTGGATGACACAGCTTCACGCAAAGCGCAAGCCTTCCTGGCCGAAGCAGCCACGGAGCAGTGGGTCTATGACTGCAATACGAATCATTGTCAAGCACCTTCTGCGATGGACACGTTTTTGAAGTGGGAGGAGGCCTTCCATGGCCAGAAGCTGGACATGGGTGTGCCAAACAAACGCATGGTCAATAAGTGGGTGCAGCGCTGGCGGGCTCGGTGGGGCGTCCGCCGGAAGGTGCTGAAGCAAGTTGTTAGCAGAGACCCCGCTGTACTGCGCGACAAGGCGCGGGCCAGCCAACTTACAACATTTTGTCTTCTTTTTTTGGGTTGGCTGGCTCCATTTTTGGGGCCGGAATGTGGCCCCAAAAATGGGTCCCCCTCATGTTTCATGCCTGTATAAGCCTACTTAATCCCGGTTGGGCGGTCCCATTTTTGGGGCCAGAATCTGGCACCAAAAATAGGCCCCCATTTTCAATCAATTTCTTCCCTCGGAATTATATTTGGGGACCCTATATATAATAAGGCTTTGTCTTTCACTTCCTGCAACGCTCGAGCAGGTCATGACATTTTGGCGGACCATCTGCTATTGCCACAGCAGGTTCGCAGACAGGGAGCTGCTTTTTATAATCTGGATGAGACTAGCGTCGGCCACACCATGACACCGCCTATTGGATGTGTGGCAAAGCCACGGACAGCAGGTGGCAAACAGCCGCATGCACAGGTGCTGAAGCAACATGTTCGAGGTGCGTGGACTTATGTCAGCGTGATTTGCAACTGCAAGCACATCCAAGGGAAGTTGCCTCATTTTCTCATTGGCACCCAGGTGAAACTCACGAAGAAGCTCTTGCGCGCCCAGCGCGCTTTGCCACAAACTCGTTTGCGTGTTTTGCGGCAAAAGTCCGCTTGGACCTCTGCTGCCAACAGTGCCCAAATTCTCAAAGAGATCGCAGAAGTGCTGAAAAGTTTTCCGTCAAAACAAGGCGTTGTACTCCTTGATTGTGCGCCGGCACACCTGCCACGGCAGGTCATGGCAATGGCACGCAAGTGCAAGCTGCAGCTTGTATATATCCCAGCGCAGACAACGGATTACCTACAGCCGCTTGATCTGCAAGGCTTCTCCCCTTTTAAACAATATTTGAAAAGGAAGCACCAGGAGTTGCGCTCATATTCAGAGCACGGTTTAGTGCCTCCTCTGGCCTGGCTATGGCAGTGCATGCAAGCCCCTCACGAATTTTGGGCAGCTCGGCAATGGCAGAAAAGCTTCGATGCAGTGGGCTGCAATGGCCCAGGTCAAGTGCACAAAGCGCTTCAACACTTGATGGGTGCAGGGGTGCCTTGGCCTGGGCCTGACAGGCCGACACCCCAGCAGATGCAGTGCGTTTGGCCAGCGCGACGCCAAATGGCGCACGCGTATAAGGTTCTTTTTCTTTGATGCTGCCGCTCCGGGTGGATCCAACAGATTTGCAGACGTGGGTGGCACTATAGGACAAAGATTTTTTTTCCATAATACTATGGGGGTACATGGTACGGGAGTCCCTTTGGCATCACTTTTCAAGCCCCCAGTTTTGGGCCCCCACCGGCCATGTTTTGTCACACTATCTTCCAGTTGTGCAGTTTGAGAAAATTGGCATGGAAGCTGTCCAGACGGCATGGCTTCTGCAGCTAGCACGGCTCACAGCTCGTCGCAGAAAACACAATTTGACTATATCTATAGCCATGTCGTCTGCCGCCGCTGGTATGGAAAGGGATGCTGCGGAAGGTGCTGCTGTAGCCCATGTGCCCGGGATGGATGACCGTATAGCTGCTTTGAAAGCTGAAAGGCAGGCCTTGAAACGCCAGCTGCAGCAAACCAGTCGAGAAGTCAAGGCCCAGGCTGGTTCAATTTCATCCTTGTGTGCCATGTTTGTGTTGGTGAAGCTGTATTGACATTCCATCGTGCCACTTGCACCTTCATCTTTCCCATCTCAGGTTTTTTTTGGTGAAGCTGCATTGCACCTGCATCGCACCACTTGTACTTTCAATCTTTTTGTTTCAGCTCTGCGCCGGGAGAAAAAACGACGCAGAGTCCTGAAATCGGCGGGCAAACTGAGCACCCAAGACCTCTCGTGGCTCCTGGCCTTCAAAATGACCCGTCAGCAGTAGCAGCTTCTTCAAAACTATATGTCTCACTGAAGCACTTGTGACTGCTGTCTCCCGAGGAGTCAGCAGCAGCTTCCTCAAAACTATATGTCTCACTGAAGCACTTGAGACTGCTGTCTCTAAAGGAGTCAGACAGGAATGTGGTGAAGTCACACGCGGCAGGTTACCTAACGACTGCTGTCTCCCAAGGCATCAAAAACACGTTTTTGCGTGCTTTGGCACCTGTTTTTGCTGTGGCCCCAAAAAACTACTAAGGATACTTCCAACCATTTTCGCAGACTTTGCATTGGCACGGCAGAGTCACAGCTCATGCACGCATGAAAAACTACTAACCCGTGAAATTGAAATCACAATGGCTTGGACGCAAAACTACTAAGGAATTCTGCCAATTGAAAAGAAATAGAAGAAAGTGTTTCCTTTTTTGTCCATTGAACAATTCCTTAGTAGTTTTGCCACCGAGCCAATACAAAGTTTGAAATTCCCCTTAGTAGTTTTCACACAGAAGCATAGTAGTTTTGCGGCAGAGCCAATATAAAGTTGTGACATCGTGCTTAGTAGTTTCACACCGAAGCATGCTAGTGTTGCAGTGGAGCCAATGCAAAGATTGACATCGCCAACGGCCAGTGAAGCATTTCATCTTGCAGCTGTGATGTGCCACCTGCCGTGACGGCACATGTGTTTCTTCCTAATTCAAAGGGCCTTTCCGGCCACATGTTGGCCCCCCCCTGCACCCCCCGGAATCAAGGTTGACGAAAATGTCTTGCTGTGAAGACCTGACGCTTTGGAAGCTGGCTGCTGCAGTGATTAACACCAGGAAACAACATTGATCCTGGGGGTGCGGGGGGGGAGCCGCTGCTGTGACCCTATACGTGGGGCCTCGTGCTGTGCGTGCAAAAGGTCTGAATTTGGGGTCGCTAACGGACGCTGATTTCAGCCCTCTTCATTGAGGGCCCTCCTTGTACGTAATTTCCGTCGACACTGCGATCCATCACAGCATGAATATTCACAGCCCGGCCTTATGGAACCATTTGCTGGACTATGCCCGAGCAGGACGTTTGCTAGCCCTGCTACTGGGGCCGCCTTGCGAAACGTGGTCTGCGGCGAGAGGTCACCTTCTACCTGGAGAAGACCGCCGCGGGCCTCGACCGTTGCGCACGGCAACTGAGCTATGGGGCCTGCCATTGCTTGCGCTGGCGGAGTTGATGCAACTCAGCGTAGGCAACTGCCTGCTGCTGAAGGGCATATGGCTTTCTGTGGCTGTGACTTTTCATTCAGGGTCAACCGTCCTCGAGCATCCGGCCATGCCCTATGATGAAGCCCTGGCATCGGTATGGCGTAGTGGAGTGCTTTGTCTTTTGCTACGAGGTGGCGTGCCCTTTCGCCGCACTACGATCCAGCAGTGGCGCTACGGATCTGAGGGCATCAAGCCCACCATGCTCATGTACAGCAATGGCTCACTCCCACGAGCATTGACAGCTTGTGAGCTGCAGAATATCACTCGTCCGACCGTACATTTGCTCGGTCGAGATGAAAACGGCCATTTTCGTACAGCAAAGGCCAAAGAATATCCCAGTGCGCTCTCTAGAGCTTTTGCACACTTCTTCAGTGAGCGCCTTGGCCGCTTGACACCAGCTGGCGAAGCGCAAGAAGCGCATCCTGAAGTTTTTGAATTCATTGAGCAGTCGGCACGCATGACTGGCGGCCAAATGATGCCAGACTACCAACCAGTCTGAGATTCACTCCTGGTTTGCTGGCTTGCATGAACTGGCACGAGAAGACTCAGAAGCCGAGGAAAAAAAATATAATTTTGAATCATAGAATCTATATTACAGCTAATAAAAAGGGGTTTTTGTCTATGTGAACATGGGACTTTTTTGTCCCAGCGTTTCACCGTTGGATCCAATGGAGATGTTCCCATGACGGATCCATTCACGGTGCTGCTAGAAATATGGTGTGCCATGGAATGTTAGCGATTATTTTTTTTCCAGCACCATGGATGATATTCTGATATTCCAATTGGAACATGGATAATTATTATGGTGTTATGGTGCTATAAATATGGTGTTCCATGGATCCCATCAATATACCCCCTTTATTTATGTTAGCATATATAGCAGCACCATGGATCCGTCATGGGATATTATTAAAAATATGGATTAATAATCTGGAAAATATATTATATTATATATTATTATATATATATATACCAGCAGCATGGATGATATGGGATATTACCCTCTGGTAATTTGTTACAGTTCGCTATTGAAAATGACCCAGTCGAAATAGTTGATGAAACCAATTGAGGATGGTGATTTTCCATAGTTTTTTGTATGTTTACCAGAGGGTATTACATTACATGTGACATGTGCTATGTTGGTTAAACACATAGTGCCCGCAGAATAGTTGATTCTACACGCAACATACCCAAAAAGATACGGCAAAGTGATTCCAGGATGTCGAAAAGATGAGATGTTACATACGTTACCTCAGACTTCCCCCCACTTTTCCATACTTTTCAGCCACTACCCTCTGGTAAACATACAAAAAACCATGGAAAATCACCATTTTTAATGGGAATATCAACTATAAATGGCCATTTTCAATAGCAAACTGTTAGTTTACCAGAGGGTACTTCGGGGTTGCCATTCCACTCATTCCCCAACCTCTGCGTACCTGCGGAAGCTCAGGCGATGTGAAGTTCATGCAGAACCATTCAGGCTATACACCTGAGCAAGTGGCGGAATTGAAAGTGCAGCAACTCGGATTTGGCTTGGAAAAAGGGCCCTGAAAAAAACTGGGAAGTTCACTACTTCGAATATGTGCCAATAGGGATTTCAATGTCAATTTTATGTCAGATTTATGTCAATTTATGTCAATTTATGTCAATTTTATGTCAATGTATGTCAGATTTATGTCAATTTATGTCAATTTAACCATCAAATTTCTGGCTTCTCCTAAGCAAAATGGCGATTTCTGCCGAAAAAAAACGGATTTTGTCCATCGATAGGATGTCCCGGGATGTTTAACGCGAAGACATGGGATCCCGTGATGTTGAAAAATGTTGAAAACCACATAACTTCACTGTCTTTGCTAGTTTTGGACAAAGGAATTGGTTGGTTGGTGGTTTGGAACATGAATGGATTATTTTCCATTTCATAAAAAAGGGATGTCATCCGAAACCCATAGTTCCGAAGTCCTCATATTTTTCAGAGTGGTTAAAACCGTGGTTATTGCACCACCAACCAGTTGGTGTTGGGAAATGTTGGGATGTTTTCGCTTCGAATGACCTGGGAGAAAACAGAAATCTGGATCAAGAAGGTTGGATAAGAAGAGACTTCACCAGGCTGTCGCTGCCATGGCTGAACCGAAATCAGACCGGTGACACAAAAACATCAGACACCAGGTCAAGTTGTGTCTTGATCAGCTAAACCAGCTGCAGTTTAGTTAATCACAGAAAGAAAGGTCATGTGGTGGAACCAATGTCATAAACCAGCCATGACTGGGAATGGTAAACATACAAATTTATACTATACCTATAGAAATCGTGATTGTTTCTGGGGGGATGGTTTGTTTATGGCATTGTTAAAAACCCACATGATCTGAATTCGCAATGTCCGGCTGAGTTACCAGTCCTACGATCCAGATGACCATGGGTTCATTGCGGGCGCCAAGTTGCCACAGGCGCCAAGTTGCAGCTAAGTTGAGATGGGAAAAATCACGGAAAAGGGATGGGAAAAATGACTGAAACATATGGGTATGGATCAATACCTATTAATACCATTTTTTGTGGGATGAACATCCATTTACCAGCTATTTTGGGGTTCACCAGGGGTACAAGGTTTTGACACACTGCCATATGGGAACATAGGGAAAAATGGGAAATCGACATATGTCCAATTGAATGCTGCCACACTTGGACTTTTTTTTTTTGTCAAAATCATTTATCAGACCTGAATGGAACATTGAACGCACCCCAAAGATGAATGCACATATCCACAGGTAACAATACGTAGATGAAACATGTTGAATATCGTCAATATCGTTAATCTCGGTTTGTTTGCAGAAGGGTTTACTATGGATGAACATCTCTATCTATCAGGATTATATATTTTATGTGCGATGGTCAAAACCTGGGCTCGTTCTCATTTCCATAGAAAGGCATGGTCGCGTATGATCATCAATCCATTCATAGGGGGTTCTATCCCGAAAAGTATTAAAAGGACAGATAGTAATAAATAATCTATATAGTCTGTTGATTCCATAATAAAGGATTCATCATAATTCATCATTAATACCTATGAACATACCCATACTTAGGGCTGCATCCCACTTAGTAAATGCCTCGAAAACCCGCATGGAATATCCCCTTTTTATCTGTCATGAAATATGTGTTGTATATGGATAAACCATGATTAACCACTAAGTCACTAAGTGGGATGCACATCCAAAATAGAAATCCTCGTAATCCCAGCATCACAACGATCCGTCAACACCCCAACAACCGCGAAACAGCCTCAGCTCTTCTTGGACGCCTTTCCGATGTATTCTACCTCGACTCGGCAACAACAAATCACCAAGAACTACATGGAGGAAGTTTCAGGGCTGCATTTGGGGGGTTCCTATTGAAAAGGGCGGGCTACCCCAAACACGCTGCTGCAAAATGCTGGTGATGCAAAAGTCATGTACAAAATCGCGAGCAAAAATGGATGAGAACTGGATGAGAACTGGGGCTTTTCCCCATGACTTAGAAAAAACACCTGAGTGGTGGTGGGTAGACGTCCCTTTTTTGATGAGGGATAGGGGATAACCGTTTCGGAAGCCTTTCGAGCTGATAGCAATCCATGAGGGTAAATCCATCCTGAAGCTGTTCAACACTGGATTTTGTTCACTGATCACCTGGCTTTGCTTCATCTCTGATGTTATTTGTTACCCTCTGGTAAACATACAAAAAACTATGGAAAATCACCATTTTTAATGGGTAAATCCACTATAAATTGCCATTTTCAATAGCTACGTTAAATTACCAGAGGGTAATTGTTTTTTGGAATGGCACATCACACAAAACACCATGGGGGCATGAATTGCGGGGAATGTAGTTTCAGCAATTTGTTGGGGGGGCATTAGATCCAGGTTATTCCAGGTTCAGGGTTGGTGAATGTGCTAATATGTGCCAATATGTGCCAATCTTGATGCATCTTGGGGTTTGTAAACACCACTATACGCATCATATCCTTCTGAACATGTGTATGTCGGTGTTTGATGGAGAGTATCTGGAGATAATTTGGGTCATGTTTCAAGGGGGCTTTGAGGGGACCAATTATTTTTTGTCCATGTGGGAGCTACAGCTCAAAAGTTGAACTTTGGAAGCTTGCTTCCAGCGGTTCCCGACCTGAAGCACTCCAGATGACAGGTGTCAATGTCAAGTCAAACTTGTGATTTCATCAAATCTGACCTTTCCAAGCTTCCCTTCACTATCCTTCACTTAATTTTTGAAAGATTCCTTCCATGGTGAGAAAGTGAAAAAAAAACATAAAGAATGCCATACCTCTAGAGACTGGCTTTGGACCCTGGACTGAGGTGAATCAAACTTACAACGGGTGGACCTTCGAAGCCTTCTTGGGATTTGTTCGGATGGCTGAAGATGAAGCATGTCACCAAGATCTCTTGGATGAGGAGACAGCACACAGATTTGTTTTCTATGTTTTTTTCACAAAATCTGATTGGTGGTGACTGGAACATGGCTGGATTATGACTTTCCCATCATATTGGGAATTTCATCATCCCAACTGACTTTCACTCCATCCTTTTTCAGGGGGGTAGGGCTCAACCACCAACCCGTTATGTTGTTTTGAAGCGAGCCACTATATTACATCGCGGAGGAGTTTGATTGTCTGCTGGTAAACAAGCAGGACTATGTGAAATCGCGCGTCGTAACTTGCTCATCCATAAATCAATTTGTCTTGAATTCCTTTGGATTTTTACATCTGTGTATTTTCTATATCAGATTATCCTTTATCCAGAAACTGTATAATCAACCTTGGTTTTCAATACTTTTTTCGGATTGTCATGACTGGATTTTTCGTATATGGGTGAGTCTTAACACAGTGATACACAGTGTATTCCCCCAAATGGTCATTCTAAATACCCTCTGGTAATTTGTTACAGTTCGCTATTGAAAATGACCATTTCTAGTCATTTATAGTCATTTATAGTGGATTTTCCCATGAATAGCATGGTGATTTTCTTTCCAGTTCGCTTTTTGTTAGTTTACCAGGCCGGGTAAATCCCATTAAAATCACCATTTTTGTTGCTTAAACCCCATTAAAATCACCATTTTTGTTGGTTCAACCCCATTAAACCACCATTTTTGTTGGTTCAACCCCATTAAACCACCATTAAATAGATGGGATTTTCGGGGTTTCTATCGGTCCAGGAGCAGCTGGTTCAAGACCATGCCCTCCGTGCAGAGGAATGCCGGGGGTTCAGAGAGATCTTCATCAGCAAGGCGCGGATCGGTCAGATCTTCCACTATTTTTATGGGAAAATCTATGGAAAGCCTATGGAAAACATACAAAAAGCTATGGAAAGATTGGAAAGATTCACCATGCTATTCATGGGAAAATCCACTATAAATAAATGGTCATTTTCAATAGCTATGTAACAAATTTCCAGAGGGTAGATCTTCAAATTTGGGGAATCCTAGAATCAGGGATTTTTCCAAGATGAGTTTTGGCTAATTATAGATGGTTTAATATAGGTATATACGGAGTATATCTATAAGATCTATGAGACTCATACTTTGGATTAGACAAGTTTGATCCATCGATCCATCATTGAGGATCTCCATGTCAAGATTCGCTTCTCAGCAGCCATTAAAATTCGCCACTTGATTCGAACCAGGCGGATCACAACTGTGCGGTGACGGATGAAGATATTCTGGACATGTTCGATTTTGCCACTGCAGAGTTTAACCAGGTGCGCTGGTGCACTCTGGTTACATCTTGCAACAACCATCCTGGAAACTAAACGCGGGCTTTCGAGATTGCCATTTGACATAATTATGCTGTGGTAGTTCAAACATCTTCAAGCTGCAAGTTGAGGTCACAGGTCTGTTATGTTTAAAAACATGTTTTTACTACAAGGAATGGTCTCAGATCGCCAATATGTTGATCATCATCCTCAAGAATTCCCTTGACGGATCCTGAATAAAAAATCGGGCTGCTGGGGTTGGTGTGACTTGTAAATCTCAGAAGAGTTGTTGTTTTCCGCCGTAGGATGATAACCATGATAACCCCTCTACATGCCTTTTTTTGGGGCTGATTCTGATTCTGCGTTGGCTTCCGTTGGATGTTATTCACAACTGCAGCAGAAGTGGAAAAAACCAGGAGCAACGCATGAAGTTCTTCCAAGTCTTGAAAGGAGTGGATAGTCCCTTGGAGCAGGTTGTGCTGGCGTCATCTTGTGCTGATGGTTTGAATGATGTTCTGATTGGTGCTGACTGGAACATGGCTGGATTATGACTTTCCCATCATATTGTGAATTTCATCATCCCAACTGACGAATTCCATCATTTTTCAGAGGGGTAGGGCTCAACCACCAACCAGTGTTGATTTTGCATCATTTTGGATCATTCATCAACTCTTTACGAAAGTGCCCGGGTGCTTCAACCATGAACCGCATCAACCACTATCCCAACTGGTTGTCAGGACATTACTATGGCACAGCGCTGCGTTTCCCGGACTTTCTTCGGTTCATGAAACGGCTCACAGAGAAGCAGACTGCGGCTGGGCGGAAAGCTGAATCAGTTCACTGTTAAAAGACCTTGATCTGATGGGAATCATGAAAAGCTATAAGCCATGTGAATCCGGCAGGAGGACGGGAGTCAATAGGAAACAGTACTTTTTTGGAGGAAATTTCGACAGGTCAATTTCTGCATCACTTATTTCTGGATATTTCCAAAGAGCGTGTGTCGATTTTTCTCCGCGATTTTCCTAGCTGAAGGGTTTGTCATACAGTATTAATACATACCTACATATTTCTATGAAACAAACAGACCTATTTTAAATGTGCTGACCCCACAGAACATCATTTAATATGTACAGTAGATATATCATGATATATGTAGATTAATATGTAGATTAATATGTAGATTAATATGTAGAATTATGATGATATATGTATATCATCTATTATTGGTGACCTAAAACTTACCGCCCAGTTGGTATTTCATCGCCTTGCCCAGGAGGAGAATCTGGGACTGGTGCGTGCCTCTCTTCGCTTGAAACGCCTGGAGGACGAAGCTGACGCTTGGGCCAGAGCTTGTCGAGTTGTAAAGTGTCTTGGCAGATGCAGGCTGTGAAAAAAAAGATGGAGAATTGATCCAGATTGTTTTCAGAATTTATGGAAATTTTAAGATGATTTCATGGGGGAAAAATCATGATTGACCAGTGGATCTAGACACTTAGATAGTGGTATCATAGGATTATTTTACATGTAACCAGTGGAGTAGCCAAATCCCATACCGCCAAAAAATCCCTGTCATATCGACAAAGAGTTGGTTTCACCGTAGTGGAATGCGTTAGATCAGTTAGATCTATTCAATTTTTGGGGCCATTTCTGGCATATCTGATAGGAACTGGGGTTTCCGGATGGTAAACAAACAAAAAGCGAACTGGAAAATGGCCATAGAAATAGTGGATTGTCCCATTAAAAATGGTGGATCTTTCCATAGTTCTGTTAGTTTAGTAGAGGGTAGGATGGTCTTTGTTTCAAGTCTCCATCTTTTTCTGCTTGCTGCAACTGACTGTCTGATGGATTGGATGTTGTGAATGGGAGTGAGTAACCCATCTCTGGTTATATCGGCATTTGGGGAACTTTTTTTAGATCGACATGAGGACATGAGCAACTCGGAAAGAACCTGTGCCAACATGACCTGATTCAAAGTCCAAAACAACCAGCTTTAATCCAATTTCGAGGTATGTCAGCCATGTTTCACGGCAGTTGGCAAGCTCCAGGATCGAATTTGTCAGAATCTCATCACGGGTTTTCGGTGCTAAGGCGTGGTATGATTCGCAACTTGATCTGCATTACTGGAACAAGTCTGAAGATGTCTGAAGCAAAAGCTGGTCAAGCTGTTTGTCCCAATTGAACATATTGATGACATGGTGTCATATGGATACCATAACTACAGGATTTTAGAAGATATGTCATATGGATCCATATTTGGAGATGCCAAATCATTTTTAAAACACACCAGAACTACAGGATGTTCGGAGTTTTTCATTGGACATCTTTGGATCATCTTGTCCTTGACATGGCGTTTTACGACGAGCCACCCATATCCTCCGGCTGGTGCTGGTATATTAATGGAAAATCACCATTTTTAATGGGTAAATCAACTATAAATAGGCCATTTTCAATAGCATAAGCAGCACCATGGATCCGTCATGACTCTGATGAGGTGCGGGCTCATTGTTCTTCAAGACGGAGCTGGAGGTCCAAAGGATCAAGAGCCAAAGCTCTCAAGGATCGGAAAAGGCTGTCCCGGCTGTCCCTTAAGGCATCCAGAGAAGCTGCTGGTGATCTCCGACATCGGTTAAACGATGTTAGTTAAAACATCATGGCTGATCCAATCTCTTGAAAAGTTGAAGGATCCAGGATGGTTTTCAAGTATTACGGTTTTCAAGTTTGACAGGTTTGCTGCACAGATTGGACTAGCCGAAGAACCCCGGGTTATGACAAGCACCCACTTATCACATCGCGCACGAGCCGCGACTTTCTGCGACTTTCGTTATTAAGCAGCAAGGGTCAGCGACACCTGAGCAGCGCGCCCTGGCTGTTTTTGGTACATAGCTCTTTACCGGGAGTGTCTCAAGAGTGTTAAATCCAGGGCCATCAAAACATGACAAAACATATTAATTAACCCAATTTATAAGGCAATATTACCAGTAACAGTATGACTGTTGAAGGCATGGCCATGAAAAAATCATGATAAACCAAACAAAACATGGGACTTTAGGTGGATTTCTGGTACAAAGACTTGAGACAGTCCCTTCATGTCCCTTCGAGCTCGGCAGTTCTCCCAACTTGGGTACAGCTGGGCGACAGATGCTGGGTTATGTAGCAATGGATTGAATCACTTGTTGTGTTGGTAAAGAAAAACACTAAAAAATTGTCACCATAAATGACCATAAATATCCAGAAAATGGGTGGTATAACTATAGTATAAACTATCAAAATGCACATGGTTATCGCATGGTAAAAAATCCTGCTGACTACGAATACATGATGGCTTGTTTGTCTAGTAACATCGACAACTTATCTTGGATAAAAGACCGATAATTTACAATACAGGGCTTGCTAAATGTCCGGACATATTTCAGTTTTCCCATTCGATCCTTAAGAAGAACCGGTCTGGAGAATCAGAATTCGTGTCAGCGACTCCGACCTCACCATAGATGGTTGGGATGGGGGAAATCATCACCCGAAATGGCCTCTGTCAATCTGATGTCCCGGACAAATGACTAAATATAAATGACTTCTAGACAGCCTTCCTGAAGGAATTTACCATGGCATTTACTTCATGAGTTGAGTCCCATCCTTGTTGCAACAGCCCAGGATGTCAACACAACCCAACAAAACCAGAGTTTTTTCAGGTGGCTATTGGCCCCACTTGTTATAGCACTTCCAATGTATCAATGTCCTCTGCTGAGCAGAGTCGTGTTCACCGCTCCTTCCTGAGCAGTCAAGCTAATGTCAACCATTGTCAAGCTGAGTTACAAGGCATCAGGCGGCCACATTTGTGACATTTCATGATACATTGAGGAGATTTTCACGGTTTACAGGCTTTTACGATAAATCAGCTTTGAGATGCTCTAGGCGCATGTGATTTTTCGACCATGCAGCCATTGAGACGGCACCAATGCTGCCTTTCTCATCAACATCAGCTAATTTTTTGCTAATCTTCTCAGCTGTAGGGGTTTCCGAGTTTCCCTCCAGCAGCATGATGATTTCGGCATTTTCTCCGGTGATCTCCGATCTGAGGCTGGAACACATCTTGCTGCGCCCTGACACCTATGTCGGCTCCACTGAGGTTCAGCACCAGGTGCGGTCTAGGGAGACCTGTTGGGACGGAAAGTTGCCCGAAAAATGAAGTCTCAAATGGCTATGTATGGCTCAAAATTGGATGCTTCGCTAAACCTTCAACTTCAATTAATGTTGTTTTTCGCTACTTGAATAACATCATTTTGTGGATTCAAGTAGTTGGAACTCCAACTTTGATCAACAAAAATTTGCGTTCGCTCCGCAAGTTTCGCACGTCAGGAGCTCTGGGTCTTTGACTCCGTGCAGAGCAGAATGGTCTATCGGAAGATCAGCTATGTCTGAAGCTGAAGCTCCGGGTTGGAGCTGAAGGACAGCATTGTCTGACAGGTTACCCTCTGGTGAACACACATAGCTATTGAAAATGGTGGATCTTTCCATAGTTATGTTAGTGTTAGTTTACCAGAGGGTATGTTGTGTTTTTCCACCTTTTCCCCACTTGATGAGAACATTTAATTGGCATCCATCAGATTTTTGCGCAGAAATCCTGCCGCAAAGTTTTTGAGGTTCCTGCGCTGTACAAGATCTTTGATGAGATTCTGGTGAACGCAGCTGACAATCTGCAGCGCGACCCACAGGACACTGTTTCCATCCAGTCTTTTGTTGTGAAATTCCATGAAATTTCGATATGGCTATTGGTCAAAACCCTGGCACCTAGTGAACCCCAAAATAGCTGGTAAATGGATGTTCATCCCATTAGAATTGATAATAATAGGTTTTGACCCACCCCCATATCTCAATGTCAGAATAGAAGGAGTATGTCCTATGGTATTTCCCAACCAGCCACTGATGAAAAATGCTTGAAAAATGGTCACAGCCATGACATCAGTGTCGACATCTTGAGCCGTTTCTCGGCGACAAAAATTGCAGGGCATGGATAGCATCAAAGTGGAAATCGACCAACAGAACTGCTCCATCTCAGTGTGGAACAATGGAAGGTGCGGATGAATTGGGTTCAGTGACTTCCCATCCATTGCGCAAATATGGTGGATATTGGCCCCCGATGATCTCCGATGATAAACATCATTGATAAACATCATATCTTGCATGTAAACATCAGTTTCCCCGGCGAAAACAGCGGCCTGGGGGTATAAAAATCCCTATTGTTCAAGGCTTGCATAACGAAGAAGTCAGGAAACAAACATGAAAACACCATGAAAAGTCAAGCTTGGCTGTATCTCAAAATGCGTTGACCTCCAAGGATTTGTGCTAAAGAAAACTATAAGATATGATATTTTTGCGATTTTGAGTCATCCAATATGATGAATATACACGACATTTAGATGGTATTTAGTACCCATTTGGATGAGTTCTATGACACCAGAATGGATTGTTTGGCCCAAACTTTGTGGTTTGGTGGTTTGGTGGCCCATTTTTTCATGGCCATCCCTGGCCCTGGGGTTTCAGGGGCTTGCCAGTTGTGATGCACAAGGAGCAGAAGGCAGGTGGCCTAACATTTTGAAATCCCAAATTTTGGAGGAATGAAGATCCATGAAGATCCGTAAATCCATGAAGATCTGTTTAATTGGTCTGGGTAAATTTCATCACGACCGAGCCCTGCGACCGAGCCCTGGAATCATAGATTTTTTTAAGGGAAATCATGCCCAATTTAGTGAAATGGGCCGAACTATTCAGGTGAGTGAAATATTATAATTTACCCTCTGGTTATTTAACATAGCCATGGAAAATCCACCCATTTTTAATAGGTAAACCATCTATTTCTATGGGCCATCTATACCATGGCTATGTTAGTCATAACCAGATGGTACCCAGATTGGTGTTTTCACAACAGGCTACCAGGGTCTTGACTCATAGCATCTCGTAGCCAAATGACACGAACTATCGTGTTTCTCTTGTTGGGTGTTGAAGTCTGACCTATATGTACCATATCATTTTATATTATCTGACTAGGTTACTATTGATATGGTACCTTATATTTATGATTCATATTATCCTTAGGTATCATGATATTGATATATGATCTGATTGCACCATATCTTCAACAAAAACATACAAAAACTATTAAAGTTTATCGATTGAAATTGGTTTTGTTTAAACCTGTCGGCCGCCTCCCATCGATGAAAATTCGGCTCAAGAAGTTTCCGCAACGGGCGCAACGGGCGATGCTGTGTTTACCGACTTGGCGAGGCGCGAAGTCCTGGAAGTCCTCAGATTTGCCCGTGGCTTGCCGCGGCGCGGCTGAAACAGATCACTTGGCCTTAAATAATATGATACCCTCTGGTTATGTCAAAATAGCTATTGAAAATGACCATAGAAATAGTGGATTTACCCATTGAAAATGGTGATTTTCAATAGCTATTTTGACATAACCAGAGGGTACATGTCATTTCGTCAAAATCACGTCTCTTCAGCAGGGCAGGTGGCTAACATCCATAGATTATCGATGATGATTATATAACATCATCTTGGAAATCCATGCATAGATTATCACAATTTATGAACATTATATAGTTAGATATATATATATATAGTTAATCTGGTTGGTGGTTTGGAACATTTTTAATTTTTCCATATATTGGGAATGTCATCATCCCAACTGACTTTCACTCCATCATTTTTCAGAGGGGTAGGGCTCAACCACCAACCAGTTAATATGAACAAATTGTAGCATTCGGTCCCTTCGACGAGCACAACTCAGCTCTGACAGGCCCCGGCTTCGCTCCGTTCGGGCCTGGCTTCGGGTGTCGGCAGCGGCAACGGCAACTGGCTCCTTGGAGCGTTTCGGTGGTAGCTCTGAGTGCTGCAAGGCTGGTCGCCGAGAGGGTGATTTTGGGGCTGCACCCCATGTGAGTAAGTGGTTCATATGTATATTAATATCATATATTATACATATAAATATATATATATTATAAAAATGTAAATATAAATAGAAACATGTGTTTACAGATTTGCGGTATATTAAGCGCGTTTGTGACTGGGTTGCAATGTATCATGCGGTTGGAAAACCCACCGACATGGGATGCACAGGTAGGAGGTGTCTGAGGATAACATGAAGGAAGAAATCTTGAGGTTTCACCAACCATAGCAGTTTAATTAAGCAACATAGAATCTGGACAGAAATGGACGAAACAGCACAGTTTTTGGACGTTGATACATGGATTTCATGGATTTTTGTCCATTCTTGGGCTAGATTGCCAGTGGGTTACCAAGCATGATGTTGGACACATCCTAAACATTGAATGGCATCAGAATGGGCATCCTGGGCATCCTGCGCCAGGCAGAGCCGTGACAAGTTGGAACGTTTCCTCAGTAAGGCTGGGCAAAGATGTGAAAATCTGCGGTTTTTTCTGGTGAAATCTGTTCAGTTTAGAATCATTGAAGCATATCAAGAGTTGACACATGTTGACAAATTTGGAGAAAAATTGGTTGCCTCATTTTTTGGGCGGGGGAGTGCTCTAATTTTTTTTCTTTGCATCCATTGTGGTGGCGTGCGGAATCATGGCGAGGCAGGCGTAGTCAGCCGACGTGAAGCAGGACGACAAGTCAGATCAGGACTAGATACCAATGGCTTCGCCTCGTGGATTTTTGGATTTTTCATGTCAGAAAAAATCATGAAAAATCATATCCCATAGGATCCATGGTGCTAGATATGGTAACATGGATCCCATCAATATACCCCCAATGTTAGCATACCATACATGGATGATATGGGTATGGGAGTGGGTGAAAAGCTATGAAATACCAATAAAATAAAAGGGTTTGTGTGTAAAAGAGTTGTAAAAGGATTTATTCATGTTCATCCCTGGATGATATGGGTATGATTTGTGTGTAAAAGGGTTTGTGTGTAAAAGCGTCTGTGTAAAAGCTTCTGTGTGTAATGACGTTTGTATGTAAAAATGTTTGCGTGTAAACGTGTCTGCGTGTAAAGCGTCAGGGTGTAAAGCGTCTGTGTGTAAAGGAGTCTGTGTGTAAAAGCCTATGTGTGTAAAAGCGTCTGTGTGTAAAAACTTCCGTGTGTAAAAATGTCTGTGCGCAAAAGCTTCCGTATGTAAAAGTGTCTGTGTCTAAAAGCATCTGTGTGTAAAAGCGTCTCTCTGTAAAAAGTTCTGTGTGTGAAAAGCTATACAAAAGATACGATGCAAACTACTGTCTTGTACTTGTGCTATATTGTCTTGATACTCCTCTTTTCGACTGCGTATAACACATCTTTAATATATTGTTTTGTAATATGGTGTCTCCATACTAACAAGAGAAGACCCTGCTCCTCTACGCTCTCGGGCCATCCGTCGTCTAGTTTTGAGAGTGAATGGTATTCCAATTGGGTATGCAGAACGATTTGCAAACAAAACCGCGCATCTTGAATTTTAGGTTTCATGTACACATCAAATTCAAAAACAAATTGTGACACCGAATTCTGGCAAGACCTTGCGGTTGTTTTTTATTTGTTTAGTATTTTTCCGGACTCTATGCCAAATTGGTATGTAAAACAACATGTTCACAAAACCGTGCCATGTCTTTTGGTTGAATCTAGTTTCAAAACCAAATTCACAAAACAAAACTGGTTGTTTATTTTAGTTTTGGGCAAATTGAATTCCAATGAAGTGTTCCAACAAAATGCCGACAAAACGATGGATTGGTCACGCAGTTGGCAAAAAAAACAATGATGCGTGACATTTTTCTGGAAAATTGCCAAGTGGCACCGGTGCAGCTGTGTTTTGACGTGGGTTCCGTGCGGTTCAAACCAGATTCGCACTTTCAAAACTTTGCGATCACCATTATTTTTTCAGCAGTTGTAACTTGGCGGTGTACATCAACAATGGTCACAACGGTGATTGATGATTTGAAACAAGTAGTTGCCAGTCATTGTCAGGACGGTTGGTTTTTAGTATTTTGTTTCTCCTTGAAACCCTGATCATGATGCGCGTCGCCCGTTATGGCAGCCCATATTCACAGTGGGTGCATGGCAAATTGGACGAGTGGAAGCTGCTTAGCTGATGATTTGGTTGTTTGGATGGGGGGTCGATTGAAGCATTTGCTAAACAAATCATCAACCAAGAACTGCATGTAAAAGATCATTTTTCCCGAGAGCGTCTGAGCGCAGGGTTCTTCCAATAGTGGGGTCTGTAAAACATCTTCTCATCTTCACATCTCATCTTCACATCCTCTCATCTTCACATCCGCTCATCTTCACATCCTCTCATCTTCACATCCTCTCATCTTCACATCTGCTCATCTTCACATCTGCTCATCTTCACATCTGCTCTCATCTTCACATCTGCTCATCTTCACACCTGCTCATCTTCACATCTGCTCATCTTCACATCTGCTCATCTTCACATCTTCTTATCTTCACACCTCTGCTCATCTTCACATCTTCTTATCTTCACATCTTCTCATCTTCACATCTGCTCATCTTCACATCTGCTCATCTTCACATCTGCTCATCTTCACATCTGCTCATCTTCACACCTTCCCATCTTCACATCTTCTCATCTTCACATCTGCTCATCTTCACATCTGTTCATCTTCACATCTGCTCATCTTCACATCTTCTTATCTTCACACCTGCTCATCTTCACATCTGCTCATCTTCACATCTTCTTATCTTCACACCTGCTCACCTTCTCTCTCATGCCTTCTTTTTATCTTTCTCTCTTAAGGCCGAGGGTGGTGCCGGCGGCGAGTCACGAAACGTCAACCCTTTCGCACGAAATGAGGGTCGATCGGCAAAAACTGAGGTAAAATTGCGATTTTACGTGTGCTAAAGCAACCCTTTCGCACGAAATGAGGGTCGATCGGCAAAAACTGAAGTAAAATTGCGATATTACGTGTCCCGGAGCAACCCTTTCGCACGAAATGAGGGTCGATCGGCAAAAACTGAGGTAAAATTGCGATTTGACTTGCCCCGGAGCAACCCTTTCGCACGAAATGAAGGTCGATCGGCAAAAACTGAGGTAAAATTGCGATTTGACTTGCCCTGGAGCAACCCTTTCGCACGAAATGAGGGTCGATCGGCAAAAACTGAGGTAAAATTGCGATTTGACTTGTCCTGGAGCAACCTTTTCGCACGAAATGAGGGTCGATCGGCAAAAACTGAGGTAAAATTGCGATTTGACTTGCCCCGGAGCAACCCTTTCGCACGAAATGAGGGTCGATCGGCAAAAACTGAGGTAAAATTGCGATTTGACTTGTCCTGGAGCAACCCTTTCGCACGAACTGAGGGTCGATCGGCAAAAACTGAGGTAAAATTGCGATTTTACTTGTGCCGGAGCAACCCTTTCGCACGAAATGAGGGTCGATCGGCAAAAACGGAGGTAAAATGGGATTGCGATTTTACTTGTCCTGGAGCAACCCTTTCGCACGAAATGAGGGTCGATCGGCAAAAACTGAGGTAAAATTGCGATTTTACTTGTCCTGGAGCAACCCTTTCGCACGAAATGAGGGTCGATCGGCAAAAACTGAGGTAAAACTGCGATTTTACTTGTCCTGGAGCAACCCTTTCGCACGAAATCGAATGAGGGTCGATCGGCAAAAACTGGGTAAAACTTGCGATTTTACTTGTGCCGTTCTTGTCTGTGTGTAAAAGCGCCTGTGTGTAAAAAAGCGTCTGTGTGTAAAAGTCTCTGTGTGTAAAGCTCTGTGTGTCAAGCGTTGTGGTCAAAGGTCTGTGTGTAAAAGCGCCTGTGTGTAAAAAGCGTCTGTGTGTAAAAGTCTCTGTGTGTAAAAGCGTCTGTGTGTAAAAGCGTCTGTGTGTCAAAGTGTCTGTGTGTAAAAGCGTCTGTATGTAAAAGTGTTTGTGTGTAAAGGTGTTTGTGTTCAAGTGTTTCTGTGTAAAAGCCTCTGTGTGTAAATGTGTTTGTGTGTGAAAGCGTTTGCGTGTAAAAAGCGTCTGTGTGTAGAGGTTGTCTGTGTGTAAAAGCGTCTGTGTGTCAAAGCGTTTGCGTGTAAAAGCGTCTGTGTGTAAAAGTGTTTGTATGTAAAAGCTTCTGTGTGTAAAAGTGTTTGTGTCAAAGTGTTTGTGTCAAAGTGTTTGTGTAAAAGCCTCTGTGTGTACATGTGTTTGTGTGTGACAGCGTCTGTGTGTAAAAAGCGTCTGTGTGTAAAAAGCGTCTGTGTGTAAAAGCGTCTGTGTGTCAAAGGGTTTGTGTGTAAAAGCGTCTGTGCGTAAAAGTGTTTGTATGTAAAAGCTTCTGTGTGTAAAAGTGTTTGTGTTACAGTGTTTGTGTCAAAGTGTATGTGTAAAAGCCTCTGTGTGTACATGTGTTTGTGTGTGACAGCGTCTGTGTGTAAAAAGCGTCTGTGTGTAAAAGCGTCTGCGTGTAAAAGCGTCTGTGTGTAAAAGAGTTTCTGTGTAAAAGTGTTTGTGTGTAAAAGTGCCTGTGTGTAAAAGCTTCTGTGTGTACAAGCATTTGTGTGTAAAAGCAACTCCTGTGTGTAAAAGGGTCTGTGTGTAAAAGTGTCTGTGTGTAAACGTATCTGTGTGTAAACGTGTCTGTGTAAAAGCTTCTGTATGTAAAAGCTTCTGTGGGTAAAAGCTTTCTGTGTAAAAGTGTCTGTGTAAAAGCTACTGTGTGTAAAAGCTTCTCACTATTTGGTCTTGATACTCCTCTTCTCGACTGCCTATAACACATCTTTCATACATCGTTTCTAAAATTGCGTCTGCATACTAACAAGAGAAGACCCTGCTCCTCTACGCTCTCGGGCCATCCGTCGTCTAGTTTTTTCAGTATTCGCTCGAGGTATTATCTTCCCACCATGCGACTTTGGCTTCTCCACCAACTGGCACAAGAACTTGCTGTGCAGCTGGACAACGAATGGGGCAGCTGGCAGGTTCCTGTTTTTGAGACTGAAGTGCCTCCGTCAGACTCCCAGTTCGTGATTTTTTTTCTTTCAGCATCATTGAAACCCTGATGTTTGGACAACCGGTTTCAAAAATACTTTGAAATACAAAGGCGTTCAAAACGTGGACCAAGGCTGCAAAAAAGAGTGTGGAACTCAGAAACCACATGTTGAGTTTCCAGTGCATGCAGCAATTTCAAACATCCCATGAATTGCTCAAGAAACAAATTCTCGGAGCTGGACTTGATCTCGTTTACCCGTTTCCGGATAGTTATATAGATGGTTTTGCAAGGTTTCGGGTGGTTGCAGGGAACAAATCTATAGTGATGCAATTTGTTGGTGAGTCCGTGCGTCCTGTAGTTTCTTAACTTGGCAAGTCGCTCAGCGGTTCATATCTATTCTCCTTGCTTGGTTCAACTCAATTCTTTGCGTTGCATGGTTTTCACTACGGACTTAGCGCTAGTGGCATTTTGTTTATCTGAAGGCAAGAAACACGGCGCTGGAAAGAAACGTGCGAGGCTTTGGGCTGGCGGCTTCAAAATTGAAATATGGGCAGTGCATAGACAGTCAACTCCAGTTGTGCAACTGTGACCTTGCATACAGACAGCCCATGACTTAGCCAATCAATCCGGCAGGTCCCTTTAGTACACTCACAATGTGTTTTCAAATTCAGTTCCTTGCCCAACTGTTCCATGAATCGTTCAGGCGGAGACGTTCAAAGAATCATTCAGCTTGTGCAGAGACTGAAGAGGTTGACGCGGCTGACGATCATGCGGATCGTGATGGTGGCATTGTTGAGGCCATCTGCACAAGTTGGTTCAGGATGTGTACTGTGCCCAGCTCGATTCTTCCTAAGGTGCTGACTTTGATGCGTGCATTGCGTCATTCTGACGTCTATCAAATAAGGTTCTCACTGGGTTTAGTTTAGTTTGCGATTTCAACTTGTCCCGCGTAACGCTTTCGCACGAAACGAGGTTCGATCGTCAAAAACTGCAGTGAAATTGTAATTTCTCTTGTCTAATCGCGACCATTTCGCATGAGATGAGGTTCAATCACCCAAAACTATAGCAAATTGCGATGTCCTGTGTGTAAAAGCGTCTCTGTGTAAAAGCGTCTGTGTGTAAACGCGTCTGTGTGTAAAAGCGTCTGTGTGTAAAAGCTTCTGTGTGCAAAAGTGTCTGTGTGTAAAAGTGTTTGTGTGTAAAGGCGTTTGTGTGTAAAAGCGTGTGTGTGTCAAAGTGTTTGTGTGTAAAAGCGTCTGTGTGTAAAAGCGTCTGTGTGTAAAAGCGTCTGTGTGTAAACGCGTCTGTGTGTAAAAGCGTTTGTGTGTAAAAGCGTCTGTGTGTAAAAGTGCTACTGTATAAAAGCGTCTGTGTGTAAAAGCTTTTGTGTGCAAAAGTGTCTGTGTGTGAAAGTGTCTGTGTGTAAAAGCGTCTGTGTGCAAACGCGTCTGTGTGTAAAAGCGTTTGTGTGTAAAAGCGTCTGTGTGTAAAAGCGTTTGTGTGTAAAAGCGTCTGTGTGTAAAAGCATCTGTGTGTAAAAGCGTCTGTGTGTAAAAACTTCTGTGTGTAAAAGCTTTTGTGTGTAAAAGCGTCTGTGTAAAAGCTTCTGTGTGTAAAAGCGTCTGTGTGTAAAACTGTCTGTGTGTAAAAGCGCCTGTGTGTAAAAATGTCTGTGTGTAAAAGCGTTTGTGTGTAAAAGTTTCTGAGTGTAAAAACTTCTGTGTGCGTAAAAGGGTTTGCGTGCACCCATAGCTTTGAAATACCCATATCATCCAGGGATATCCAGGGTATGTACACACAAAAGCTATGTTTTCCAGGGATGAACATGAATAAATCGCAATTTTGAGGTAGCGTGCCATCACCCATTCCATTGAAGCCATCATTTTGGCCTCACAGCAAGATCTCTATGGCCATGCAGTTCTTGTTTCCCCACTTGGGTTGATAAAACCCTGCTGGTGGTTTATTGTACTCATTGTACTCCTTTTCTCTGGCTACATAGCCAATTTTGATTGGTCATATCTCCATCTTTTTTCTGGGTTTGTTTGAGAATGGGATAACCCCCAATTCCACCGATGACTCCAAAATGATGCACAGACGACCAGGAGCGTGAATGGAGCAGGAAAGCCCAGGTTTTGGGACTGGGATAGGTTGCCTTCGTTTGTGAATGCTGGTTCTCCATATGGGGTGTGTTTGAAAATAGGACATACCCTGGCATGCCCAACCCAAATGATCCCAAATGGCAACTTTCATCGGGATAGTGATGATTGATGATGATTGACTGGTGGATTTAGGGATATTTTCACTACTTTCATCAGGTTCTTACGGCGATCATTCCTGACTCTTGGGTGAAAGTTCCCCTGTCATCCGCGGCTACCATCCCACGATATTCCACATCTTCGGGAGTTGATCATGATGAAAATGGTCTGCCGATATAACATGTTCCTAAAATATGGCATGTTAGAGAACATCATGCCAAAACAAAAAGGGATTCCGGGATTCCGGCGAGTTTGCCATAGTTTTCCCAGAATTTTCAGAGAACTCCAGGATGAAGTTCCATAAATTTCCCCCAAAAACCAAGGCCATCATCCGGGACCCATGGCATCCCACAGAGCCCTCGGATGATGTGCACCTGGAGGGCTACGGCCTGGTGACCATGCCGGATTGGGAGGCCCAGAGGCCTAGCGACTTGGTGGTGATGGTGGTGACATGTGGATTGATGGGTGATTTGATTTGGGGATTTACCATGAAAATCATGGGGAAATGTGGGGATATTCAATGGAAATCACTGAGAAATGATGAATGAATTTCATGAATGATGAGTTTGGGGATTGTACAATTTACAATATTGGGGATAATCAGATCAAAATAGAAAGATCTAGAAAGGGCAAAGATGTTCATCTGGAATCTATCGCGGAAGAAACCAACGTCATTACCGGTTCACAAGGTGTGCTTCAAGTCTGTCTGCGCAATCGACTCACATTTCATGTAAGTCCAATCAAACGACGTACGGGGATGGGCGAATATATCTATGAGACCATCGGAATGGGATTAACATCCATTTCGGTGACGTTGAAGTTACGTCAACCAGGATATCGCATGTTTCACCCATTCCAAAATCCAAGGTGGCCATATATGACATGGGCTAAAACCTTGTGGTGTTTATAGGATTTTATATGTATAACGGTATAATCCCTAACCCCACAGCCACTTTCGCCCAGGAGTGGTCTTGTTCAACAAGCCTCCCGGAGTGGTGACTTCTCTCCGTAGCTCGAAACGACAAAGTAGTGATTTGCACCTGAAAGCCTTGCAGGAGAGCTGAACGACTGCTGATGCTTGAAGACTGGTGAAATGAATGGTGAAATGAACTGGTGAACATGTTGTAGTTAGAACTTGAAGTCGAACTATAGGGATCATCACCAGAAATGGATAGAAATGGAGGATTCTTGGCGTTTCGGGATCATAATTCTTGAACAAAAACTGACCAGATCTGCAACTTAGATCCCACAGGAACCTGACAGGGACCTTTGGAGGATTTCCTGGGTATCTCCACATCCAGGACGTGTTGCCTGAGCCATTCCTTGGGGATTTGAGTAGGGTGCCAGCCTTGCGACCTGTAGGTGGGACTGGGGGGAGGGATGGTATTTCTTTGGACAAAAAAAGGGAGCTGCCAGATAGCCTACATCCGTGGCTGGAACCATCTAGTTCGATGATTTTCATCATTTGTCCATTTCAAATGTCCAATTGTCATGTTTGATTTCCGATGGATAAAAAGGACTTGACTCAGGTTGGAACATGTTGAAATGTGGACAGATGTGGACAGCAAGGACAGGCTGGCCAAAATGGAGCTTTCACATGTTCGTCTCTGTCAAGGTGCAAGTTTCATACTAAAAGCATGTGATTTGGGAGACTTGGAAAACTTGGGATGCACTTGGAGTTTTGACGCCTTCTAGTTGCTATGTAACAAATATACAGTCTAGTTATCTAAGTTCATCATGATTCATCCCTTTCTCAATATTTTTGTCATCTCGCTTAGTCCTATGAGTCAATGGCCATGCAACAGGATCCGATTGAGGACGGAGGTACCTACCAGTGGGATATTAATGTCATATTAAGCAAGGGAATACAAGTGATATGATAATCCCTTCCCCAGACACACAATTTTCAACACCAGTACCATATATTTTTGGCCTATATATATATATCAGGCCTAAATTTCCAGGGAATCTCCCTCCCAACACCTCCGTCAGATCAGCCATGAATTTCTTTCCAGGTCGCTTGGATGCGCAGAGCGTGGGACTGCTGCTCCTGACCGATTCCTCGCAGCTGGTGAATCGCCTGACGGGCCCGGAGAGCTGTGAAAAGGACCGGGGATTGGGAAGCCACCAATAAAGGGCACCCGAAATTTTTAGGGGGAACAGCACTACTACACCAGGATGAAGATGGTATTTAGAATTCTTTAGATGATTTTAGATGTATTTGGTATTGGAAGGGATGGTTCAAGAGTGGAATTTGATATAATTTGATGATATTTTGATGAAGATGTCAAGAACCTTTGAGTCAAAGGGGGCTGATTTTTGTACCCCAAACGTGTTGAGGCATGGCCAGGATGCATCAGAGCACCCTGGTGGAAAACAGGTGCAAAAGTCAGATCGTCGTAGATCAACGGCTAACCCAAAAACACATCGGATGCTTTTTTTAGAATCGTGGAGATATTTCTAGTATGTTGTAGTCAGATAACTAAATGATCTAAATGATCTAAATGATTCCTAAGATCTTTTTTTGGATTCGGCATATAGCACGGCTGGACCAGCTTGGGATATGCTGCCTCGGGCACCAGGAGTATCTCCTGCGGGTGACTCCAAGGCCCAATGGTTGGCAGCTGAAGCAACTTGCGGAAGGCGCAGCATTGACATCACTGCCTCGGTAGAACTGAGCTGCTGGTGGTTTGGTATACTTTGGTTTACTTTACTACCAATCATTACAACGAAATTTCTTTGGTAATTCATGTGGTATTGTTTTTTTCAGTACCCCCAACAACCAATGATAAGAATTTGTGCCCACTACAGGTATACGGTATAATCCAATGGTTTTCTCGTGGTTTTCTTGATCATTCTTGGACCACATTGGATTTTGATTTTTTTTCGAATCCTCAAAATCCTCCACAAGATTTATAGGCTGTCTATTGTTTCGGGCTACCAAGTGATCCCACCCTTCAGATCATAAATCTGACGGCCAGGTGTCCAAATCGCTGATGGTAAAGGGCTGACGAATCCCTGCATGGTGTCTCTGGTGTAGCTCAACGGCAGGTGGCTTATCGGCTTATCATTTAAAACCACTGGTTAATGATATGTTAATGATCATTACTCCTATAAAGATATCCTAGATTAGTTCAATTGCAATGAGCAGAACCAAAACTGATTGGTGGTTTAGAACATGTGTTATTTTCCATATTAGTTTCCATTTCATATATGGGCCGTCATCCGAAACCCATAGTTCCGAACTCCATCATTTTTCAAAAGAGATGGTTAAAACGCACCACCAACCAGTGCAAAATCGATGCCATAAACCTACCATGACTGGATGACTGAAATCTCACCCATCAAAATGGTGTTTTTCGCTGCAGGGACCCTAGTTGGAGATGCGCGCCACTGAGTGCATATGTTTAATCATTGCGGAGTGGTCCATTTTCACTTGGGGAAACATTGGGGTTATACAATGGTTCCGACATCTTATGAACCATATTGAACCATATACCCAAAGAATGTCTCAAATATTGATGTCATGGCAAGCGGAAATCGGAATGGGAATGGTTAGACAATAGAAATTTACTTCCTTAAGTACACATTCCCCAAGAACAATGGATACATAACTTAAGAACCACGGTGATAGGATGTTATAGGATGTTATAGGTTTTGTATCCCAGCTTATGGGCTTTATAACCATGATACCATGGTTATCCCCATTTTCAAATTTCAACTGCAGATCTCATTGGGTCGAATCTCCTGAGGCAAGCAGACGATGGCCGTGGCGTCGTGCGCTTTGTGATCCATGAAGGCGCGGAAAAAGTTGGCAGGTTGTGATGCGAAAATCATTGGCACCTAGCAATTTCTTGTTTTTATAGGGATGATAATGGGATAATGATGGGATAAGTGATATCAAAATAACTACTGATTGGTGGTTTAGAACATGTTTTATTTTCCATTTCATATATGGGATGTCATCTGAAACCCATTGACGAACTCATATTTGTCAAGAAGGTTATTGCACCACCAACCAAATAAGATGGGTTTCTCTGAAAATTCTGTAGCCCTAAACCCAATGGTTAATGATTCATGATCATTACTCTATTTATCCTATTTTATCCTATATTTTCAATGGCTATTTTTTGGAGATATACAACATGTTCAGAAACAATGTTCAGAAACACCCAGATACAAGGAGATACTAGTCCTGTTGGTCATCATTGTGCTGAGGTCGAAATCGACAGCTTCGTCAGATGTGCAGAGTGGTTGGATTGGAAGTGGAGTGGCTCATGCGATTCTCTGCATGTTTTGGTGTACTTTTTTTCGGAAGCTCACAGTGAATTGCAATAATGGCAACATGCTCATTTTAATCATTTTATGAGATACTTTATGAGATAATATATGGGATCATTGACACTTCTACAAACATCTTGTGTTTGTTGCTTCCGATTGATGCCAAAGGTTTCATTTTACCCATCCGCTACCAGATCATACGAGATACGCCCATCCAGAAACTATGAAATCCACTTCTACTTCCCCATTTTTCCCCATTATCAACCACACTCGGAGTTCAAGATGTGTTTTTCACATTTTTTCACCCGAAAAAAACCCCTGGGATTTCCATAGGAACTCGCGTCGGGCCCTTGAAACTGGGCTCTTTGCAACTGGGCAGTGCCCGAGAAGCCACCCATGACGAAGTGGCGATGGTGAGATGAAGGGAAGATCGGAATCTGACCTGGAAAATTTCTGGAGAATGCCTGGAAAATAGCTTGAAAATGCCTGGAAATAGCTGGATGTAGCTGGAAAATGCCTGGAAGTTGGAATTCATTGGAACCTGAACTTAGCCGTTGGATACTGCAAGATGCAAGTGCGATGACTAGTGGCTGGCTTCAGCAGGAAATTTGGGCGCTCTGGCCGCAGCTGCATTCTCCAAGAGCTTCGAAGGACGACAAGACTGACAGCGGTTGAACGGTTGGAATCTGCCATGCTGCCTGGATGACAAGAGTTCGATGAAGTACCTGCGGGCCTGGTTTTTTTACTGCGCGGTTTGATCATAGAAGAGCTTGAGCCAAAGAGCTTGATCTTTTCTGATTCCCACAGGCACCCATTGGTGAGACTGAGCAGAAAAAAGATCTTAGATGAAGCAACTGATGTCCGCAACGCAGCAAAGCAGATCCGATCCAAAAAGGTGCTGGTATGTGCTGGTTCTTTCAGATGGGAAAGGTGGATCATGCCTGTTTTCCCTGCCCAAATGGCAATACAACTTCTGTCATTCAAAGGACGTATGACCAGTACTTTGATGCAGTCCTACCTATGGTAGTACCTATCCTGATCTTTCCATGTGTGTTGCATGGTTTTTTGGATGCACTACGTCAGATTTTTGGAAGGTCTACGTGCCGGAGTTGGTCTTTGGCCATTTGCTCACGAGTGACAACTATGATGACACGGCCTGCAAGGCGGAAATGAGCTGAATGTACTTGGTGTATCATGGGTTCTCACACCCTGCCAGGCATACTAAAAGGGCTAGGTGATGGCAGGTGAATATAAAATAATATTAAAAAACACCATTTCAATTTCAATCCATTTCATAATGTCATAGTATCATAATAGCATCTCCTATATCTCATCAGTTGGTGTTTCCAATTCATTTGAATCCACCGGGCAGCTGTTTTGCAGGTGGTTGGCGGCCGCAATGGCTATGGGGCCAAGCTGGCCAACGTGTTTTCCACGGAGTTTAAAGTGGAGACTTGTGATGGCAAGAACAGGCCACCCCAGCTGCGCCAACGATTTTTTTTGGAAGCCATGGGTAGCCGGAGACCCCGGATTAGTAGCTCATTCGTGGCCCATTAGTGGGTGATTCAGCCAGAGAACTTCGATGTTGAGGAAAAATATGATGGTAAAGGAAAAAAATGAAAAAGACATGCAGCCAAGTTGATGAGCCAAAATTTTCGCTGGAAATTCCAGCTGGAAGAGTTCGCTGTCGCATGTGTTTTTTTTGGTCAGGTTCACGCAGGTCTTTCGGAACAACATGCAGGCAGGGTGGTGTCACCAAGCCGCGAAGCAGTTGCTGAAGCCTGGAGCATCGGCTGATTTCCAGGTCAAAGGCAAGCCGGAAATTGTGCCAAGTAAGGCCCCGCTGGGAGTGACAGGTGTCATGGCGACTCTGTGTGGGAAAAGGTTCCATGGAGTTCAATCGCGAAAACGGCTGATGTCCAAAAGGTTTGTGGAGGGTGATTCGAAAAAACATATTATTATAATATTGTTTTTGGAGGTTTTGAATTCATCCCAATCTTTTTAGATCTATTCTGAATATCTGCAGAATTGACTATAGATCTATAGACTCTATAGTAACTAGTAGCTAACTTGACAGTTTGGGAGATATAGCAGCCATTGGACCAGGAGAAATCCTTCACGTGCATCACCTTCAAGCCAGACCTTGCCAAGTTTGGCATGACGAAGTTGGATGAAACTCGGCTTTTTTCGTGGAGAAATCGGATGTCCAAAACAGTTGTACTTAACACATCTTAAATGCAAAATGTGGTTAGATATGGTTAGATTAAAAATCAACTGAGACTATAAACAATGTCAAAAAATCTGAAGGTTTCAAACTTGGGCCGCACCTATGGGATTCACTCACAACTGTGGACTCTCCTTGCTCAAATTGCATTTTTTTTTAATACAATTTGTTTGCCAATTCTTGCAGGTTTTGGAGCATTTATTCGATCCGAATCACTACTTGGGCCTCAAGCATTGGGGTGAAAAATCTTGTGCTCCAACTTTGGGATTTCTGGCACCTGGCTGAAACGCGCAGAGCCACATCATTCGCAGAGCCTTCAGGATGACATCGTCTCGCTGTTGTCCAAGCGCGTCTACGACGTGGCAGGGTCGACACTAGTGGCTCGACAATGCTGGTGGTTTGGACATGTCAAGGGCTTGAGATCCAAAGTTCTTGGCTTTTTGGGTCTTCTGAAACCACCAACACCATCAACTGGAAGCTTGTGATTTGGATTCTGGAGCACATTTAAGGAACTTTGATTCGTACCTGTTGGACCTTTGTGTTGTGTCCTGTCCATGCTTTGGATATCGAAGCTAAAATAAAATGTTCTATTCACATGATATTTCCATGACAGAATCACGATTCCTAGCTGAAGGGCGTACAAAATCCATGTCATCCTGCTGATTTTTTTCCCTATGCTCATCCCTGCCCCGAGGAGAAGTGTGGTGTCCACTTGAATGGAGAAAAACTGGACATCAAGAACTTCAGGGACTACTGTGATCTCTACTTGCCTTTCTGGGCATGTTTAAAACATGGATTTCCATGGATTTCCTTCGAAACATCACCTGTTGAAGCAGTTGCATCTGATGATCATGGTGAGGCCCTTGCGCAATAAAGTTGCTTCATGAGCTTATAGTTATATCAGTTCTATTCCCCATAAACCATCCATAAACCATCATAGTTCACATGAATTCACAATGAAAAAACATGGTTCACCAATGGTAACCATTTCTTATATTCCCTATAAACCATAGAATTCACCAAGTTGCGCTAGTCAACTTAGCCTAATATTTAACCCGGTGCCAGGCTGACCCGGCAGGGTGTGCCGCAGATCTACGAGAAGTGCTCGGACAGGCCGAGCCAAGCCGAGTTTGTTGGAAGACTTGGATGAAGTATCAGGGGGATAAACAATGGCTAAACTCGTGGTTATTTGTAGTTGTTGATGGTTATTGATGGTGATTGTTGGTGGTTATTGATTGATGATTGATGTTTGTTGATGATTGTTGGTGGTTGTTGAGGGTTGTTGATGGTGATTGACGTGGCAATTGATGGTGATTTTGATGGTGATTTTGACGGCGGTCACTGAAGCGGTCCTAGTTTTTGGCATATCCCTGTACTCACCGATGGGAGCCACGGATGGTGTTCGGGACGATTCGGGCCGTTAAGGTTTTCAGCCATCTCAACTATCTATTTACATCTATTATACATCTATTGTACATCATCACCAGCCCCCAACCTTATTTTTAAAAAAAAAAACTTCAGATAAATTGTAGATTTCTTGACCCCCAGCCCATCTCAGCCCCACTTGTTCCATCGCGACTCAGATGGGAAATCTGCGTAAGCCTCACAGAGAGCGGCTTCAATCAGGCGCGTTAAAACGCTGCGTTTAAACGCCGCAGCGTTTTAGGACAGAATGAAACATGGTAATATCTTACTGTTGTGGAAAAATGGAAATGGATGAAATGGCTAATAATAGTTTACTGACATACATATATCATACTAGTATCATATATCATATCATAACCACTGCTTGATGCTCGATGTGTGCAGATTCCTCAGATGTTCCGATTCAAAGGACTGGTGTAGGTACAGACCCCGCCGCCATTTTTTTGTGCTCACCTCTAGAATCAAAGATGGTAGAAGTTGCGCAGATCTTGTCAGAAGGTTCTTGGCATCTAACAATCTAACATGAACAGTCGAAAGGTGAACTCACTTCTTTAGATCATGTCAGACCTCGGAATCTCCAGCCATCTCCACCCATCTCCACCATCGCTAACTCACTAGCGTGGACTGAGGTGAGTTTCGTGAACTCTATCTGCACCATCCGTGGTGGGACACATGTGACCCACGTGTCGGATCAAATTGTCGAGGTGGGGGGCGAGACACCATGGGTCCCATGGCTGTTGATGGCAGGGGCTTGAAATTCTGTGATTTAAGGTATATATAGGTATATCAAGAACCAGCAAAATCAGGAGATTTGAGACTTTGAAAGGTTTGGAGGGCATGCGTTGGTTTTGATTGTTGGAATTTAACATGTTTAACATGTTGCACGACCTGCGTTGTAAGATAGCTGATATATTACAACTTCAAGACAACCGGTGACAAACTTCCATTCACACAGCTTGTCATATGTTTTTTTCATGTTAATTATATCAAATACGTTTCGCATCTGATTCATGGTATCGATGTTCCATGTAGCTTTATAGCAATTGAAATAACCATGACAATGGAAAATGTATAACAATCCCATTTTCATTTTTCATGGTATGTTATATCCATTTTCCATGTAGATATAACATGTTATAACAATCCCATGAAATCTCTAGTAGTTTCTCCAGTGTCATAGAAAAACCTCGAAGGCCATCCTGGAGAAGGTGAAAACGCAGAGCAAAGAAAAGGTCAAGGGCGGTGTGGATGTGAAACCGCACCATGTGAGGCCGCCGCGTCACCACTTCACCTGGCGAAAATGTCGGTTGACCCTCTAAACATACGAAAAACGATGGAAAATCACCATGTTCAATGGGTAAATCAACGAACTAAATGGCAATTTTCAATAGCTATGTTATTTTTCCAGCTGGTAAGGATTGCGAAAAGCGATGAAGTATGAACTTCAATGGTATAATGTTGGTAAAACAATGATACACCACTCATATTTTGATGGTTTATACCACCTATTTGTGGTGATTTAGGGGATGGTTTATGATTAGCCACATACAGATACCAATCCAATGGTGTTCAGATTGGAAGTTGCTCAGCAAGCTGTCTACCGGTGCAGCGCCGCATCGCGATGCTCAGAAACCACATTTGGGTCTTCATCAAGTGTTTGATCGAGAATCCGGCTTTTGACTCTCAAACAAAGGACCACTGGACCACATTTGCGGCTCCCGGTTCTTTGGTTATGTGGGTAGTATATTCCACTTACTATTAGTGGATAATATGATATGAATGATATGTAAGTGTTTTCATGGCTTCCTTCATTTTTGCTGCGAACGTTCTCCTCTCACTGCCTTTGCAGAAGCCGAACTGTGTGTACATCTGTCAGACATTCCGCAAAAATGTGTCAAAAATCACGCGGCCAGTAGAGGGGGTCGTCTGAAAATGGGGTCTACCGGTCTACCCCCAATGGCCAATTTTTATTCGGTATGATGATTGTACAATATCATGACACATGATTTGAAATAGGATAGTTGACATACAACTATAATATACTATAATGATTAGTTATAATGATGATGATAGAACTGTGAATTTAAGGGTGCTCATCATTGACAGACCAAAATTGGGTACTTGGTTCATCGAGAAGTTCTTTTCCAGGTCACCATGGGTCGCAGAAAATCCAGTTCGAAGCATTATTTTGGAGTTACCCTCTGATAAAATAACATAGCTATGGAAAATGGCCATTTAGTTCGTTGATTTACCCATTGAACATGGTGATTCTCCATAGTTATGTTAGTTTACCAGAGGGTAGGGATTTTTTCACATTGACATGTCGATTTTTCACAAAAGACATGTAAATATCGATATTCCTCTTTTTATTACATACTGGCCTCCACTGTTAAATCTTGATATTCATGTTCACAGAAAATGTACCCTCTGGTTATGTCAAAATAGCTATTGAAAACGGCAATTTCGTTCGTTGATGTTCCCATTTAGTTCGCATGGTGGATCTTTCCATAGTTTTTTGTTATGTTTACCAGAGGGTATCATCCACAATCATCCATCATTTATCAGAATGGAAGTTGTCCGTTTTCCCATCTAAAAATGGTGGATCTTTCCCATCTAAACATGGTGGATCTTTCCATGGTTTTTTTTGTATGTTTAGAGGGTACGTACTAAAAATGTCATAGATCCAAGCGGACTTCTGCGGATCTCCACCAGGAGACCCTGACGACCAAGCAGTCCAAATTTGGGTCTCGCTGTGAACTTTCGGAGAAGTTCCTCAGTGAGGTGGGGATCTGAGAAAATCACAGAGTTTTCTGAGGAACAACGGCGAATAACGGTTACCTATTTTTTAGAGGCTCAAAAGCCCTCAATGTTGGGTGTTTTTCGGAGTTTCTTCACTTGTTCACCAGTTTGAGTGTGTTTTTGCAGGCTGGGGCTGGTGTTTTTTTAAAGGTGGGACACAAAAACCACGTCCTGGATCATGTTCTGAAGCAATCTTACCGGCCTATACCATCCAACATCCTGAAGGGAATTCAGTGAAAAAAACATGTTTCTCAAGTATGTTCACAGAGAAATGATTGAAGTTCCTATGTTACTTGACTATCTTACTTGTAGTAAAGTCACTGAAATTAATAATAAACACAAACATTGGGATCCCTTCGGCCCTTCCATAAAACCTATATCTTCAAGTGGCCAGGCGAGCCACGGAAAACCTTCCCGGAGGTAGTCTAAAATACCAGTTCATATATGTAAAAATCCGTATATTTAAATGTAGTTACCGTATATTTTGCCTATAATCCAATGATATCATAGAACTATATGGTGATCGATCTAAAGGTCCTTGTAAGGAGTTTTAATTGCGAAAGCCGTGCATGTTATGTTGGAAATCCTCGCGAAAGTTTTTTTTCGAGTTCGCGAAAGTAGAATTTTATTTGGCGAGAGTTTCGCGAAAGTTGGGTATTATAATCATTATATGTAAAGGGCTGCCAACCCGCTGCCGCCCGGGGTCCGGCAGGAGAAGGGCACCAGAGAATGCGAGTAGCAGTAGCCAAGTTTCCAAAAGTGAGGCTTTGCGAGAGCCAAACACCAAGGCCCCTGGTCTTCGCTTTTCCTTCAGTGCACCCCCTGCTGATGGCCGTAAAGGGCTGCCACCCACTGCCGCCCGGGGTCCGGCAGGAGAAGAGCACCAGAGAATGCGAGTAGCAGTAGCCAAGTTTCCAAAAGTGAGGCTTTGCGAGAGCCAAACACCAAGGCCCCTGGTCTTCGCTTTTCCTTCAGTGCTGATGGCCGGGGTCTGTGAATAGGGATATTTTCGCGAAAGTTCCGCGAAAGTTATGCGAAAGAGCGGGCGAAAGTCAAAGTGCATGTTGAAGGGGGTGGGCCAGTAAACTTTGCAACAAAAAGCTGTCCTGAGAAGGGATTCCGTGATGCTAGCTGCATGTTTAAAAGGCTACCAAGAAGTGATCCGTGATTCTCTGGCGTAATTTGGCAGGTGGTGAACGAATCTTCATAAGAGGTGTTGTTGGCCAACATGGGCCCCGCGAAAGATAAACATGGAGTTTGCGAAAGTTTCGCGAAAGTAAAATGTTTATTCGCGAAGAATGGCCGTTCCGGGATAAAGGAATTTTGATCAACAACCATATATAGTTAAGTCAGTTAAATAACATAGCGACTTAAGATGACTTAAGTAACTTGATCCCTGATTTTTAATACTCATATTATTCATATCCAATCCCTGATATGATACTTGTATCCCCATCCACATCATGGCATCATCCTTTCATATGAAAAATCCTGATGTTCATACAATTCCCATATTCATAGAATCATATTATCCCCATTTTAAAAAAATATATCTAATATAGTGATATCCTGATTGTATCCCCATACAATCCCATATCTAGTTGGTCGTTTGGAACAGGAATTTTATTTTTCTGATTTTTCAGAGGGGTTGAAACCACCAACCAGGATAGTAATGATATGATAGTAATGATGGAGGTTTACCAACTATAGTAAAAATATGTAAAAATAGGTGATAGTAGTATGATATGTATAAGATATATATATATGATATAGTTCAAGAACTTGTTCATAGCGGATCATCAGGTCTCCAGTTGTGGGGTGGTGGACCTCATCTTGATGGCCGCCATGGCCAAGTCCAAAGTTGACTTGGGAAAGAAACTGAAGGCCAGGAACGGAAATGCTGGTTTAATGATGGTTTAATGGTGGTTTAATGGTGGTTTATGATGGTTTAATGATGGTTTCATGATGGTTTACGATGGTAAAATCATGATTGAGTTTACTTCCAAATTCATATTAGAGGTTTCCGAAAATGGGGGTACCCCCCAACAGCTGGATGGTTTATAATTCAAAGTTCTATTAAATTGAATGATTTAGGGGTATTTACCCCAATTTTAGAAAACCTCCATATATGGGGGATTCAGATGATGGAAGTTTCAGATGGCCCCCTTTGTGCATTTTTTCAACTGTTCGGCCAAAAGATCCTGGTTATCCATGGTTTTAGAAGCTGGGGATTGAAGATGATTTGACATATTTAAGTCTACCATAGTTAACCATCAACGCTATGGTTTTTAAAGACGCAAGACTATTATACCTTGCCGGACCTGATCCCCGATTCTTTTGGTTGGGCTGTGGTAGCTGACTTTTCGACCAGCAATATGTGGATGAACAATATTTAAAAACCCTGCTACCCTAGGTACCCTAAAATAGCTGCTTGACGGATGGTTATTCTCTCCAAGATGGAAATAATAGGTTTTTTTCCATCCCCATATGATTCGAATTGAGCATTTTGAAAATGAGTTCATCAACTGATTTAAGGATCACTTATATTTTAGTCGCAACATATGGGGATTTAAGATGATATAACTGATATAACCCATGATGACCCATGCATTGTTTTTTTTGCGGCTGTTTGAGCATCAATAATGATCAAACATATGGAGAAAGATGATTTTTCAGCATCAGACATGGCGTTTTTTCATATGCTTCAACCATCAAGAACAGAAAGCCATTAAACATGATTTAACCATCACGAAATCCAGGAACTTGGCATGATATTTCACCATTCAATGGCCTGGCTGTGCCACTGTGCCAGGCCAATACTAGTCGCGTGACTCGATTGACGGGCATCCCTAAGTTGGAGGATGCGAATGATGCAGGCGCTAGTTCTATATGAAACTGCTGAAGGAAACGTCATCCTCTAGTCATGCAGTCCAGAAAAAGAATGGAACAGTCATGTGCAGATCTTTTCGTAGGTTTTTTTTTCTGGTGTCTTTGTTTGTGGTGTGGATGTTTGTGGTACTCATGGTTAAAAGAGCAAGATCTAAAGAAGATTTATTCGCCGTGAAATGCAATCAATGCCTTGATGTTCGAGGATAGTAGCGGGACCACACCGGTTTTCAAGTTTGGGTTCTTTTGATGTGTTTGAAACATGATTCCTACGGCATATGTACAGTAGTCCAAGCGCAAAACAACATGATTCCATTCATCTCGAAGTATATATCATGATACTAATGTGCATGCCAGATGGAAATAGCATACCATGGCATCGCATGTTTCCTTGGCCAAGAGATTGCGTTTGTGTAGCGTGAACCATATCATCAGCACCATCTGTGTTGGATATCGTGGATCAGTTCTTGAAAACTACCCTCTGGTAAACTAACATAACTATGGAAAATGGCCATTTATAGTTGATTTACCCATTAAAAATGGTGGTTTTCCATCGTTTTTTGTATGTTTACCAGAGGGTATCATGGAATGCCAAAAGTCCATCCAACTGGAAGATAACTTTCCTGTTGGATTGTCCACCCTCTGCTAATCAAACACAGCAATTTTCAGCAACCCCCCGTTGCTAGCGATGTGCCGGTCGCGAACCGCGAAATCATCGAAGTAGTGGATTTTCCAGCCAAGGAGCTGATTACCCTCTGGTTATGTCTAACAGTTTGCGAACTGGAAAATGGCCCAGTCGAAATAGTGGATTTACCCATCAAAAATGGTGATTTTCGATAGCTTTTATGTTAGTCATAACCAGAGGGTACTAAGTAAGTCTCATGGGGGATTCATGGGGGATTCCAATGGATTTTTCGCATCCCATTGGCAGTGTGCCAGGTGGGAAGCTCTCCAGCGAATGTTCCTTGATTCTGACGGAGGGCGACTCTGCCAAGGCCGAAAACGAAGATTTTCACCGGGATTTTCGGGAGTTTGACCGGGGATCAATCCCATGTTGACAGCACCGGGATGTTTCCTAAATGGAGGTACCCCAATAGCTGGATGGTTTTTGTTATGGAAAAATCCATCGATTTCCATGGATGAGAACTGCGGGTACCCCCATTTCAGAAAACCTCCATATCATTTATCTATCCTGCTTCTCTGGGTATAACCTTGGCTATACCATCAGCTCGATTTCCAAGCAACATCTTTACCTCTTGAAATGGGCCATTCTGAGATGGTAAACCAAAAAATGAATCACTTAGATGAATAAAAATATGGAGAAATCATCTGACCATTTTTTTAAAAGACCACTTTGGAATATCACCAACTATTGACCGATGATTTCAGGATGTTTAAGGTCAATATGGGAATTCCAAAAGCTTGGAGTTTTCGGGCTCATAGCTTGCTGTTTGGGCGAAGAATTGAGCACCGGATCGCAAGCCCCTCACCATGTCCTTGCAGCGCCTTGGTTGAATATGGCAGTCTACTCTGGTCACTGGTGTTCTATGGATAGAGTTACCTGGGTTTGAGTTGTTTTCATCGACAGATCAGTTCAAGTTCAACCGTTTGAAAATGATGGTTCACCGGTGAGGGCCCGTCTGAATACCCGACAGATCCATGACAGATCCATCATAATTTGTAGCAAAATCTCACTGCAGGTTTGGAGTTCTTGGAGTCAGAATCCGTCATACTGTACCAATCATGTCACGTAACATCATCTATATATATATACCAGTAGTACCGCACAAGGCGGTGGCGGAAGTTTCAAACAAGATGAAGCCCACGAACCCGAATGCTCACACGTATGTTAATGGTACAGATGTGAAAACACATGGTTTTGCAGTCACGCACAATACCTTTCTGCAATAGTTTATTTGAAAAGTCTTGTGCATGTTTCCCTTGTTACCAGTCTGCAGTGTGGAGTGGAAAGTGTAGAGTGTGGAGAGTAAAAAGTATGGAGAGGGGAGTGTAGAGTGTGTAAAGTGTAGAATGCGGAGTGTAAAGTGTAGAGTGTGGAGTATGGAGTGTAAAGTGTAGAGTGTGAAGTATGAAGTGTAAAGTGTAGAGTGTGGAGTGTAGAGTGTGGAGTGTAGAGTGTAGAGTAGGGAGTGAGGAGTGTAAAGTGCAAAGTGTGGAGTGTGGAGTGTAAAGTGAGGAGTGTAAAGTGTGGAGTGAGGAGTGTGGAGTGTAAAGTGAGGAGTGTAAAGTGTGGAGAGTAAAGTGTGGAGTTTGTAAATTGTAGAGTGCGAAGTGTAGAGTGTAGAGTCTAGAGTGTAAAGTGGAGAGTGTGGAGTGTAGAGTGTAGCGTGTGGAGTGTGGAGTGGAAAGTGTAGAGTGTGGCGTGTAGAGTGTGGAGTGTGGAGTTTAAAGTGTGGAGTGTAGAGTGTGGAGTGTGGAGTGTAAAGTGAAGAGTGTGGAGTGTAAAGTGTGGAGTGTAAAGTGTGGAGTGAGGAGTGTAGATAAAGTGAAAAGCGTGGAGTGTAAACTGTAAAGTGTGGAGAGTAGAGTGTATAGTGTAGAGTGTAAAGTGTGGAGTGTGGAGTGGAAAGTGTGGAGTGTAAAGTGTAGAGTGTGGAGTGTAAAGTGTGGAGTGAGGAGTGTAGAGAAGGGAGTGTCAAGTGTAAAGTGTGGAGTGTGGAGTGTGGAGTGGAAAGTGTGGAGTGTGGAGTGGAAAGTGTGGAGTGTGAAGTGTAAAGTGTAGTGTGTGGAGTGAGGAGTGTAAAGTGTGGAGTGTAAAGTGTGGAGTGTGGAGTGAGGAGTGTAAAGTGTGGAGTGTAGAGTGTGGAGTGCGGAGTGTAAAGTGAGGAGTTTGAAGTGTGGAGTGTGGAGTGAGGAGTGTAAAGTATAAAGTGTGGAGTGTGGAGTGTACAGTAAAGTGTGGAGTGTGGAGTGCGGAGTGTGGAGTGGAAAGTGTAGAGTGTGGAGTGTGGAGTGTAAAGTGTAGAGTGTGGAGTGTAAAGTGTGGAGTGTAAAGTGTGGAGTGAGGAGTGTAGAGAAGGGAGTGTCAAGTGTAAAGTGTGGAGTGTGGAGTGGAAAGTGTGGAGTGTGGAGTGTGGAGTGGAAAGTGTGGAGTGTGAAGTGTAAAGTGTAGTGTGTGGAGTGAGGAGTGTAAAGTGTGGAGTGTGGAGTGTAAAGTGTGGAGTGTGGAGTGAGGAGTGTAAAGTGTGGAGTGTAGAGTGTGGAGTGTGGAGTGTAAAGTGAGGAGTGTGAAGTGTGGAGTGTGGAGTGAGGAGTGTAAAGTATAAAGTGTGGAGTGTGGAGTGTACAGTAAAGTGTGGAGTGTGGAGTGCGGAGTGTGGAGTGGAAAGTGTAGAGTGTGGAGTGTAAAGTGGGGAGTGTGGAGTGTAGAGTGTGGAGTGAGGAGTGTAAAGTATAAAGTGTGGAGTGTAAAGTGTAGAGTGTGGAGTGTGGGGTGTGGAGTGGAAAGTGTAGAGTGTGGTGTGTAGAGTGTGGAGTGTGGAGTGTAAAATGTAAAGTGTGGAGCGTAGAGTGTAAAGAGTGTGGAGTGTGGAGTTTAAAGTCTCAGGTGAGGAGTGAGGAGTGTAAAGTGCAAAGTGTAAAGTGTGGAGTGTAAAGTGTAAATTGTGGAGTGCGGAGTGTAAAGTGTAGAGTGTGGAGTGCGGAGCTTCCCCCATAGACACGGCGACGCCACAGGAAAACCAGCGACTCGAGACAAGACACGTGGATGTAGAAAAACCAGCATTTCGTACGAGGCTTCCTCTAATTTTGACATTTTCGAAACATCATCAAACAGGTTGGAATGTCAGAAAGTGCCACGCCTGCCACGCAAAACGACATGACAACCTGCTTGGACACATTCGAAAAGGAGGTTTTGCAGCTTCCCCCATAGACACGGCGAAGCCACAGGAAAACCAGCGACTCGAGACAAGACACGTGGATGCAAACCACCCGCATTTCGTACGAGACTTCCTCCAATTTTCACAGTTGGCAACATGAAAAAAGGACAAGTTTTGCAGCTTCCCCCATAGACAGGGCGAGGCCACGGGAAAGCCAGAGACAGGTGGGAGCACCAAAACGACCATTTCGTGCGAGACTTCCTCCAATTTTCATACTTTGCAGCTCCAAAATCGACGTTTTCCTACGAGTTTTCCTTAGAACCTGAAAATTTGTAACATCAAAATCGATGTTTCGTGCGAGGCTTCCGTCAATTTTCAGCACATGTGAGAAAATGCCACGCCTGCCACGGAATTTGCACCTTGTCACCACTTGACGCAGCCCTGCCAATGCGATTTACAAAAAACACGCAAAAGGACACGTCTAAAGTGCTGCGCCTGCCACGAAAAATGACGATGGACACGTCCAAAGTGCTGCGCCTGCCACGAAAACTGCAACACATCTTCTGAAAGCGTCGCAAAAGTATTGCGCCTGCCACGCGAAACGACTTTCGACACGTTGCAGAACACGTCTGAATGTCACAAAGTGCCACGCCTGCCACGCGAAACGAAGCAACCAGACGTCTGAAACCTCCAAAAAGGACCACCTCTGCAAAACTTCCCATAGGCACGGCCATACGGAGTTCGTACGGACGGTTGCGAACGGTTGCGCTCGCGAACGCAACGTCGAGCGAACACACCCTCAACCCCCAGACCCCCAGAGTGAAACGGGAACCCTTGCTACGCATTCGGGAAAATAGGAAACCTATAGGAGAGGTTGGTTGTTGTGAATCACGGATGGCAGAGCGAATCCACTGATGGACCGAAAGGTGGTTGAGGTCTCCTCTATTTCTCTCTCTTTCTCTCTCTTTCTCTGACTATCTACCTACCTACCTACCGATCAATCTACGTATCTATCTATCGATCGATCGATCTATCTACCTATTTATCTAACTGTCTGTCTGTCTGTCTGTGTATCTATCTATCTATCTATGTATCTATCTATCTAACTGTCTGTCTATCTATCTATGTATCTATCTATCTAACTGTCTGTCTATCTATCTATGTATCTATCTATCTAGCTAGCTATCTATCCATTTTTATCTATCTATCTATCTATCTATCTATCTATCTATTTATCTATCTATCTATCTATCTATCTATCTATTATCTATCTATCTATCCATCTATCCATCTATCCATCTATCCATCTATCCATCTATCCATCTATCCATCTATCTATCATCCATCTATCTATCTATATGTCTATCTGTCTATTGTCTATCTATCGATCTACCGATCTATCGATCTATCGATCTATCGATCTATCGATCCGGCGATCTATCGATCTATTGATCTATTGATCTATCGGTCTATCGATTTTTCTATCTATCTATCTATCTATCGATCTCTCTCTCTCTCTCTCTGTCTTTCTATCTATCTGTCTATCTGCAAGCTTGAAAACGAAGCTTTTCTGCGAGATTTCCTCAGTTTTTGAACTTGACAACTTAAAAAGAAACGCAGCAATTCAGCGAGACCTCCTCAATTTTTGCACTTGACAACGTCAAAAACGAAGCAATTCTCCAAGACCTCCTCGATTTTTGAACTTGACAACTTCAAAAACGAAGCAATTCTGCGAGGCTTCCTTCAAAAGTGGAAAGTTGAGTGCAGAGCTGACGGCCTCGTACCAATGCGTTTTGCGATTTTTCCACTCCACCTGTCTAAACTACTTAACTACTAACTACTAAACTCCCTTTAAACTAACGTTTCACTATACTCTACGTCTGAACCTGACACTAAACACTTGCCTGCTAGGGAAATAACTAAAAACTTCAACTCTCAGCGGAACCTACTGTGACTGAAAACTAAAACACTAAAAACTATGCGGAGCTGTTTAGTTATAAAACTAGATCTACCTACCTGAACCACGAACTGGAACCTGAGCTAGCCTGACCTGGACTGAGTAAACTGGCTGTGAATGGGGACATCCCTATGGCCCTAACTCTAACTAAGCTGAATAGCGAGTTGGGGCTGCAATTGGGAGAAGTGAAACCTAGCCAACTATCACTCACTCTAGACTGTCCTCAAGAACCTGATTGCCAACTCTACTACTGCACCCTGAACCTGGTAAGAGCGAACAACCCTAAACCTGTCCAGAACCTTAAACTACTGCGCTTGCCACGAAAAAGTGATGCCAGGTCATACGAAGTGCTGCACCTGTCACGCAAAATCATCTCAGCAAACCTGAAGATTTGATGCTCCAAAATGCAACCTCTCTCAGGAAATCAGCGCCCTGACCTCCTAACATCTCTGATGAACATGTCTCTTGTGTATTTCGCCTGCCACGGAAAATGCATCTTTGCAGATCTTCTTCAAATGTCCCACGCCTGCCATCGTTTTTGGAAATGCCACAAAACCCTCACATTTTGCTCACTTTTGACAAGGTGCACAATCCCTTGCGCCTGCCACGCGAAACGACGTCTGAACGTCCAAAAGTGGTCCGGACCCCTAGTGCTTTTAACATTTTGACTTCGAAATGTGCTTCGCGCCACAACGGCGTGCACTTTTTCGACATCTCAACTTCCAAAAATGGTCCGAACCTGGTGTGGTTTGTACATTTTGACTTCGAAATGTGCTTCGCACCACAACGGCGTGCACTTTTTCGACATCTCAACTTCCAAAAGTGGTCCGAACCTGGTGTGCTTTGCACATTTTGACTTCGAAATGTGCTTCGCGCCACAACGGCGTGCAATTTTTCATCTCTCATCTGCCCAGCGGGTTCCGCACCCGCCGCTTTAGCGAGCCTACTTTTCGACCCTCCGGAGCCACAAATCATTGGAAAAACGCAGTTTTTCGCGACTTTCCTACCTTTTCGCGCACCTAGATCTTCTTTCTTCTGAGACTTTCTCTTTTTTGATCTTCTTTCTTCTTCGCTTCTCTTCGTCGACTCTTCCCATCTCTGCTTTTCATCTGTCCATATTGTCGGAAGTTTGACTTCTAAACTTCCTTCGATTATATATCGCATGCACATCTAATACCCGGAAATTCGGCTGGTACTGCAATCCACCATCCACAGATATCCAGAGGTATCCACAGATAGCCACAGATAGCCAGCCAGCTTTCGCCTATCTCTTAGGTGTAGAGGAACCTTTTTGGACGTCGTAGAGCACGTCGACGTCGCTTCGAGAAGCCGTCGACACTCCTACGCAGAGGGGCTGCAAGACTGTGCAGCTTGGTTTTTTTAAATGCTTTTAGATGCTTATTAGAGGTAATGATATGATAGTAATGATGCAGGTTTTTAGTAATGATGGAGGTTTACCATCTATGGTAAAGGTAAAAATAGGTAATGATATGATATATTAGGTGTATATATATATATTTTTTATGATATAATATGAGGGATGGGTCGAAATCTATTTTTAACATAGTTGTGGGATGTCGGGAGAAAAAGCGTTCATTCACCAGGCAATTTGGGTATAGGGTGCCAGGGTGCCGTAACTCATAGCCATAACGGGTCATGTCACCCTGGTCCTCTGCTGTCAAAATAGCCAAATAGCTATGATTTATGGATGTTGAACCCCTCAAATATGGTATTAAAACATATTACAGGATTTTTTTGGGTATTGGTTCATCCCAATATAGGTAATATAGCAATTTCCAAAGTCATGCGGAAGCCCTAAATCAACTCAATCCTGGTCATTCTTCATTTGGAAACTGATGCTTTGCCGGTGCCCCCGTTTTAAGAATCCCCAGCCACGTTCAAAACTGCCGGCAATTGATTTTAGTATTCGGTGGAATTTATTTTTTAAGAAAGTGAATGGCGTCACACGCGCGCAAGCTTTTCACAAGCTTCGCGCAAGCTCATGTACGTGCAAGCTTCGCGCAAGCCCGAAATCACGTAGACAATTGAAACATAAATAAATGAATATACAACGAAAAGGGATTTTGAATGGTAATAGGCCATGGAGTTATTTGTTGCGTGTAATTTTGACTCTTGAAGGTTTTCAAACATCCTGAATTTTGCGCAAGGTTCGCGCAAGCTTCGCGCAAGCAAAGGGGTTCCTGGCCACTATGCCCCACAGAAACCGGTAGCAAGATGGTCGTAGACTCACCATATTGGCTACATTTTGCTACTATGCTCTTTCTGAGCAGGACAATAAGCAAAACCATTGCACGGACTGAGAGCCGTGCCACTGTACTGATTGTACCCTGGCTCAAGGCCATACACTCACTGGAGGCATTCAGGGACTACACTGCTGGCAAAATAGGAACTGCGTTGATTGGAGCCTAGAAGTCGAGAAGCCACCGGACAAGCCAAGAAGTCGAGAAGCTGAGAAACCACCGAACGAGCCGAGAATCTGAGAAGCCAAGAAACCCAAGTCCGAAATCAGTTTCGTGCCTGCATCGCGCAAACAAAAACGCACCAAATCTCAGGAATTCATTTTCGCGCAAGGTCGCGCAAGGTCGCGCAAGCTCAGTTTGAAAAATTGACCGCGTGCAAGCTCCATTTGTGGTCGCGCAAGGATGGCGCAAGGATTTCGCGCAAGGATGAAAAATTTCCATTCAGTTTTGATTGAAGTTTTGAACACTGCTCAGTTAATAGATTTGTCGTAACAAATCAAAGATGGGATTTGGCCCGCAGAATGTATCCATCGGGATTTTTTGGGACACAAACCGCCATAGCACACAATCTTTGGAGCGTACCTTGCCAGTAGACATAATATGAATCTGTTACATTTTGCAATAGGTCATCATTGCTACTGCCAAGAAACCATACCATCTGCCCCCGCTTACTTGCGCGTTCGCATTCGCTGACGCATTCCTCTGTTGGTTCCTTCTGTCGGTCAGCGCTTCATTCCGTCCTTCTTGCATTCCTATCGTTCATTGAGTCATCTATAAATTTATTTTTTTATTTTTTTTGTTTGGTTGTTCGTCGATTCCATTGATTTGTTGGTTTGTATTGAAGCCGTTCGTAATCATGTTATTTTTCTCCATCGTTACGTGAAAATTTGTTCATGCATTCAATGACAAATCAGTCGTCATTTCACCCATGCATTTAATACTGGTTGGTGGTTTCAAACATTTTTTCCATTTCATAGATGGGATGTCATCCTTCCCATTGACGAACTCCATAATTTTTCAAGGTGGTTATTTATTGCACCAGCCACCAGAATATCATGCAATCCACTGAAGACAGGCAATCAGCTGGCAGTTGTGTCAACCCCAAAGACTTCATCGCATGACGAGCAGTTGGTTCTGATTGAGCATTGGGCATTGTATGACTGAAATAAAAACATGTAAAAACACCAACTGTTCGCTGTTGCGCCAATGTGTTTGAAACAGTCTGTTTCAATTCTGATTCTTACATTGTGTACATGTCATGAGAATTGCGTCGACTGTATTGACTATTTGGAGTTACCGATGGTAATCTAACATAGCCATGCTTAAATAATAGACAGATCATACCTATTCATACATTAATCATTTTCCCAGGTTTTCCGGCACAACTGCAGGAATATGGATCGCAAGACAGACTATTGCAGAAAGCAGCTGATTCTTTTGCTTGGCACCTGGAAACTCGACGAATCCACCCAAAAACAAAAAACTCCTGGGAAATTGCGGTATCTTGTGGATTTTTTTTTGTATCTAGTGGCACTTAAAATAGCTGGGACATATCGGTACACTGCATTTTTATTGTTGTTCATGGTGTATCCATGTGAGTTGCAGAATCACCGAGGATACACAGATTTCGCGTGGAAGCTATGGTCATCCGAATCTGTGTGCAGCTCCGTGCATCCGTGCTTTCTACTTCAAGTGCACCAAGGGTCTTCTCTGCGAATTTTGCCACTTTGGACATTCCACACATTCCACCTCCAAAGTGAAACTCAACATGTCAGAACGTCAGCTCTTTGAGACACTCGAAGAGGGAAAGGTATTGTCCCTGGTGCTTTCTGTCCTAAGAGGTAAGTGTCAGAAGCTTCCCGCCACCCAGCAAGATGTCATGAGGCTCTTACTGGCGGCCATCCAGAATCGAGTGTCACGTCTCGGGGAGCCAACCATTTCACGAAACACACGAAGCAGGTTGCTGACTCTCAGAAAGTTTAGCATCGGTCGCTTGTTTGAGCTCATTCAGCAGAGCCATCAAGTTGATGCATCTTTGAAATCGGAAGTCAGGAGTTTGTTAATGAGTGCACGCACAGCAGTACAGAGGCTGGAAGCGTGCGATTGATCAGCAAAAAAGTACGTCTAAGGACGTACCAAAATGTGCTGTCTAGTCACTAATAAAGTGTGACAGCACAATGATTATGATCTCTGATTCCTATCTCATGAATGTGGCTTGAGTGGGATGATGAATCATCTTCAAAAGGAAAGTTATTTCCAAAATTACCAATTTTTGCACCAAGTTTTATGCTCAAAACCGTTGCTGCCATGGCATGGCATTTTTTTTTCGTCGGCTGTACAGATCTTGAACAAGCCGACAAGATCCGACAAGTACGGGTCAGTACCGTTTGCCAGGTGCAAACTTGTTCTTTACCATCTGGTTGCAGATGGTAATGATTTTCTATGATTTTGCAAGAACTTGGACAATGACATGGCGCATTGGAGTCTTATTGATTTCCAAGAGTGATATTTCCACATATGTCTGCCCTTCGGCGAGTGATTTGGCAAGAAATCCCAAGTTCCGTTTTGCTTCGATTCGCCTTGTGCCATGTGTCCTTTCGGCTTTCCTCCAAACTGGCAGGCTGAAAAACCTCTCCCAGAGGGGAACCCCAGCGGAATCCGTGTGCATTTGGCCGGAGCAAAACAGATTCCTGGTTGATGACCGATCTCCCCCAAATCGGCTGAAAGCCTTAAGAAAATCTACCCATTCCTTGGAGAATCTTCAGATTCCAGATCTTTTTCCGGACAGCCTCAAATTTCGTAAAATCAGGGTGTTTCAATCAACCCAATGCTTCCTGCAAATAGCCAAGCGACACGGCCATGCATGGTTTATCCACGCACTCCGTCAGGCGCTGGCCGTTTCCGGACTTAGCGTCATCGGACGTGATAAGTGGGGCGTTTTCCCACTTCGTGGAAAGGCTCGGGGGCTCCGGAAGTGGAGTCCGGAACTGGAGTGGCTGTTGAGCATTCCAAAATTCAAGGGTGAACTTTCTGAAAACCCTTGGTGAGACTGTGCCTAGTGGATCCTAGTAGTCTTGGATGGAAATGATTGGTCCTATTTGGTCCTATAGCATCACAAATCAGTCGTCCACTTTGAGTGGACGTGCATGGCTTCCGAACTGGGGCAAATTCTGCAGATGAATCCCCGATGCTTACCCTCTGGTTATTTAACATAGTCATGGAAAATCCCTTATAAATCATCTATAAATGGGCCATTTTCCATGGCTATGTTAAATAACCAGAGGGTACTTAAAAATCCAAGTTTGGAGTTCAATCCCGGTGGGGTGAGTCGGGTCTATGCGGCATCTCGTGTTGTTAATGCACCATCCTGCGAATTGCTAGGTGCTCAACGTGCGCGATGCTACGTTGAAGCAGATGATGGCCAACGAGGTAGGGTCATGTTCAACGTTGAGCATTTGGGGTTTGTCGGAAAACAGGCTACCCATAAAGAGAAATCATCATGTTCTCCATTAAAGATTATTAAAGTATATTGAAATGCTGATTTGGGGATGTACCCCAGCCATTATTCATGACTTGACCCCTTGACCCACAAGTTTGCGTGTCCCAACTCAACACTAGTCTGACGTTAATGTTTGTTCCCAACTCATCCATCTGACTGCAGCCCAAGTCAGCAGCAGGAAATTCAGAACCTCATCAAAATCATCGGGCTGGACCTCAACAAAGAGTCCTTCTGCTCAGGACCAAGGATGACAAAGATGGGATAAGCGGATTGATGTTTGGGTGAGTATTCATGTATAGTTAATGGTGGTTTAATGGTGGTTCAATGGTGGTTTAATGGGCTTTAACCAACAAAAATGGTGATTTTAATGGGATTTAGTATTTACCCTCTGGTAAACTAACAGTTTGCTATTGAAAATGGCCCATTTGTAGTGGATTTACCCATTAAAAGTGGTGATTTTCCATAGTTATGTTAGTTTACCAGAGGGTATAGTCTATGTATAGTTTTCATGAAAACAAATGGGCTTGTCTGAGAATGTACTGATAAGATAGCAAGTTGAGGTGATTTTACTATTGTTGAAGATGGATCATTAAATTTGGCAGTAGCCTATTTTAAAACTATACACCATATTTGAAGCATTCCAAATCAACTGGGTAAATTACATCACGACCTCACTGGGACCGAGCCCTAGAATCATGATAAATCATCCCCAGATGGACGAAGTATTCAGGGTGATGCATGAGTGAATCATGGACCCCATTCAGAAAATCATCATATTTCACCCAAAAAAATCACCCCTGTCATCATTTTTGGGGGTGATTTTTTTGATGAGATTTGATGAAGAAAACCCAGACATCCAAGGTATGATGCCGAGCTGAAGGGCTTGCGCTATGGCTCCATCATGATCATGGCGGATCAGGAAGGGGAACGAACAGTTTGCGAACTGGAAAACCAATGAAAACAACAGCATTTTTTAATAGGTAAATCAACTATAAGTGGGCCATTTTCCATAGCTAGGTTAGTTTACCAGAGGGTATAATATAAATATATATAATAATAATAATAACAATAAGAAGAAGAAGAAGAAATAATAATAATAATAATTCATAATAATAATAATTGTTGGCATTGTTGTGCTGAAAAAAATGCTGGCAACCAGTCGATAAGCAAGATGATGTGGTAAACCGACTGGTGTTTACCATTCCCTTTTTTTGAGCAGAGATTGTTTTTCAGGCATCTCCAAGGGAGAGGTTCAGGCTTCCGCAGTGCAGGATACCGATGGCTCCCACATCAAGGGCCTTCTGTGGCTTGGGCAAAGAACTGGGCGCAAACTGCAGGTGTTCCCTGAAAAACCAATCCATGCCTGGTTGGTGGTTTGGAACATGTTTTATTTTTCCATATTTTGGGAATAATCATCCCAACTGAGGAACTCATATTTTTCAGAGGGGTAGGTCAACCACCAAGTAGATGCCAATCCAACTGCTGTGTATCAAACGTAGCTCTGGAATCCGAGGATCAATTTGATCCATGCCTGGTGGCCCTCACTTGCTCGACTTCCTGGTTTCATCAAGGAGAAGCTAACAGCTTTCAAAGCACGACGTCGTGTTTTCCAGAGATGTTTGGCATATCTATCCATGATTATTCAACTTTATCCAACATTATCCAACTATGCCAATGGTTTTTAAACATCCCAGGGAATCTTGCCATGGCCGGAAAGCCCACGGTAATTTCAAATCCCAGGGAAACCCACCGGTTTTTTCGTCAGCTCCAGGAGTTCTTCACCCCCATTGTGAAAGCCACCAGAGGCTGGAGAAAAAAACACAGATCCGGAGACGTTCCGCAACAAAAAAAAACGACTGAGATCAGCCGAGGTAAAACGCAGCTCTGCTTCTACACGCTTCCGGAATATGAGGCATTGACATGGTTTTTTTCGAGATGTTGAGAGGGGAAATATAGCTTGCTGTAAAATGGTTGATGACATGACCCATCGCCTTGTACCGACAATGTCGGTACAATGTCAGATCTTGGAATTTCGAGATTCTTCAAAATGATCAAAATGATCATCCGGAATCATCCCAAAAGAATCCAACATGGATACATCCTATTATATCATGATATTTCTTGATATATCATGATATTTCATGTTATATCATGTTATATCATATATACATGTTATCACTTGTTATCACTTGCTATCACATGTGAATCCTTCAGGCTTGGAAGACTGAGACCAACGGTGGCAAGGGCTACAAGATCAAGTACTACAAAGGTGGATGACGAGCCAAAAAGTTGGGAAATGTTGGGAATGCACCTGCAAAAATCTGGAAATTTGGATGGAAAATGATGGAAATGGATGTTGGTATAGGTATTGGATACCCAATAATTTAGCCACAACAGCTGGTTATGGAAATGGATGATGGAAACTTGGATACCCAATAATTTTCAGATAGCTTTTGACCAGCTGTTAGGTATTGGTCAAGGCCGCAGACGCTGATTCAGCGACGACTGACTGCTGATATCCCGTCATCGACGTACTAGTCATAAAATCGGCTCGGGAGCCCCTTTCTCGAGCTTGAAATTGGTGTGTAGAATGACTTTGTATCATGACTTTGCTCTCAATATCGGTATATTATACTATATTTTACACTATACAATATTATGTATAAATATATTTCTCTCTATATATATATATTATATTACATCATAAAACTTACCAATATCAGCCACCAATCTCCCAGCTGTTCGTTCTGACCACAAACAAAAGGCCAATCTTTTTTCAGCGACCTGGTTTCCGCCAGGTTTGGGCACGAGTACTTCCAAAGAAGCCAAGGATCCGAGACCGGAGTCCGGCTGCCGCAGTGCGAAAAAAAGTACCACTGGTGATGGGGCCCCGTACTTATTAGTACTATTAAAAAAGAAGCAACACCAGTGGTATAACTTTATAACTATTATCTAAGTATTATCTAAGTACTGTTATATCCAAACATTTTTTTTAAGTTAAAGTGATTATTAGAAGCATATAATGGGCATATCATGATCTTTATAAACATCAACTGTTTAATTAGTTAGTATACAGTATACCTGACTACTGGGATTCTCACAAGTGTGTAATGGGATATCATGGGATATAACGGGATGATCATGATTTTTATAACCAACTAACGCGCCTGTCTAGGAACGAACGGATTAATCTTAATGGGATTATTAGAACCTGTTCCATAGGGCTGTCCCTGGACCACAGCAATTGCGATGTCTTGCCACTTTCACAGTTAAAGAGTTCCGATTGAAAGTGCGCATCAACAACTATCAAAGCATATCTTTGAAAATTCGGCTCCAAAAAAAACATAAGTACAGAAAATACCTGAGAATATGCCCAGGAACTTATAAATCTAGATATATATATATATACACATCTTATAACATGGGATATGATTCAAATAAGATTTCCAAACCAATCTCTGGCAGGAGTACTTTGGCGCCCTGGATACGCACCAGATCAAGTACCGATATGCCTGGACGCCATCAGCCGACCTGGTGTCAAACATAGCTGGGAAAGCCCCGAAGTTTTTTAATGGTCTATTTAATACCTATGCTGGTTATTTAGACACTATATGAAGATGAATAACTATATGAATAATAACTATATGTTCATATGCATAGCTGCAATATGGCCCATATCCCCATGATTAAAAAAAAAGTTATTCATCTTAGTTGGTATATAACTATAAACATATAATAACCAATGAACATGGGATGAACTGTAGGTGATGTAGCCATGAATTCCATTAAACATATCCAATGGTTGTTGTTAGTTGTATAGAATTGATGGAAATTTATTAAATGATTGGAATGTTATTTGGATTCCATTATCCAATGGTTGTTGTTGGATATGTTTATTTGAGTTGATCAAGAATGAATGGAATGAATTGCCAACGAATGTTGTTTTTGGGGCATTGAACTTGTTGAACCTCAACTTCTCGATGTTCATCGGATTTATCACATCCTGATTAATCGAAAATCCCGCGAAAGAAATATGAAACCAGGTAACATCCCCCATTTTTGCTAAAAAAAACGCTCCAAGAGGGAACTCCTGCAGGGTATTGCCACTGCCCAGATCCAATTCCAAAGATTCTATTCAGATTATTAGGATCTATTTTGTTCTATTACCCTTCAGTAAATTAACATCGACCTGCTATGAGTTGGGACTTGGAAGACAAGTGAAACCACTAAAAACAGTGCATTCCAAGGGTCGAAGTCTTCATTTTGGAGGATATCCAGGAGAGTTTTTTGGTCGATTCTGTATTCCAGATGGGTTTTTTTCACATGTTTAAACCCAAGGTACCCTCTGGTAAACTAACATAGCTATGGAAAATCACCATCTTTAATGGGTAAATCCACTATAAATGGTCATTTTCAATAGCTATGTTAAATTACCAGAGGGTATCCCTCCCTTGTTCCATCCGTTCTTTAAGGATGGTGTGGAAGATGATCGGTCCATCGACTTGGCCTTCAACAAGCATCTGGGCGGAAGACTGCCGATGTTTCGGCACGGTTTGTTTCTTTGTGGTTTTTCTGAATTCGAAAAAACAGATTTAACTATTTCAGGGCCAAATCCAATCTGATGATCCCCCATTTTTAATGAGAAATATCATGAAATATCATGAAATTATGGGAAGATTATATATTTTAGCCATTTCTATAATTTTTATAGCTGTCAGTAGCTTCCACCAAGGAAGCGCTCGGACGATCGCAAAGCCTGGATCAATTCCTATGAAGCGCCTCGGTCGTTTTTGGTGGAACGCCGGTGTCGTATCCATCCCGGATTTCTGAACGGGGCAACAATCAAAATGGGTATGGGTCAAAACCCTGGTACCTAGTGAACCCCAAAATAGCTGTGATTTATGGATGTTCATCCCACTAAAAATATATTTATAGGTATTGACCCATACCCAAATCGGAATTTTCGAGAAGAAAGATCTCTAAACACCAATCTGGTTGGAAGTTATGATAGTTATGATTACGAATCGACCATTTCCCATATAATATATCCATAGCCATAGGAAGAAATACAGCGAGAAAGGCTGGAACGCCGTTTCCCGTGGCCAGCCCAACGAAGCAAGGATGGAAATCTCATTGATCACACGCAGAAGGAGGCAGTCTGCAGAATCAAGCGATGTGAATTGCTTGGATAAGTTGGATGGTTGCAGAAGTCTCCGACATGGCCAAAAAGAACGATTTATGGACTTGAACAGATCTTATTTATGATATGTGATTGGCTGAAAAAATACGGTATAACCGAGGTTTTCGCCGATGTTAGATATGTTAGCCCTAATTCTTGTTGGGACGGTCAATAGTTTTTTCCATAACCCAACATTTAACTGGTGGTTTTTGGATCCAAGCCAGGTCAGTTACAAAGACTTTGTGGACAAGGACGAATGGATGTTGGAAGATGCTGGAAATTCACTGGTCATGTGGCTATGGATCAATACCTATGAAAATACCATGTTGGATGGGGAATGAACATCCATAAATCCCAGCTATTTTGATGTGAACAGAAGGGGTACTATTGGTTTTGACACACTGCCATATGATTTCAGAGAAATGGTAGTGACGTGACCATCTAAAGTGAATTCATTTTATGATATCTTCATAATGATCTTCATATGAAAAAATGGTCATGTCTGAATTCAGAGATATCCTCTGGTAATTTAACATAGCTATTGAAAATGGCACATTTAGTTCGTTGATTTTCCCATTAATAGCATGGTGATTTTCCGTAGTTTTTTGTATGTTTACCAGAGGGTATCATCCATAATCATCCATCATTGATCAGAATTTTGCAGGGAAGTTTTCCCATCTAAAGATGGTGGATCTTTCCCATCTAAAAAATGGTGGATCTTTCCCTTCAATGATTTTCAGATGATAGGGACATGATCCTCGGCAGTTCCCAATTGTCGGGGGATGGGAAGTTGCCTTTAGGAGCTGGTTCTCTTCGCCAAAGCCAACGCCACTCAGCTGCTATGCCATGCTATTTTCGGTCAGCCATTGAGGTCTGTGTTGATGGTTCCATTCCCCCCCAAAAAAAAGTGGGGAACTGGATGAAAAATGTGAAATGCTACCGATGCTACCCCAATTTTGCGGCAATTTTAATGAAATGGTGATGAAACATGATGATGAAGCCTGATGAAAAATGCTAAACCATGCATTTTTTTCGGGAGGGTAGTTTATTCTCAGAGAAATCCAACTAGAGCTAATATATTTGTATAGTTCCACAGTCCCGGTGAAGGTGGATAAGTTCAGCTCTTCATCAGTGTTTGTTGTTCAAACCTGTCCCAGATTCGGTGGACTTCAGGTGTCCCGCGCTATTCCTTCTATGGTGGACGGTTTCAAGCCGAGTCAACGGAAGGCACGGTCCGCCATTTTCGAGTCAACATGATCCAAGACAGCTAGAGAGAACTGGGACCACTGATTTACAGACTATACTTCTACCCTCTGGTTATGACTAACATAGCTATGGAAAATGGCCCATTTATAGATGGTTTACCTATTAAAAATGGGGGATTTTCCATGGCTATGTTAAATAACCAGATGGTAATATGCTGCAACCCTGGCATGGAAAAAGATTCACCCCATTGCTTGGATTTTTGCATCGGTTTTGACTCCTTGTGATTACTTTTAAGTCAGCGAACAAGCATATTTTTGGTTGAAACATGTTGAAACCTCAGCAATTCTCAGCAATTTGGGCTCAAAGTCCTTTTGCCAGTTTCACCTTGTCCAACATGGTCAGGTCCTCAGCTTCTCCAACAAAAGCAGCCGTTGGACCATCACCCACCATCACCCGCGCAAGGCCGTGGCGGTGCCGTTGGCACAGATTGAAAACTGTGTGAAGCGGCAGGAACTGTCAGAGGCAGAAACTGCCTTGCGGCAAAACATCTCCCAGAAAGGCTCCGGAACTCAGAGCAACTGATGTTTTCACTGACATGAAATGACTGTGGCATACTGTGGCCGCGCCACAGTGATGAATTTGCGGAAGATTTCATGGCGGAGTTGTGACCATTTAACATGATTTAACCATATTTAACCTATCTTTGACCTAAATGCAAGTTTTGATTGAACTCCCATGTCCTCTTCATTTGATGGTTTTCCTTTAACCAGGGTGAAATGAGCCATGCCTATTTGAGTGCGCAATCTGAGTGCGGGTCGGATTTTCATGCATCCAACTCACACATTTTGCCCATGTTATGAACACCCCACTCCTTAGGAACTCCCCGATTTGTAGATGAGTTAACTATAACCAAAAATTGGCAAGTGCATGGATTCTCTATGGGAATGCGTAGATTTCAGGTTTGTGAAATACATTGAAATACATTGAAATTCAAGCAAAAGCCCGAAAAAATGTGGATTTTTCCATGTTTTTCCCGAGATGTTCTATGTTTTCCCAGCAGCCTCAGGTGAGAATGCCTACTACTTCGCCCACAACCGGCATTTTGAGATTCCCGAGGATGCTAAGATCATCAGCGGTCTGGGGCTGAAGGTAAAACTCCAAAAATCTCCAAAAATCATCCATAGATAGGTTGATGATTGAGAATATCTCTATTTGGCATATTTGGGATGCGATAAAATGACCACATGATTGGGGTTCGATATAGTGAGATACTGTTATGTAGTGGAAAGGGATGTGTTTTTTAGGTGCCCTTCACATCTGAAAAAGCCCCAGCTGCTTATCACTTAGGCCCGGGTCTAGTGACTGGTGGTTCTCCGGAGAGAATCCAGGAGTCTGGGCAGATGGATTCTGATGAAACCAGAATAGCCTCGGGGACTAAGAGATGAACATGCTGAGAGTCATGGTACCCTCTGGTTATTTGTTACATAGCTATTGAAAATGACCATTTATAGTGGATATTCCCATTAAAAATTGTGATTTTCCATAGTTATGTTAGTTTACCAGAGGGTATGGTGACAGTCATGGTGACAGTCATGGTGACAGTCATGGTGACATTGCTGCAAGTTGTTTTATCAGAGCACTAGAGATGTGGATTGATGTATGGCTGCGGCTTCAAAAAAAGTCCTCTCTGCCAGAACTGACCCATCATGCCGATGCCATAGGTATCCAATGGTATCCATGGGAAGTTGTACATCTGTCACCGAAACGCCAGAACAATGACGCGGATTTGATCAAAGAGGAGAGAGTCGAGTGGATCAAGGACTGTCAGATCTGAGCATTCCAATGCCCGAAGAGTGGCTGAAGTCATCAATCATCAACCTACCATCAACCTATCATCAACCTATCATTATATTTATACCATCATAAAAAAAAAAAAACATACATCATCAATTTAAACTGATCCCAATTTTCCATCCAATTATATATTTACCATCTAAAAACATATACTATCCATTGATCATCCCAATTTTCCCAAATTGCTCCATTCATATATCCATTATAATATATCCAATTTACCAATAAAACAATCATTTTATATTTAACATCATAAAAAAAAAAAAACATACATTGATCATGATGGTGAATAATATAATTATAGGTCGATGATAGTAAATCCATAATAAAATAGTTCCCATCATCCATTGATCATCCCATTTCTTATCATAGTAAATCATAGTAAATCATAGTATTTATATTGATCATCCCATCATCCATTGATTTTTTTTCTATTATGGCTATTTACCATCATATTTAACCTGTAATAATCTGTAATCCATAATCCATAATTATTAAATTATAACCATAATCCATAATTATATAACCATAATTATGATTACACCTACCATCATCCATTGATCCCAATGTTCCATCCATTTCAAATGGCCATGGCCCGATTTCTCCAGGACTACGCCTGGGCCGATGCCGGCGCCAAGGTCAAGGTCTACATCGAGGTGCCACTGGCACCAGGGGCCTCAGACGACTCCGTCTGGGACTCCAAGCAGAGCCCGGTTTTGGAGGAGAAATGGCCCAGGATGAAACGCTGGAGTTATGGAGTTATGGATGGTTTATCTATGGAAAAAATCGATCTGATTTGATTTTTTTGGGTGAAAATAGATGAAAATAGATGATTCAACGGCATTCTGTTGGAGAATGGCTTGTGAAAATTGATGATTTATGAATAGTTTACCTCTTCAACAATGGTGATGTTCCATGGCTACGTTAAACAACCAGAGTAGATGGGTAAATGATGGGTGCACGAATTATATGTGTTGACCATCATAATTTCACTTCCCACTCTCATAAATTGGGGTATAGCCATAATTTTGGGATATGAATGATATGGGATTATGGATCAAAAAAACCTATGATTTTCCGTTAAAAATTGGGGAGGAACATGGATAAACATCAATCCGAGCCGTTTCGGTGTTCAGGGCAGCAGGGTGCTAGCCTTACCCATATGGGTTTGTCGAAAATGAAGGGAGGGGGGGCGGCAATTTATGACATTTTATTGTTGGAGAAAATCCACGGATTCAGATTGTATTCAGAATGTAATCGATATGCAATGGATACTGATTGGTAAACGTTTAAAAAAAACTATGGAAAGATCCACCCATTTTGAATGGGAAAACTCACTATTTCTATGGCCATTTTCCAGTTCGCTTTTTTGTATGTTTACCAGAGGGTATGCAAATCCATGGATGATGTTTTTTGCGTTTTTTGCAGTGGATTGAGTCATTGAGGATGGTGAATTTTCCATCCAGTGGCTGGTTTTGTCCTAATCTCCAGATCATGACACCCAGGCGTCGGCGACTTTTGACACCAGGTGCACAGAATTTCAGGGCGGAGCTAAGGGGAACCACAATTTTTTTGGACCGCGCAGGGTGCATTGCAGGGTGATATTGGTGATACCCTCTGGTAATTTGTTACATAGCTATTGAAAATGGCAATTTATAGTGAGTTTTCCTATTAAAAATGGTGATTTTCCATAGTTTTTTGTATGTTTACCAGATGGTATTGGTGATGAGCTTGTCTTTTTTTTGACGAACATGGCTACGAATAGAGAGATCAACCCCAACAACAGATTCATGATACATGGTTAATCCCTGTTGATTGGAACATGATAGCGGATTTATACTTAACCAACGAGATCCAACCGTTGTATTTCATGGAATGGGATACAGGTCCTTTGTGCTGGACATTGCTGGTGAACCAAGGAGGTGCTGTCCGAGTCAAGTCGACTTAAACTGGATCTGAGATCATTAAGCTCCATACATGTCCATATGATGATGTGGATGATGTGGATGTTCACAAGAAATCCTGCTTTCGATCACTTTCTCGAGCTTGATGATGTGCTGGATGATGTGAATCGATGTCAATCCCAGTTCTTTGCAATGAAAATCAGTGGCTGGATGTGACATGAACTGGGCAACTTGCCATGAGTTTTTTGATCAGGAAACTGAAAGTGGACAAGCTCAGTGCTGACATCAAGCCAGAAGAGAGCAAAGTTCGTGTCGAGGTCAGGGCGCTTCGGGTGCCGAAATCCTCAGAAATGGTGAAGTTCGAAGTTCTGATGAAGGGTGCAGGTGAGGTCTGAATTCCCATACTTCAAAATCATCCCATCTCCACATATGGAAACGGGTCAAAATGGAAGACCTAGGGGACCACAGATGTTAGTCTAGTTTAGTATTCACCATCCATAATTTTGGGGTACCTAGTTTTGACCCATACCCATATCTCCACCCTGTCAAACCTCATAGCTCAGAGATTGGCTTACTAGGCTTACGAAAAAATACATCCCCTTCATACCCACATGATGTACCCACTATTACCATTATTTTCGGCATTTTCCCGATTATGGTTGGTTATATCTTCATAAATCCCAGTTGAGTTGTTGCTTTATCACCATAAATCTCAGTTAAGTTGTTGGTTTCTGTTGGTTAATGTTGGTTAAACTTAGTTAATGTTGGCTAATGTTGATTAATGTTGATTAATGTTGGTTAATGTTGGTTAATGTTGGTTAATGTTGACTATGTTACCCTATGATTCCCATAAAATGGGTTGAGAATCACAGGCCGCGAAGGGTCGAGTCACGGTGGTTCTGGCGAAGAAGCGTCCGGCAGCCGAGAACCGGACGCCTGAACTGACCGACAGAGATGGAGGGGTTAGAGGGGAAAAGCATGGAAAAGCCACCGAAGACTTCTGGTAGGTGTTAGAAATGTTATCAAACTTGATCGATATGTTAGAAATATAGCACCGAAACCGGCCTTGAATGATGCCTCCAAGTGGCGACCTTCCTTTTATAGGATGACTTGCTGGCACCGGATTCGAAAACGGGTCCAGCGAAACATCAGATGATGGAAAACCACCGTGATGCGATGGGGGAGAATCAGCTGCCAGGTATCTGCCCAAAACCAAACTTGGAGAATTGTCAACCCAAGATGGAACTTGAGCTTCAAGCAACCAATGTCAATGTGATAGAGCTAGATAATTAGATACCGGAAGACCAGGCCATTCGATGCCATGTTAATATGTTAGGTGTTCGCACTAGTTCGCACTGCCAAGAAATGCCGAGCTATACGAGGAAATTTTAGGCACCCGGTTTGAACATGGTTGGGGATAACCGGATAACCTCGCGCACAAAAACGCCTGTCACAGCGACCGCAGCTATAAGGTGATAACACTTGGCGCAGTCTGGTCCTCCAAAAGTGATCGCGCGGACGCGCGGGCTGGCCGGCAATCATGGCACCTGAATGGGGGGGGAGATCTCTCACATGTCTGGAAAACAAAACAGTCTGAACATGGCCAAGCCGCATCATAGAAAAATATGTTTGTTTCTTTGAGTTTGTTTTTAAAAGAATATCATAATTGTCATATAATTGTCATATATCATCATGTTGCTAAAAGCTTCAAGAGATTCACAGCACTAAATGTGCTGAATCCTCCGCGTTTGTCCGCTCCGATGTACAGCTGGACGTCGCGGCTTCCGCAGTGCACGTTTCGAAGTGGATGGCCGATGACCTATCCGTTTTTCGCGTCGTAATTTTATCCTCAAGGAATTTCTTCCAAACAAAAACCATTTAGGGAAATTACAGATAAATATCCTCGTTGTTTGGACCATAAATTTCATAAATGGTAATTTTTACAGATAATGAAGCATAGACCTAAATTGCTATCATGGATTGTTTTATTTCGCCTTCTTGTAATGGCAATTTGAAGCATAGCACCGACATTCTTTGGAGCAAAATTCCATTTTTTGATGATGGAAACCAGTAAAATCTGATGGATATGGATGATGTTCCCCAGATGTTTCTAAATGATCCCCAGCTATGCGACTCATTTGGTTCATTTTTAGCGATGCTGCAGAGGTGATTCATCCTGAACTACCTGATTCATGACTGGATGGTCTACCTGATGATTAATGGATGACAATGGGCAATGGTAATGGTTCATAGTGGTTGATAATGGGATATAATGGGTAATGGATAATGGTAATGGTAATGGTATTATGATATTGATTTGGATAATGATAATAGATGGCCTGGATGGTAGTGGCTATGTTTGGGACTGATTTTGGATGTCACAACATGTCACCACCCAGAAACCGGCCATTCACTAGTCCCAGTCGCAGCATTTTCCCTACCAGCAAGCTCTCGCCAAGGGAAATATCACACGCGTTTCTTGTATTTGGCAATGTTTGGCATTTACGATTCAAGTTGATTCAAGATGAACTTTTCAATTCGATGCCTAAATAGATCTAAACAGATTAGAATGGTATGGTCAAACTGGTGGTATCTATATAACTAGTTCCCTTTGAGCCACATGGCGATTTTCTCATTCCAAAAGGCTTGGCTTGGGAGCAGCTATGGCAACTGAGAAACTCAAAGACCGAGCCGGAGACCACATAGAAACAGCCACGCTGCCGCCCTTGCTGTGGCTTTCGGACCATGGAATGACCAAATAGGTACGTTCACAAAAATAACTGATTTTCGGTCCACAATTTCATGATCACTTGATAACGTCATGGTTAAAGTATTCTCCATTTTGCGACCTACCCTTAAATGGTGGCACGTCGTGGCAGTGACAATCTGAGTTCGATGTGTTGTTGGAAGGTCCTCTTCGGCTGCTTCAAGCGGAACTTGAAGAACGATGTCAAGGTCTGCTGTCCAGTTTTTGCAATGAGTTGTGGCAGTCTTAGAGGTAATAGTTCACATGTGCTAAGTCTACTCAGTCTTGGATTAGATTGGATTAGATAAAAATTAGATGATTAGTGCATTCGTATACTTTGGGGATCACAATTTGAGCAGCTTTTTTCCATACTTAAACTCTTGCCATCTCCATTTACCATATGACTTCAGGTGGCACAGTTGGTGGGCTATGTCTCTGAACAAGCTGCCTACCATCATGGCGAGACGTCCTTGGTGTTTCGCCCCAGTCATCGGATCATCGAATCATCCATCGGCACTTTGGAAAAAAAACACGGCTGGCCACTGAGTCGGAGACCATTGTGGGCATGGCACAAGACTTTGTGGGCTCCAACAATATCAACTTGTGGGGGAACCCACCAGGGGGGATCCTGGATGGTTCTGGTTGCCGGGATGAGGATCGAGAAATCGAGAACTGACCGGTTGACGGCCTTTTAGGGTTGACTTGCCAGAGCAGGCACAAGTCATGGTAGAAACATGTTGAAAAATCAAGGGTTTTCCAAAGGATCCAGAAACATTCTGAACTCTTCAAGCTAGTCGCCCTAGAAAAAAGGGGCATTGAAGGCAGCTTTGGCTGCCCAGATGATCCATATCTGGTTGGTGGTTTGGAACATGTTTTTTCTATATATTGGGAATAATCATCCCAACTGACGAACTGTCGAATTTTTCAGAGGGGTAGGTCAACCACCAACCAGATATACTTCATCTGGATTGATCTCTACTGATTCATGGGACGGTCTCGATTTGGACCTTAGGCTCATGCCGCAGGGTCAGTTTGGCACCCGACTCCAGGGTGGCAAGGACTGGGACAAGGGGTGAAGAATGTCCAAAGAATGTCACTCCTGGTGTACCCTCTGGTAATTTAACATAGCTATTGAAAATCACCATGCTATTAATGGGAAAATCCACTATAAATAGCCATTTTCAATAGCAAACTGTTAGTTTACCAGAGGGTAAAATTGAGGACTCACTGAACAGTGACATCCTCTGGCATCGCTGTTTTACACCATGATGATGCCATGTAACACCATGGAAATCTGAATGTCTTACGGAAGCGAGATGGGTTTGTCTGAAAATGTTGGGTTAATCTTCCCAATGATAGCTAGCCATTTTTCATAGGGATAATGATCAGCAAAACCATTGGGTTTAGGGGTACACGACATTTTCAGACACACCCAGATCTTGGCAATTCACAAGGCTGCCAAATTGGCGAGTTGACATTGAATCTGTGAGACGCCAGGATTCTGCGTCAGCGAGGTACATCTACACCCGTCCCTGCTCTCAGTCTTAGCTGTTTTAGTGCCTAAAAAACCCTCCACTCTTTTCCAGAAACAACCTTAAATCTATGGCTGGTTGGACCCTAGATAATACACATGGTGATTTTCCATAGTTATGTTAGTTTACCAGAGGGTAAATCTATGGCTGGTTGGACCCTGGGTTCCTGAGATGCCGAAAAACCATCCAAAACCATTCCAAAACCATTCCAACTTGGGTCAGCTGCACATGGAAATGCTGCACAAAAAGCCAGCGATTCCGAGGTTTGGCCCCCATCACACGAGCCATTTTTCCGGCAGCTGCCGGGATCTCAATAGAGAATTGCGGAACAGTTACAAGGAAACATTGCTTAAGTGGAACATGAACAGGAGATAACAGCAGCATCTGTGATATGGTTTCAGTTAACTATAAATACCGAAAAAAAATACGAAAAATCTACTGACAACGCTCTCGGTGTTCTGTTCGTTCTGAATCATTTTTTATCATTTTTTAGTCTCAGTGCACCGAGGACGACCACGTCTTGGAGTACCAGAATGAAGATGGCCTTTCCGTGGAGCCCCGTAAGCTTCCCAGCTGGTTGATGTACGTGGCCTGCAGGTGAATCCCTCTGAAAGCAACGTGCCCAAAATCATGCCATATCCATGGTTCATTCCTCAAAGATCTTATAAAGTTGACTGGAATAAGATTGTGAGATTCGAAAGATTGTCAGATGTTCAGTCATATTTTTTGTCACAAAACAAGTTTAAACATGAAACAAAAACAGAAAAAAATCCTCCTGTCAGCTTTTCGTGGAGCAAAAACTGAGGCTGGTATTGCCCCATCCTTCCCATGGTGCTGGTGAACGGCGTGGAGGGCATTGGTTGGGACCTCCCGTTGTGTCACGCGGTGTGTTTTTATGGATTCTGATGCGGTCTGATGCGAAAAAAAGCAGTTAATGAAGATCATCTTTAACGCTCCATGGATCCAAGGAAGATTTTTTCCAGGCAACATGATGAAAGCCATGGAATTTCACCCACAAGCAGGAAAAGCAAGGAAAACCCAGGGTTTTCCTGCTATTTTTTGCTAAAAATAGCTCCTTTTTTTCTGCCAAGGAACTGGCTGGAGCAGCTCTGTGCCCAACTTCAACCCCAGGGACAGTGCAGAAACACTGGGGGGATTTCAAAGTTATAAGGGAATATGGTATATACATGCAGTATATATTCTTTATGAAGAGGTCATACTACAAATACGTTTTTTTGTTTTTTTAACACTTCATAGCTATTTGTTTATACAGAAACATGTGCGTTAACATGTCTGATGACTAAGAAAATTTAAGATGAAACCATGATGAAACCCTGGCGGATATTTCAAGATGAAGATGAAACAAGTCATCGCATTTGTTTGCTTAAATTTCTTATGCTAATGATACTGATGTTGATGTTCAGGTTCTACTTCATAAGTGTCGCATGTTTCTTGCAGCCATGGATCTCCTGGTTGCGAAATCGCAAAGAATGATCTCATACGAGTCTCTGATTCCATGACCAAATGCTAGGGATCTCTTGACAGAGAATCCATCAACCAGACTTGATGTGGGGAATCATACCAAAATTGCTGTATTTCAGGTTGGTGAGCTATGGATGATGATGATGATGATGGGTCAGACTTTGAAGTACTCGAAATTGGATAGTTCAGAATACGATAAATCCCATGACCGGTACAGAAATGTCGACCCGAAAAACACCAGGACATCATCAGCAACTTGAGGTGCTGCGTGTCTGTGTTCCACTCATCGATGGTGATGTGAAACCATGGGAAAACTATGGGAAAACCATTGAATCATGGCATTTCGTCATCACTGGCATCACTGTTCCTTCAAATTTCAATCATGTTCATATTTGTACCGCTTTTTTTTTCAACTTTTGGGAGCGCGAAACTCAACAGTTCAGTTCAGTTCAGAACGGGTGCCTGGCAGTGGCTTCAGTACCGTGACACGAGGCGATGGTTGAAAGGGAAGCAATTGGAAGATATGACGCCATGGTATGCAGGCGAGGTCACTGTTGGGCTGTTGTTTTTTTCCATGGAAAATATCCCATAGGATCCATGGTGCTGGTATATTCATGCTAACATAAAGGGGGTATATTAATGGGATCCATGTTACCATATATGGCATACATGGATCCTATGGGATGGAAAATATGAATGGAACCTATAGGTTTTGATTGAGTTTTGATCCATCCAATGATCATATGACATTCATTATTACACAAAAAACAAAGACCAGAAGTTCGGACACCAACTTTCGCAACAAAATTCTCCGATTCTGCCGATAGTCGAATCAAGTTGATGCCGTGTTCATCCATTCTATATCATATAATATGCCAAGGCTGCCTGGGTGGGATGGCATTTTCCATGGGCATTTTCTGCCAGGTTTCTGTGGTCGAATTGTGAAATCCAAGGAGGAAGGCAAGTTCGAGGCGACCAAAAACCAGTTGTTCCTTTCGATATTTTTGGGTAACCAAAAGGAAGTTGCGAAGCGGAAAGTAGCAAAATACCGATATTTCATAGAGTTGTTATATGGTTTTATCAGTTCTTATCAGTTCTTCACCCTTCACAGTGTGGTTTCTCTATCTTTTCCTCAGTTTTTCAGTGGTTTTTGCTGCCAGGTGGCCGGCATCATCTCCTATTTGGGGGACAACAAAGCGGAGATTACCGAGCTGCCCGTGAAGCGATGGACGCAGGACGTTTTCCATCGTTTTCCACCAGAGATGGATTGATCATGATTGATCACTGGAGGTAAAACTCTGGAATTTTTACCATCCAAAAATTGGACCATTGAACAATTGAATGGAATTTTACCATCCAAAAATTTAACCATCCAAAAATTTAACCATCAAGAATTGATCAACCATGAATTTCATCTGGGTAAATTTCATCACGACCGAGCCCTGCGACCGAGCCCTGGAAATCATGGTTTAATAAGGGAAATCATCCTCATGGTGGGACGAACATTTCAGCTTAGTGAATTATTCATCAATTTACCATGAATTTCCATGGAAAAACCAGCCATCAATGGAGTAAAGCATCCATTTTGAAGTGCACTTTTTTTTGTATCTTTTAAACTCTGGGTACCAAGCATTTTCGGAAATGCATATTTTATGCACAGCCACATAAGAAATCACCTCTTCTGTTGACGTGATTTTGGCAGACCAGGGATGTTTTTTCTGGTAGAAATGTGTACATTGCAGGCTACATCCATGGAGCTTAAATTAGATCCAAGACAATCCAAAAGGCAATGTTTCATGGTAGAATCATCCCAAGCCAATCCAGGTTCTGGATTTTCAGGTGTGTCTCCGTATGTGTGAAACAATTGGATACAACAAAAAAATAGGGAAAATTGGGCGGCATTTTTGTGTCATGATTTGCTTTGCATTTGAACTTGTCCAAACAAAATTGAAGTACTGCCAGCCCATGTTTCGGCTATGACCTAAAGTTAAGATATCACCATAGCCCACAGCAATAGAAAGTTCATGGTTTCAGCACCAGTGGAAGATGGGATGCCTCTGCCTCTGCCAGGACTACCGGGAATTCCTGGAAGAACATCTTCCAAAGGGCGAGTGGCGCCGGCAAGTCGCTGTCGCTACACAAAAAACACCTGGCTGTGAAAAAAAAATACCCTCTGGTAATTTAACATAGCTATGGAAAATCACCATTTTTAATGGGAAAACTCACTATAAATATGGTAATTTTCAATAGCTATGTAACAAATTACCAGAGGGTAGTGCCACCTATGATGGAGAAAAAACCCTCTGCAGATGGGTGATTTTGCTTCCAGTCATGGTTGATACAGGATGCGGTTGGAGATCCAGGTTTTCCCAAGTGCCAGGAAAAAGAAAGAGGGGAACAAGCTCTTGGAAGATTACCAGGAGTCAAGCACCAAGATATCCAAGAGAAAAACTTCGTTGGTCAACCTGCCGAAATTTTGCGCCACTACTGCAGCTATGAGTCGTGAAAATCCACAGATGGATTCAGGCACCACAGTGAGAAGACGGTCCATTTCGAGCTGAGACCTTGGCTATTTCAGATCAACTCGAATGCAGATGGGTTTGTCTGAAAATGTCGTGTACCCCGAAAAACCCAATGGTTTTGCTGATCATTATCCCTACTAAATGGCTATAATTGGGGGTATACCCCATTTTCAGACATACCCAAATTGAGGGATAAATTGCTGGCTTTGCTATAGCTGAAAGTCAGTGACAATCCCCACCAATCGGGATAAAAAACCCTCTGGTGGACTAACATAGCGAACTGGAAAATGGCCCAGTCGAAATAGTGGAATCACCCATTGAAAATCGTGGATCTTTCCATCGTTTTTTGGGACTCTTTCCCAGAAACAAAATTTGAGTGAAGCAACTACGAACGCTCAGGCTTTCTTTGAGCGCTGAGGGAAATGCGCAGGCTGAAAAGGACCAAACCGACCAAACCCCCAAACTCGGTGGAGTTGTGCTCTAAAGAATTGCCGATTGCCACCTGTGGGGGAATGAATGGATATGTTTCTGAATATTTCTGATATCAAATCCTGCGACATGTTGGGGTTCAGTCCATGTGTGTCTCGATTTTAAACACTTTCAATCGAATTTGGAAGTTTAAGATGACCTACCCTCTGGTTATGACTAACATGGCTATTGAAAATGGCCCATTTATAGTTGATTTACCCATTAGAAATTGTGATTTTCTATAGTTTTTTGTATGTTTACCAGAGGGTATCCAAAGTTTTAAGATCAGTTTATTACAACTAGGCGGCGTTTCACTGTTGAAAATCCTAGCCAAGTTTGATTTCCGATTTGGTTACGGAAATTCCGAGTCAATTCACAGCGCAACCTTGACAGAAGGACAACCTAGAGAAGGCAAGGGGCAACTCTGGAAACTGTGAGGAACAAATCCGTGTGATACCAATCCATTATGGCAATCGATATTTTATATGGATTCTATGTATATATATATATGGGAATCTATGGATTACATAGCATGCCAAACCTCAAATGGCAATGAAAATTGTGTGCCAATTTCGATGTCAGATTTCCGTAAACGCTTGTGGAGATGGCAACTTGGGCGATCGCGTTGCGGCGCGACGGCCTTCAGGCCTTCAAGATGCGATCCTCCATCAGTCTCAACAACATGGCAGGGCTCCGGCATGTGGCCATAGATGCCATAGGGCAGTGTCAATATTCAATGGGAGATCTTCAGGATCCAACAGATGGAGGTACGTAAACGTACCATATTTTTCACGCCATATTTGGAATGGGGATGTTCCCTGAAAATTAGGCATGAAAAATAGGCACTTTTTCTATGGAATCGGTACCTCCGTCCTCAATCGGATTCTGAAAATCCCATTGTCAATATGGTTGGATGATGCATTGGATGATTTTTCATGGTGAAGTTTTTCCAGGTGGAAAACATGGAAAACATGGAAAACATCCAGCACTCAGCACCCTTTTTGGCGGTGAAAAATGACTCATGGAGCTTGTTGGAATTATGTTGGAAATAGATTTTTGGGTGGGCTGAATCTCATGAGTCATTGTTGTCAGTCTTCGAGAACCAGCAAGGTGGTTGAGATGGTGGTTGAGATAGACCCTTGTTGTATCCCATTGCTGCCATTAGAGGGATCCATACAGATCCTATGTCCCGCCAGATGCTCTTCAATGCAGATGGAAAGATCAAGAAATACGACCATACCTCAGACATCCTCAGCACTGGGAGACCACTGCAGATGTCTGTCATGACAGAGCAGCCAGGTAGTTACAGGTCGTACCATGAAGTCCAGGTAGGGGGTCACGAAAAATTCACCAAGGACAGTGCTTTAGACATTTTGAGAGAATTCGCAGATGTGCGGCTTTCCATCTATGAAACGCCAATGCCTCAGGTTGCAACATGCATAGAAACCCAATTGGCCATCCAATAGGAACATCATATCATCATTATATCATCGTTTAGATCCCCATTGGGGTTACAATGGTTACACCAGGCGCAAAGCCTATTTGCTGGCACGCCTGACTCGCGAATGTGAGGCCACATGGTTTTTCCATGGTTTTTCTTATCGGGATCTGAGATTCGTTGGAAGTCACTTAAATCGAGGGCTGCCCTATCAATTTCTGCCACGTGATCTTACGTGGCATCCAGGAAGGTCCCCTTAAATTCATAGATGATTTTCCCAGATAGATGAAACATCCATTTATATTCCATTTATAATCAAATATGATGGAATCATTGCTACGTAAGAAATTGATAGAAACCTCCATTTTTATACGGCAGGTGCTGAGTGCCAAAGCGCGCTTCGTCAAGATGGTCATCGAGGGAAAGATTGTGATCCGAAAGAGGCGGAAACTGATCCTTTTCGACAGTGCCTGAAAATGATGATGTTTTGTTGATCGAACAAACCAAGGTGTAGTATTTTGTTCAACGTTCACAGATGTGTATGGGAAACATCTTAGATGTAGATAACTTTGATCAAAGAGTTGGACAACTTGGAAAACTCAACAAAAAAAAACGCTCGAAAAAGGGGCAGATTCTCAGATTGTTTGGCAAAAGATTTTGGCGAAACTTCAGCTGCCATCCAACATTGAACAAAAACTCGTCTTGGAAGATGCACAGCTCCCTGTTCTAAATTTCGCACTTTGATTAGTTGTTCTTCATCTTCCTGCACTAGGAAGATTGTCGACCTGGCACAGGAGCAATGAGGGGATGGAGTGAAGCATTGATGATTTTTAGATGTTTGTTGTTGTATATGTATACAGTGATTAACGGTAAATTTTACAGATTATTCAAGCTTGGATCGAAGCATGGGTGATGATGGATAGTTGACATTTGTTTAAGATATTTTATGAATATCTCATATTTTGTGTTTGCTTTCTACACCTCTGTACGTGCAGATACACCTATTCATGTTTATGTTATGATATAGACTGTAGTAGGAAACATGCGATTTGCTGTATTTGCATTTTACACATCGTAGTTTCATGGTCGGACTTTGCTTCACCATGATTATCCGATCAACCTCCCATTGTTGGCAGTGGATCATCTGTCTCGCGAGGACCTTCGAAAGAACGGCTTCAAAGCCCTTTGGGAGCTCAAAGGTTGGGGGTCCAGAAGCCCAAGAACCCACCACTAGTGCCCTGCGAATCCAAAAAAGGTGGAGTTCCGGAGGATCCAAACACGAATCCAATATGGAGAACTACGAACTATTCTGAAGTCTCAGATTCCCATCGTCACAATTTTGAAGGTGAAGTCTGCTTCACTGCTTGACACAACTTGAATAAGAGTTGTTTGGTATCCCAATTCATCAGATCGTTTTGTTTCCGCATGCTTGCGGAAATGATCATTCGCCAATTTGAGGGGGCCTTCTTTGTGGGTTTGAACCTCCTGTTTGTTCCAAAACCCCAAGAGAGGATAAGTTATAAGAAAGTTCAGCGGCACTCGAGACCTTCTTCACATTTATGAATGCAGACCGTAGACTCCGTAGACCCCATTTAAACCAAGAACTTAGAAATCGGAGTATGAAACTTAAACTTCTCCTCATTTCATGACCCCACCATATCATATTCTTTAATCTCCTCCCAGTGATTTCCCAAGCTTTCAACATATGTTCCCAACCTTGGGCCAGGGGAAAGTGCTGCAGAGACTGAAGAGAAGGGCGAAGACGAGGCACGCTGTCCTGCCAGATGAATGCTATGTATTTGGGAATGGGTTAGTGCAGCTAGGCTCCCAAAAAGATGGGGAAATGGATGCTGACTTTTGGAGCACTTTCCGAACTTTCCCAAAAAAAGTGTACTTGGAACCTGGCTTTGTGTGGAAAAGGGACATCCCTTGAGAAAGAATCCGATATGAACTCCAGCCATCTCCAGCATATCGCATTCAAGTCGCTTTCAAGGCGGTCCCGCATGCCGCAACACCCGTTGTCTCGTGACAGGAGGCAGATGAAGATGATGGCTCTGGTGAGGACCTGCTGAAAGTCCTGGGACATTTTGGGCTCTTTGGGGTGTCTGAAGATGTTCAATGATTTTCATCTTCACAGGAGGGTGATGCACCTGATGCCACAAGGAAAGCCGTCAAGTGCGCCTAGTATTTTTTGCATCCGCTGTGTTTGGTTTCTCTCCAAGTTTCCATAGTCTATGTCTATAGCATTCAAAACCAGATAGGCTGATTCTTGGGCCAATCACTGTGAAGAGCTACTCCCATCCATGTCTTGCAACTGGTGCCCGTCTGCCGAGGGATTTCGAGTACCTGGTTGGAATGCCAATCTCAACCTTGACCGCAGAGAAGGTTGCAAAGTTGATGCAAGAGCAAGAAAAGAAGGCAGGGACAGCAGGGACCAAAGGGCAGTGGTTGCTGAAGGGCTTTCCGCAATGCAGGAGCACTGACCTCGAACGTCATGATTCATAATTGTTCTCAAAAATCATCGCAGATTGGACGTGTTTGTCTCCAGTTGAGTCTACTAAGATTCGAAGCCATTGCCGGAGTTCCTGCTCAGAAACCAAGGCGCAAGAGTTGCAGACCTTGAAGCGAAAGAAGCCTTCGGATCTTTGGTTGGAGGCAGCAATTTTCATCCAGCTTCGTCTCAGCTCCAAATCCAAAAAAATCGAAGATGTGCCATGATAATCCATGAGAGTTGACCAAAAAAAAGATGGCCAAGTTCAACATGGACATCCTCAAATCTGGCTATCCACCCGGGTTTTTTGAAATGTGGAGATTCTGGGCCCTCATCCCAGAACCATCAGAACCTCAGCAGATGGAAAATTCCTGTTGAAAGTCGAAGAAAATATGTTCCAATGGCTGATATCGCTGATGGGAGAATGAAAAGGACCGGCCAAAAAAAACATCATTTACCATCATTTACCATCATTTACCCATCTTCAGCAAATCCATGGAACTTCAAATACACTTGGATCATCTTGGATCTGCTATGATCAATGCCTCGAGACAGAATATCTATGTCTACCAATATCATCCAGGGATCAATCAGAAGTTGGTAGATTCCTCTGCTATCGCAGGATCTGGAGGTTCTGGAAACAGCTCTGAACGAGCGAGATGCTGCCAGCGCCTCAATGGATGTCTTGGGGGGGTCCACTTTAGCCAGCAATTCACGGATCGTTCATGTCTATGCCTCAAGAGATCAATTGATATCAAGAAAGATCATAACAATAAATATTTATATCTTTCATGTATAGAAACATATTCATTGCAAAGAATTCGCACTTTGCTTGCCGCTTTGGTTGGGGTGATCATGCATGTCTTTTTCCTTAACACTTCGCACCGGTTGCATCGAAGGCCGCACTGCAGGAAGAAGAGAAAGAGCAGGCCTGTCAAGATCATGGGGCAAGAACCTCCGAAGTCTCTGTGCAATGTAGCGTCATTTCTTCCGAAAACATTTGTTGTTACCCTCTGGTAATTTAACATAGCTACTGAAAATGGACATTTATAGTTGATGTACCCACTAAAAATGGTGATTTTCAACAGCTATGTTAGTTTACCAGAGGGTACTTCCACGAACCAAACGACGTTAACATTTCGAAGAAATGGGAAGTGCGGCTCATCGTCACCCTCATCCTTCCGGCGCCGAGGCGAAAATTCAGAAGGCCAAATCAAAGGCCAGCGCAGGCGAGAGAAATTCGATGCGTTCAATCACAGGATTTCGGGATATTTTGGGTGAAGCACTAAACAAACTTACCCTGATCCATCTATGGTTCCATAGGTTCCAACATTTACCCTATACATCACCCAGTATCACCCATGCATCACCCAAATGTGGAGAAATAATGATAACTATGCCATAGATGGAGCGCGTCTGTAATTTCGCTCCCAGGACGTCGCAGCGTGAAGCGAAGCGCTTCTGGACCCCCAGCGGCTTGACAAAAGGCCTAGGTGGTCCCAACAGAACTCAGCAACCATCAGAAGTTGGGTTTTATTCTTGGGGTATTAGTGTGGATTAGTACATTTTATTACGTTATCAATCTTCATCAATCTTTATCAATCTTTATCATCCACCACCATCCACTTCTATATCCACCTAATTACGCCAAGTAATTATCATGCTTGACATAAAAACTGATAAGTCGACTGTAAGAACTGATCAGTGCGGCTTTATCTCCAAATATAGGCTGGGTACATGGAAAAACAGGATTCGGCCATTGAGAATGGATAGGCTGTGCTACCGCTAACTCACCTTTTGAGTTTCAGCTCGAACAACTTGTAGACCTGGTGTTCCAAGCCACCAAAAAATCACCAAAAGTTTCAGAAATTTGAAATGCAAAAATCGAGAAAATCTCAGATATTATATCAGATACAGATATATTTTGATACATTGATACAGATATGTTTTTCCATTGAGCAACCCAACTGAATTTGGGGGCTTCAAGGTTCTAGGTCACCATCAAGATCACCCCAAGGCGCCCAAAAGTGAAGTCAAGCCGAAGGCAGCCAAGGAAAGCCGCTCCCAGAGTGTAGGCGCCATGCTGCTGTGCTGGATGGATGATCAAATCCTGGAGAATCCTGAAACCACTTTGATTCTAATGATGTCTAAGGATGGATGATTCTCCAAACGAATTTGGGTGGAGCTTTCGTCTTTTTTTTTGTCCCTCGAAACTCTCCACTTTACTGGGGTGGAGAATAGTATAATTATATCATATAATAGCAAATGTCACTTCGAAGACGGAATCGCTTCGTCGAACGCTCAGAGCTTCGGAACGGCCATGAATTTACCATCCAATCCATAGATCCTGGAAAGTTTCGCATTGAGTTCAGGGACTGCATTGCCAATGAAAAAGAAACCCACCCGGAAATTGTCTCGAGTTCAGAATTGGTCGTTTTCTATCGCTTCTGCACCGGCATTCACAAGAGGCAGACGTGGCATGAAGCGGAATGCTTCTGGACCTTTGGAGGTTTGTGGCCGAGATATGTCGATGTTTTCTCATGTTTTCACCTTACCATCCGCTAGGGCTGATTCACTTAAATTCCACGGCAAAAAACACTGATGGAGTCAGGCAAAATGATTTCCACAGAATTGGCATGGCATTTGCAGCAGCAAAATCCCAACGGTACATTTCTCGACTGAGGCCGCGTGATGCAAGCGCAATTTGACAGCTGAAAATTCAAGAGATAGAATTCAGACGTGCCGGCAGGGCTTGTGATGGGTGTTGGTACAGAGCCATGCCAAATTCAAGGTCGCACAGTCTGGGAGAATTTTTATGCAAAACAGCTGCTGTCCGTGCTTTGAAGTACAACTTGATAGGAAGCAAAATCTAACATTTAACATGCATGTCTGCAATGTATGTAGGCGTCAGCCAGGAATGACATGCGGGGTTGTCCCCCAAAATTGTCCTTGAATCGGCTGTTTGAATCCACACTTTTTCAGCATCAAATTTGGTGCAAAGTTGCCACTGGGTACTTGCTTCCCAATGTGGGGGCACTCAGAAAACTGGAGAGGATGCGGTGGTCCTGACTTGCTGTATGGGCCAAATTGGGGGCTCCTAATATACGTATGGTAGCTGCCTTGGATACAAAATATATCAAACTATGAAAGTCTGGGGTTAGTAAGTCCTTTTTTTGACCCGCTGTCATCTTGGGGTCTAATTGCTCACAACTGTAAGGTCAACTTAGAGATTGCCAAGCTTTGAGAGCAAGTGCATGTGTTGAACCATCAACTATCAACAATTATTTTTGCGCCACTTGATTCCAGGGGATTGGCCTCCGCTTGGAGTTTGGCCTCTTGCCAGTTGCCCAGGCTGGTTAGGGAACGTTAGGGATATGAACAAAGCGCGATTCCACAACTACGTTCTCACGATTCCAGAACCAAAACCAAAGGGATATGGGGATGGCTAAAATCCGAGACATGCATAATATTGCTCAATGATGGTTGATAATGGGTTGTTTCTGTCAATCATGATAATAAGGACTATACTGGTCATTAATCACCGTACTTGGGCAGATGAACAAGTTGAACATTGAGTTATACCTACACAGTGACCAACTAAGCTGATGCATTTTGATCCAATGTCACTGTCTTCACTCCATCAACATGTCCAAAACTGATTCAATTCTCCAGATTTGGATTGAGGCAAGTATGGTGGCTGTGAGTTTCGCAGCATACGCACACAGAAAGTGAAGACTGGGATGGGTTCAAAGTGTAGCAGCTTGTAGCCAGCTGCAAAAAAAGTGCCGCTAAGATCTACTGAAATCCTATCTCAGCCATTTCTTTCTTGGGCCACTTCTTCTCTGGTGCTCTTTGGGTCACTACTTCTCTGGGTTGCTTCTTTTTCGAAGCCAACGCTGCCCCTACCAGTTTTTTTCAGAGTTTTCATTGCCAGATAAGACGAGACCCGCACCATATCCAGACCTGCCCTGCACGTAGTTTTCCCAGGACCCCTGCAACTTATTTGAAGGTTTGATATTAAGTGGGGCCGGCATTGCATTCCCACCTCAGAACAGAGGATTCACGCGACAACAGAGAAGAAAAAATATGTGGATTTGTCAAAAGCCAATGGAAAGAAGTCCAGCCATCTTTTCCTGCAGAAGAGTGTGATGTCATGTCTTTCAAGTTTGCCCATCGCTTTCTGCACATGCGGCGACTTGCCTGCCCTGTCAGAGACTGACAATCCAGGGCCAAAAAAGTGCAGTTTCTTGCAGCGTGGAAATGTGATGCAGAGACTCCAGGGACCATTACCATATGTTGAGCCATGTTGTCTTCGTTTTGTCCACCCTGCCCTGACGCCGCCATTGGCTCGATAGTTTTGACAAGGAAGGCTCAGGGCCATTGACAGGGCGCAGGCATCAACTCAGCAAGTTTGACTTGATCCGAGATCAACATGGTCTAGCTGATAATGCCTTCGTTGATCAACATGGCGAAACAGGTGAACCCTCCTTGCTAGATTTGCTAGGCAAGGCAAACAGTTTCAGTAGGCAGGGCGTGGCCATGGCCCAAAGGCGTCCTGCCCTTTCAACGGCATGAGGTCATGGGCAATTCTTCTTCTGCCGCTTTGCTCCTACAGCTGGTGGTGCGAGACCAGTAACCGCACTGGCTGTCGTGGACAGCTGCGGCATTTCGTCCGGGACGCATCCGTTTCCAATCCCTTCTTGGCATGTACTGACATAAAAACATCACCCATCGATGATCCTATTGTGGTGGACTGGGATCTTGATGGTGTTTTAGAAGTGATCTTGAGGACCGAGAAAGGACTTCTGCTATTCGACTTCAAACAAGGAAATCATTTCGTGCAAATGGAGCCAAGTGGATTTGAAAGCATTCCTCCTTTGAAGGAATATTGCAGGCCAGCAGTGGTGGATTGGAACCAAGATGAGAAGCCTGATTTGGTCATAGGAGCGAAGGACTGGCTTCCCAGAACTTCAGTCTGCCTTACTGGTTATCTTCCCAAAATGAGGTCTAGTATCATCAGTATCAAGAAACAAGTAGACTGTTCGGACTATTGATGTTCCAGCAAAGGGTCAGGATGTAATTCTGTATTTGATTGCTGGTTGGAAACATTGTGTTATTTTCCATCCATGTCTATCCCTGGGCCCCTGTTGACATATATTCATGGCCCAACCAGGAGGGGATCCAGTACTACGAAAGGATTTTTGGCGGAGCACTCCAGCAGAGAACCGGAGAAGACAACCCCTTTCGACACATCAAAACGAAAGGAGACTTTTGTTCCGACCTGTCTTTCGCTGATTGGGACGGTGATGGTGATTGGGATCTTTTGGTTTCGGATCTGTTTCTGCCAATGCAATACTTTGAGAACGATGGCGATGGCAGACTATCGCCTGTCGATGAAGAGAGGAACCCCTTTCGGCACATTCTCCAAAACACCACCGGAAGAAGGCCTTTGATGGTGGATTGGAATGGCGATAAACGGATGGATTTGTTGCTCCTGCCAAAGATCTGGAACAGACTTGAACACGCCGACAACTTCATTGGTCACAAGGACAAGTTTTGTTTCGCCCCTGGAATCGGTTTTTGGCAGTGTTTGTTTTCCCGAAGATACCTGACGATCTGAGGGTTGTGTAATTTTTCTGGCAGTGCTGTAACAACTAGATGGCCCCAAGTACATTAAACAAAGACGTTTCAAGTTAATATTGGTAGACAATTAGAGACTTGGTGCCGTATTGAAAATGAAAAAGGAAACCCCCCTTCTTTGCCTCAAGTGGCCATGTTTCTGCGCATTGATCATGCAGACAACAGAGGTAGACTTGTATGAGCAATCGGATTCCGGAGAGCTTTTACTGAGTTCTGATCCTCTTCTTCGCAACAAGGGCTGCAGCAATTTCACTGGCTCTGGTGTATCTCTGGCCGACCTGGACCATGATGGAGATCTGGATGTGGTTTTTGGTGCGTTTGGAGCACCATTGCATGTCTTTGAACGCACCCCAAGTGGATGGCGTGCGCCAAGCGCTGTCAATTCCAGCTCAATTCCGCTTGATATGATTGAGCTTGACATTGATTCCTCAGGTGAAAACTACTTGCACCCAAGCCTTGTTGACTGGGACTTGGACGGTGACCTCGATTTGGCTCTGCTTCATGACAGTCCATTATCTCAAAGGCACCGCTACTTTGAGCATCAATCAGACGGCACTGTCAAGGAGATCAATAGCACAACCTTGTCATCTTCGACAAGTCTCGTTTCCTGCCCGATCGATTGGACGGTTCAGGTCAGCTTTACTGACTTCGACCGTGATGGAAAGAAGGATCTAATCGGCTTTCACTCAACTGGCATTGTGCTCATTTGCAAGCAAACCTCTTCAGGGTTTGACTTGGTGCCGGCTGATATGAATCCTTTCTACTCGGGACCAAAAAGGTCTGAATGCTTTTTGAACAGCAGCGACCTTTGCCCTTGGGACAACGAGTTTTCGTTTGGCCGATTTCATTGGGGCGGATTTCCTTCTTTCGTGGATTGGGATTCGGATGGAGACACGGACATGCTCAGAATTAATGGCCTCAACCAGGCGGGGCTGCAGATCATGTCATCGCTGTATACCATTATTGGGTATGGATCAATACCTATTAATACCATTTTTAGGGGAATGAACATCCATTTACCAGCTATTTTGATGTTCACCAGGGGTACAAGGTTTTGACACACTGCCTTATGCTACAACATGAGACCCCGCGAAAGTTTTTGTCTGAGCTCGCGAAAGTTTTAGTTTTGCGAAAGATTTGGCGAAAGATTTCAACATGAGCTCGCCAAAGATAAACGTGGGGTTCGCGAAAGATTTGCGACAGTCATTTTTTTCGCGGAGAATTGCCGTTTGCCGATAAAGGAATTTAGAACAACCTCCATATTATATATATATATATACATATACATATATATATGCAGTATTATATATATAATGTAATTTTATACTACATTGTGTGTGTATCTGTATAGAGTGCATGTCTCTATGTGTGCGTGTTAATATTTGAGTATCTAGCCCAGGTTTTCAATCTGTGATTTGATGCGAGACAGCTTTTGGGATTGCGACATCAATGCGCAGCAAATTCCTTTTCAGCTTTGCATAGGCCAGCTTGTATCATGAGTCAGCTGGGAACTGGCGCGCTATATTTGTTTCGGCTTCACTCAAGAGCTATTCAGGGCATCATTGATTGATGTTTCTTGCACAGGTCTACTTGTATGAGCAGTTGCCCAACTTCACGTTTCTTCCGCAACCCCTGCCCGTTCCTGCAGCCCGCGACTATACAGCGGCAGATTTCGATGGAGACGGGGATGTTGACATCATGATCTCTGTACCCAATTCAGACCAGTTTCTCTATTTCGAACGGCGAGGCGATGGAAGGCTTGAACGGCATTTTGGCACTGACAACCCGTTCAATGCTGTTGGCAAGGCAGCTCACAGCGAGGTCTTTGGTAAGTTGGGAAAGGCACAACCGCGGGCACGCAGCACTTTGGGTGATTAGGATGGAGATGGTGAAGCAGACCTCATAGTGGTTGACGAGTCGAAAGTGACCTTGTGGATCAACCGGTTGACAGAGACATTTGTGGAAGTTGCTGGAAAGGAAAACCCATTTGGGCAGCTTGGCTTTTCAGATCCAACAACTATAAGCTTGGTGAATGTGTCTGAAAGTGGGATATTGGACATAGTGGCTCCGCGTCTCCTTGGACCCCTGTCTTCCAGAAATGGCAGCTTCGTATACTTCCGACACCACTTGAGTGGAGACCTTGTCGAGCAGCATGGTGCCGAGAACCCCTTTCAGGGCCTGGATTTCCCCGACTATTACAAAGAGATGATAAGTATGGACAGGACATTTGTCGTTGACTTTGATGCAGATGGTGACTTGGACATCATTAGCCAAGTTTACCAGAAGCCGATGGATGGGACACAGGCGAGTGACAGACTCATGATGCCCATGGAGCTTGCCTACCGACGGAATGATGAGGGCCGCTTCAAAGACATCAGCCCTGAGGATCCGGCATATCCCTTTCGTGGAATCGAGTGTAGCCGACATTCCCACTGGACCTTCGCGGATTGGGATCATGATGGTGACCTCGATTTCATACAAACATTTCTGCCATTTAGATCAATCAAGATCGTCGAACAGCAAGTGCAAGTGATCCTTGAGATGAAACGGAATGGAACCCACCAAGCTGCTATCAATGCCTGGATGGAGGATGCCATGGCGGTCAAAATGCGGTTCTTTCGGCAGGACAGAGCTGGGCCTCATGGATCAAACATCACTTTCTCAGAGCTCACGGGGCCTGCGAACCCTTTCCGTCATATCAATGGACTGGGAATCGACTTTGCTTCTCCGGCTGTGGTCGATCTAAATCACGATGGTGAATGGGACTTGGTCGTGGCGAACAAGAAGGGCAACTTGGCAGCATCCGATTGAAAAAGTATTGAATTTTCAACTAATCTGTAAGAAGAGCGCGTTGTGATTCAACATCATCGAATCATCTTAACGCTTTCTCCTCAAGTAGCCTCCTTGGTGCTGAGGTTTGAAGTACTTCGAGCAGCTCAATGGTACCTTTCAGCGGTCAGTGGCCAGTCCTTTCCGTGACATCTCCATCTACATGGGTCAGTTTGCCCTCTCTCCGGTGCCCATTTTTGCAGATTGGGACGGGGACGGATCCACGGACTTAGTGCTTACTGGAACCGACAAGGTTCAATATTTCCAGCGCGGTGTTTGCACACCATCCTCTCCATACTGCCAACAGGGAACCTGCAGCAAGCAAACGTCACAGTGTGACTGCATTCCCGGGACAGAAGGCCCAGACTGCAGTCTTTGCGGTGAATTCCATGTCCGCAATGAGGGTACTGGTACTTGCCGGAAATGCCCTGGCTATGACTCACTGGCAGGGACTTGCAGCCGTCGAGGCCGCTGGGGAAACCTGGCATCATACGCAACTGGACGTTGCTAAACGTAAAGGCCGCATGCACGGAAGAATTGAGTCACGGAAGTATAAGGAGCTGTGCAGAGAAGAAGTGCCTCACAGAAGAAGTAACTTGGAAAAGATCTGCACTCATTCCTTCCTTCCTTCACCCCTTCACTCCTTCACTCCCCCGCTCCTTCACTCCTTCATTTCTTCATTCCTTCGTCCGTTCATCGATTCATCCACTCATCCATTCACCCATGCATCCATTCATCCGTTTGTTCGTTCGTTCACCCAATCATGCATGCATTCAGTCATTCCCTGTTCATTCATTCAATCATGCATGAGTTCATTCATGCATTCACTGATTCATTCCTTGATTTTTCATTGTATCCATGCGTGATCATTCTTCATTCGATCATTGACGATTCGACGCTCGTTTGATTTCATGGCGATTCGCGTCATTCGATTTCATCTCATCGATGATTCATGTCACTCATTGATGCATCTCACTCCGGCGACTCATCCAGTGATTTGTGCGTTCCCAGTGATTTCCTCTGGCCGCTGCTCTATCCAAAATTCCGCCCTGGCATGGCCAAGCGCTATTGGAATTCCTTACTGAGTTTGGCGCTGCCACTTGCTTCCCTTGATTTGGGCCCTGGTCATTTATGCTCCAAGTCGTTTCGTTTCTTCACCACGGAATTAAACCTCCCCAAAAGAATCCGTATTGCTGCTTTTTACCGCGCCTGCCAGGTGAGGGTCTCTAGATTTTATCAGAGTTGCTTCTGCCTTCTCCTTCTCCTCCTTCTTCTCCTCCATCTTCTCAACCGCGAGCGCCAAGAGCTCAGTGGGCACTGCCGGGCTTCAGCTAGATTCCAGAGAGAATGTCAGATGGAATGCCAGAAAGAACGTCAGAAATGTCAAAGAAATTGTCAGAATAGATGCCAGATGGAATGCCAGGTAGGATGTCACAGTATATGCCAGAAAAAGGACCGGATAACCCCACAAGACAACTTCTGCCAATAAGGAAAGACAAAGGAGGTGGTGGAGGACCGAGAAGTAAAACAAAGTTGTGTGTGACAAAGTTGTATGTGAAAGATGTTGTGTGACAAAGACAGATGGCGTGTGTGACAAAGATGTGTGTGACAAAGTTGTGTGTGACAGATGGTGTGTCAAAGATGGTGGGTGACAAAGTTGTGTGTGAAAGATGATGTGGTGAAAGATGGTGTGTGACAAAGTGGTGTGTGAAGGATGGTATGGTGAAAGATGGCGTGTGACAAAGTGGTGTGTGACAAAGTTGTGTGTGAAAGATGGTGTGAGACAAAAGTGGTGCGTGAAAGATGGTGTGTGACATAGTGGTGTGAAAGATGGTGTGTGACAAAGTTGTGTGTGAAAGATGGTGTGTGAAAGATGGTGTGTGTCTGTGACAAAGATGGTGTGTGAAAGAGGGTGTGTCAAAGATGGTGTGTGACAAAGCCATGTGTGAAAGATGGTAGGAGTTGTGTGTGACAGATGGTGTGACAAAGATGGCGGGTGACAATGTGGTGCCGCGGCGTCACCGGCGGCCAACGGCGACCAAGCGCGCCACGCAGTGCCATAAGTGCCACGCCTGCCACGCAAACGAAGGTGGATGTCACCAAGTGCCACACCTGCCACGCAAAACGAAGATAGATGTCGCCAAGTGCCACGCCTGCCGCCCAAAGTACCGCGGCGTCACCGGCGACCAACGGCGACCAAGCGCGCCACACAGTGCCATCAGTGCCACGCTTGCCACGGAAAACCAAGGTGAATGTGAGATGGTGCTACTCCTGCCACGTGAAACGAAGGTGGATGTCACCTTGTGCCACGCCTGCCACGCAAAGTGTGTGAGAAAGTTGTGTGTGAAAGATGGTATGTGACAAAGATGGGTGTGAAAGATAGTGCGTGACAAAGATGGATGTGAAAGATGGTGTGTGACAAAGTTGTGTGTGAAAGATGGTATGTGACAAAAATGGTATGTGACAGATACTGTGTGAAAGATGGTGTGTCAGAAAGTTGTATGTGAAAGATGGTATGTGACAAAGATGGTGTGTGACAAAGATGGTGCGTGACAGGCGGGAGGCGGGAGGCGGGAGGCGGGAGGGAGGCGACCCGGGATACAGAATCAAAAACAAGAACCCCACACAAAGTTGTGGGGAAAAATCAGATAGAATGCCAGAATAGATTTGCCATATGTACTTTCAGATGGTATGTCAGAAACTTTGTCAGAATAGTGCTTCAGCGTGGGGATCGCTCGAAGAAAGAAATTTCCCAAGTTCTCCAATGAACATGGCGATCATTGTTTTTTGGCGAAAATATTGTGTCAACAATTTTAATGTACCCCGCCCTCCACTACTCTCTAGCCCAGGATATTCCCCCTGCGTTTGCAAGCCTTCTCCCCACTGGTGTTTTCCACGTTCTTCACCCGGTCAATTTGATGGCTTTCATTTTCGGAAAACCACAATGCGCTGATTGAGTGGAAGTTTTATGTTCACGCCAGTGTATTTTGCTACTTCATGTGGCAACCCCAGTTGCCAACCATGCTGGCAGTACACCACACATAACCATGCTCCCAGGTCAGGAGGTGCGATGCAGTGTTTGAACTGGTAGATCTTTGGCATATGGTAATCCCAGCCGTGCAACACACAAAAGGAAACTGCATTTTTAGCGTTTCCAAATTGGAAGGCCGAAATTCTTCATGTTTCACGATGAAAATCATAATGGTAAGGTGCCCCACTCTTCAAAACACCAGTCTGGCCTATTTTGAAACCGCCTCAAGAACCAAAGTGTTTGACACAACAGCGACACACCGCCACATCCCCACACAACAATGCCGCCCGCGATGTTGAAAGTTACTCAGGTGATCAAATTTGAAGATCGTTTTATTGGTTTCATTGACCCCTTTCAGGTGTTTGCGAAGATGACGTGGATGCCAGAGCCAAGCAGTCGGCCTCGGGTTCCACAGCAATTTCCGCAACGGGCAGCGGCAGTTGCACGTGCTCAGAACCATTCTACGGGAAAGGCTGTGAACATGGCGGCTGTCCACCAGGACAACGCTTGGACCGAGACGCAGAGGTCGACAATCGCACTGAGAAGTATCCAAAGTGGGAGGCGTGTGTCCCTTGCCAGTCAGGAAAATTCAAAAATTATTCTGGGACCGAAGATTGTTCAACTTGTCCTGGTGGCTACGTCCCGGTCAATGGCACCAGCTGTTTTCCATGTGAAAATGGAACGTTTCCATCACCAGATCACAACAACGAAATTTGTGTGTCCTGCGTGACTGGCTCCGTGGCCATTGCCGGAAGTCCATTGTGCACAGCATGTGAAGCTGGTTTTGAGCCAAATGAAGACAAGAGTCTTTGCATTCCATGCCCTTCTGGCTGGTATGCAGGGTGGGGGTTGTCAAAATGACAAGGAAGTTCAGAAGTTGTTGCAGCTACTGTAGGTGAGCTACAACCTTGCCACATCAGTTCCATAGCTGAGGGCCACCCAAATCCAACAAGTTTATATCAGTTTGATGCGTTTCAGGGAAAATCATGTTTTCAGGCATTTGATTTTTGAAAACATCACACATCATAGCGATTTCGACCCTGCGAGGCCCCGCTCCGCTAAGTGCAATCCATGCGGGGAAGGTTCCGTTCCAGAACCGAGAAAGAGTAGCTGTAAGATGTGCACTGGACAGATGTATGCACAGCCTGGTGATGAGGTTTGCCGAAAGTGTACTTTCCCATCAATGATTTTGGGAGAGGACAACCGGTGCACACCGCTGTATACAGCACTCTTTTTGCTGGCGTTCTTCCTGCTGCTGTTCTTCGTGTTGGCTGTCTTCGGCAGGATGCGCCTTCACTGTCTGAAGAGGCATCTGAACAAGTTGGTTGCAGGAAAAGACTGGGAAGAACTACATTCCACGCAGGCCACTTTATTCGAATTTGGCCTGTGGAAGCACCAAGCTTGCAAAGAGGTATCAGTTTGCAAGCAAAAAGTTAAGTCACAGTCCTTTCAGCTTGGCATTTCTTTGCAATACGTCTTTGAACGGCTAGAGGATGTCTACAAGGACATTGCACAAAAAGCTGAGTGGCGTCTTGACGCATGGGGTCCAGTGACCAACAGCGGCTACTTGGTGAAGGCCCGCAATTGCGGACTTCAACTTCTGGACGCCGTTGCTGCTTGGGATGCGCTGCCAACATGCGAGTATCCTAAAAATCCAAATTTCCACCAGGTGGCAGGGCTGTTGGCATATGGTCCTTTGGCTTTGGGAAAGCATCTGTGTTGCCCACGCGATGGCCAGCCAGACTGCAGTATTGTGGATGCATTACAGGCAGAATCCAGCAGTGCAAAAGCAACCTGGTTCCTTTCCTGGGTCTGGGGCTACAGTTTTTCAACCGTCTACAAGGCGCGGCTGTGGGGATGTAGGTGTCCCAAGCGGTGTCTCCCATATTGCTTTGAATCTTAAGGGCTGGGGAGTTTGGTATCAGTCCTCCATCCAACAAGATGTTTTTCAAGTGAAATCTATCAAGCGAATTACAAAGTCTTCGAGTCATGAGCCAACTAAAGCTGAAGGCTCAAGCATTCAGAAACATTAAGATCTTGGGAAGGAGCTGCTACTTAGAATGCAAAGGCAAGACAAACCATTTGTTAGCATGCGGAGAGTGAGACCATTGCGAATCTGCCAGCGAAAGTGGCAGGGATGCTTGATTGACAAGCCTGAATTCCACCTCCACGTTTTACCTTACCCGGAGAATGTACGTAGTCGCAACCGTAGCAAGATCACACGCGATAACGCAATGCAATGCATGCGCCTTGTTCAACAGTTGCTTTCTTCCTTCATGCACCGCGTTTGGCAGGCCTTGGCCAGATGGTGGGAGAGACACAGGATCATATCGGGCGCAAGTTTGGAGGATGGTATCTACATGTGGTGGTGCGTGTTTGTGAACAACCAGTTCAGAATGCTGGAAGCAGGTCTAGTGGAAGAGCCTGGCGATTTGTTTGATGTCTTTGGCCAGCAGCTGGAGGGCATTGGCAAGATGCTCATGTGTTTGGACAGCATGAGTTCGGGCCAATATACATCGAGAATTTGGTGCATTTTTGAAGTTTTTGTGGCCTGTCAAAGGCCGGTCTCAGGGCATACATGGCGAATACATGGGCATATGTTCTGTGAATTGCGTTGCTTGTTTCATTGCTCCACACATTTCCAAAAGTTGACGTTTTTCGGGTTGAACTCTGTGTGAAAATTTTGTGAGGAGCATTCCGACCACGGTAATACTCCCAGAGCTGGAGGTAGGTGCTGTTGCATCCGTGAAGGACAGGGACAGCCGGCTGTTCTGATTTTGCTGCACTCGCTACCATCTTTTGAAGGGCAGGGTTCCTGTGAGTGAAACGGCATGACTCAAACATTTGCCAAACAGGTCATACACAAACTGTGATCAGATAGCCACTCAACAGTAATTTCTCACGTGGTTTTGGATCACCACAAAGGCATAGTTCTGATTTATTTTGGCGCGTTTGATGAAAGATTTTGAAGGACTTGACTCGAGAATGCAAAGTCGATGCTGAGCAGGCCATTTTTCTCTGCTCCCATTGCTCCCTCCAGCCCTGAGTTCCTGTATTCAAAAGCCTGGATTTCAATATTTTATAGTTTGGTTATGTATTATCTCTGGCGTCACGTGGTTCAACCATTTTTTCAGTCATTAGTCATTGCGCCTAGAAATGTCCATTGCCCAGCCGCCACTTTACAGGCTAAAGCCTCAGTCCAAAAAGATGCGGATGCAATCAAAAAGCACATCAAGGAGAAACACCAGTCCTTCGAGTATGTGAACCGGACTGTTGAGCACGCGCTTTGGTGTGAAGTCATCGAATATTTGGAGCGCAGCGAAAGCGCTCAACCAAGCCATGAGAGCACATCGACTGGGCCAGCTACAACGCTGACAGAGTCTGACGTGTCCATGGAAAAGTCGGAGATGCCATCAGCCCACGCTGGAAAGTGCATTCTTCAGTGAAATTTCGATAGTTCTTCAAGATGCAGTTTTGACAGGCTCGGTTTTGATGATATTTACCTTCTGGGAGTCAAGCATGCCAACCGAAAACGCCCCATTTGTAGATTGGCTTTGACCCATTTTGCCGGATGGTACTCCATTTTAGTTTCGCCTTGGTCATTTTCCAAAGGGCATCCAACCGCCCTTCTCCAAGGCTGTTTAGTTTTTCACGGGGCCCGGCCGCGCGAAGCGGGAAAACCACAACGAGAGCGGAATGAGAAAAGAAACAAAAGGATCTTCCAGGCAAATGACTTGATCTTGTGACCCATTGCACCAAATTTGTATGAGTTTCGCTCGGGTTCTTCATGCATAAAGTTGCGCCAGACTTTGCGAGTGAAAACACACAAGCCTTTGGGTTCAAGATATGGAAAGAAAGTTAACATGTCGTCAGTATTACATTCCAAACAAGCGAGTCCATTTTCTCAACACATGTGGCTGAAATTGGTTCATTGCCAGTTCGACTTTCGCATGTTGTTTTCAACTCAACACCCACTGTTTATCGCAAGATGCTGTTAAGTGTTGACTTTTTTGCTAGGCTACACTGTTCATGACAGAACAGGGTTGAAATTTCCCATGTCAGCGCGGCGCAGCTGAATATTGGGCAATGTGTTCATCTCTGATTTTTGGAAACAACATGTGTTAGTTGCACGATGGACATTACAAGTGACTTGGGTTTGCCCAGAAATTGAGTATACCGCATAGTACACCCCAAATTTGCAATGTTTTCATATCATGGGAAAAGTGACTTTGTGATTTGTTATCCACTGGGGTGCATGGTTTTCCTCAATTTTTTGGGGTGCCAACTTACAATTTTAGATACCTTTCAAGTGCGCAACTGCCACTGCTTGGTGAGGTCTGCTACCTCCAATGGTGATCGACGGGCTTTCGGAGGCCTATCACGGCTAGAGCCAATGCGTTTCTCAGACGTTTAAGGAAGATGCTCTGCAGAAGCTGTGCGCCTGGCCAGGATATCCAAATGCTGGGTACCCGACTGCCCAGCCGTTGTCAACGGCAGCAGGAACTTCTGCCTATGCTGCTCCAGTCAGTGCGAGGTCGGACATTGCTGAAGTTCCGCTAAGTGCTAGATGATTATAGGGCCTTTTCTTCAGAATTTTACAGTGACACATTCTCTCCCATTATGGGAATCCTTAAATACCATCCAGTGACAGATGCCATTTCAACATGCGCATCGCACAATTAGAGTGTACCAAAAATGCCTGGTTGGGGGCTGCCAGGAATGTGGTAAAGACATGTTAAGGCTCCTTTCTTAGCTGCTAACTTCCACCATAGATTTTCCGAAATCATCCAAAATCGATATTTCGTTTGGCTGCAGGTTGGTCAATGCACCAATGCCTTCAGGCAGGCCCTGGCCACAGACATCAGACTGTTGAAACGGCATCCGACCCAATCATTTATGATCTCCAAGATAAACCAGTAGTGTATAGGGGGTTCAGCATCACGAAGTGAGTGAGAGACGATGTGTTGGGCCGGGCCCTCACTGTAATGTTCTATCTTGTTGGGCACAATTTGGGCACAGAAACCATGGAAAAATAGATCATTATCTCCTGCCATTGGCTTTACCATCGTGCGCAAATTCAGTCAGGTGAGCGATTGCCGGATCCAGGTGAGCAAGCCAGTCTGAGTCAGAACCTGAAACCGCGAAACCAGATTTTCAGCATGGAAAGATGGGGAGATGGTGAACAAATATGGAAGGTTTGAGGGTTCACCCCAAGATTCGAATGTAAATTCCGGTGCTTGGTCCAAACTTGATGGTCCAAGTCAAAAATTGAGAAGCAACAAATCACCCAGAACAATGTGCCAAATGATCATTTTCCACATCCATGCTTAAACTTCAGTTGAAGTTCTCTATCACCAGAAAACAAAAACATATGGATTTTCCAACGCTTCCAAAGGTGAACCAGCGAACCAGAAAAGATCCCTTCATGGATTTTTCGGTGATACATCCCCCCCTTTCCCAACCAGATCCGCTCCAAGGCGCAAGCGTCAGCTCCACTGGGGGCCCGGTCCTTCGCAAGAGGCTCTTCGATCAGAACGTGTCGGACCGCATCCACGCAGTGGTGTTGCAAAACATACAGGGAAGCGTTGCAATCCACAGGGGGTTGACATAGTAAGAATATATGTCTCACATATTTTCAGGTTGTATAATGTCAACCCCGGATTAATAAACCAGGGTTTATTAATTAGGGGGGTGTTCCTCCAATAGTCACAATATGATACTTAAATGGTACCTTCCCAATTAAACAGTCTATGTGTTTATTAATCCAGGGTTGACATTAATGAACATGTATACACTAATTACATTTAATTATCAATATTATGTTGCATCCAGTAGGAATGTATTGAGATATAATATAGCCGTGTACAGAAAGAAGGCAATTGACTAGCTACAAGAGCGATTGGACCATCAAGAATAGGTTTTTGATGAAAAAAAGGAATGTTGGCCCTTTATGTCAGTTATAGTTGGAAAACATTTGGCTTTGGGGGACCTCATTTTTGGGGACAAACCCACATGTCCATCATCTGGGGTACCCATGGCCCCAAACAGTTTGTCATGTTTAGAAATCCAGAATTTAACCATCTATTTTTGGGTGGCTGTATAATTTTAAAATATTTCAAACCACACCCACATCATTCCAATAGAAATCCTGTCACAGTGGATGATGTCCGCCTCAATGCGTGTTGATTATCATATTTCGCTGACCAAATTGAGGACCTGAAACATCAACATGGAAAAAAATGTGTCAGCTTTCAAATCTATTTCCGCCGACGTCACTTCTACCATATGTTTCTCTGCAAGCACCTGGCGTTTAGGTTTCATCAAGATCCGCATGCTTTGCCGTGTCCAATCCACATCTTGGTGTTTAACAGCGTTGTTTTAGCCAAAAGTAACGGAGAATTCGGCTGGCCCTTGATGTACCAGATGAAAATCTGACATAGCAATGAAAAAAAAGTTGATGTTTGCCTAATTTTCCTTGGTTTTCCTTGGTTTTACCCTATTGATACCTGAGTTTCCGTCAGGATTGGGCGTCACGCTATCGAAAGCACAAGCAGGGCCTGGACCAAGTGACGAGGTGACATCAAATGGGTGAAACTGGCAATCTGTGAAAGGGAAAATATTGGTAAACCATGTGATTTTGGGCGGTTTAATAATCTAAACCATGGAATTTTTGGGAGTACCCTATTTTCAGATTATCAAAAATTGTACTCGCGTTTATGGAAGTAGTTGTTCACGTTGCCACGTCGATGATCAATGTGGAACAGGCTTTACAAAGGATCAAATGTTCCCCAGAGGCAGCCACTGCAACCGGTTTCATCCGGTTTCCCGTCCCAGGGACTGCGATCTACTCCGATCAGAAGTCTCCAAGCACCAGCACCACTGGCGAGTTGAACTGCGGTTTTCCAAAACATGGTTGTAGCACTGGATGTTGCAATTTGTTGAGGTGCCTCCAAATATGTTGTGTTTTCCTCCTCTTCAACATTTCTTTGGTTTGTGCTGCAGTGGAATCCTTGACTAGTACATTTGTTTGTTCCCAACCCATCAAACATGTGCGCATGCCCAAGGGTAGAGGTGAATGAGCAAGCCCAAAAGCTTGCGGATTTAGAGGACTCGAAGCAAAGAATTCTGCTGCAACAGTTGCCACTTTTCCCGCGTGCAGGGTTGACATTCGCTAATCATGAAACCTGGCAATAGGAAATCCTATTATAAATAAAGGTGTTCATAGGAAAATCATCAAAAAAGTGTGTATTTTCCATTGCTATGTTTGATTACCGCTGAATTTCCAGGTTGTGATACCTGAAACCACCGGCCACTTTTCCTACAGGACAAGCATGAAAACCACACGCTTGCAAAGTTCGCCGAAGCCAAATCGGCACTGGAGGCTTGGGAAGTGTTCGATTGAAAATGTCTCCCAGACAGGCGACTAAATCCTCCAAATACCCTCTGGTAAACCAACATAGCTATTGAAAATTGCCATTTAAAAATGGTGATTTCCATAGTTTTTGGTATGTTTACCAGAGGGTACCCGGAAAAGTGGATTGAAAAGACAACTCCTTCCGCCTTTGCAATGTGTTGAGTAGGAATTCTCCAAAAAAAACACGGAATCCCATCATCCCATCAGAAATTGTCCCAGGTGGCAGGGCAGCGAAAGCAGCAGCTGGCACTGGAAGTGGGCGAAGCCCGCAAGATGAAGGTAGCAAGGGCCGTGCAACGGCAACGGGATATGGATCCAACTTGGGGTCCAGTGGGTTTAAGCAGTGATTGTATTGATGATTATTTAACCAGCTGAATTGGCGGTACCAAAATCTATAGCCAATGTCATCGTCTTTATGATCTATTTGTAAGTCTACAGGATTCATATGAATTTGCTGGATTTAACGAATTTAACCATGTATTTTGCTGGGCTGGTGGCACGACACTGCGCAGGCCCAGCTGGCCAAAGAGTGTAAGCTGTTGAAGGCAGACTATGAGTACCTCGGCCGATGAGTTGATTTTGTGGGTCGTTAAGCCGTTCGGAATCCCCAAAATCCCCAAGAAAGATAAGAAAGATTCGAATTTATAGGATTTATAATACCAAAAAGTGTCAAAGATTCCTATATTTATTTATCTTTATAATATATATATATATATTTATTTATTTATATTTATTTATTTATATATTTATATATTTATTTATTTATTTGTTTATTTATATATATATATTTGTATCTTATGTCTAAAAACGTCCCGCCCAGCGATCCAATCATTGGAAGATCCCAGGCGTAAGCATTCCGAGTTGGCGCGCGGCGCCGAAATGCGGGATAGACTGGAGCAACAGCTGATGAGCTACACTCAGCAACTGAATCAGGCAGGGTCAACGGTGAAGGCAGCCATGGGAAGGGTTGGGGGTTGAAGCAACTAAAGTTGTAGGGTTATGTGTATATATATGTATATATATGTTTCCATGCACCTAGCCACAAATGTCATCACATGTCTACAAGCGCAAAGTTCGTAATTTCAGAAAGACGATCTACGGACGTGAGCCAAAGAGCACAGAACTTGCACTGGAGCAGATGAGGCACGATCCAATGGTTGAGATGTGCCACAAAGAAACCAGTTGGCCTTCTATGTCAAATTCCAGGAATGCGTGAATGCTGGGCAACTGAATATGTTGCTTCCAACAAGAATAGACACCATGTTGGCTCAAAGAGCACTGTGAGCTGCTGGCATTTCAACCATTTTTTTGATAGTTCAGGAGGTTCTTGTTGGACAGTTCCCGAAGCTTCAGTGGTTGAAACCATTCATTGGCAACTCTTGTCTCAGCTTTGAGATGTTCGGCACCTTTGGCATGATCAAGATTTAGGCACTCAAAGTAGTTAAGCCATATGGGCCCCTATAGAGAGTCGATGGGACCGACATCTTATGACAATCTTGGATTGGATTCGATTGGATTGGACAAATAGATAGAAACACAGATAGCCGGTATCCATTCCCTGGCTATATGCCCCCTTACCTTTCCTAAAACTCAAATCGCCAAAAAATGTCTGGAAGAAACTGCAGCTAGCCGCCGAATGTTGGATGGAGGCCAAAGCATTGCAGGTGGGACCTGGGAGGTTCAATCGATTCTTGTCAGAGATACACCCCAAAATCAAGCACGACTGGTGGTTGCGGCAGAGCATACACGTCATGACCTGCGACAATGACGCAGGAAGAGGGAAAGGCTTACTTTTCGCAGAAGAAATACAAGGAGGTGCGCAGTTTGCATATTGATATTCCTATGAAACGGCTCTCAAGAAAGAGTTCTGCCAAGTTGTCAAGAAAGTGCGCATTGTTTGTTTTGACTGCAAATTGATTGATTGACGAAGCAAGGAACACACCTTGACATCCCCAAATGCGTTTCATTACGTATCATTATGCCATCAACAGTTGGATCTTCCAAAACTCCGCCAGGCCCTCCGCTCCTATGCTGCCGCTTTGAGCCATTTGAAGCAGGACGTGGCAGCTGGGCATGGTGAATGCCCAGCTTGGGAAGCAGTGTGAACCAAACTGAACCATGACGGCTTACAATACGCAGCTTACAATACGCAGTTGGTTGATGTTTATTGACTGATTGGTGGTTTGGAACATCTTTTATTTTCCATATATTTGGAATGATCATCCCAACTGACTAATGTTTTTCAGAGGGGTTGAAACCACCAACCAGAGTTGGTTGATGTTTATTAATGATTGGGTTTACTCATGTTTTGTAAAGAAGATACGGAATGAAAACCGGAACGATTCTACACCGAGTTGTCTCAGCTGACAGGACAGTGATACTGAGAAGGAGCAAGCCGCGGCGTTGCGTGCGAATCGTTCCTCAGCTGAAGTTTTGACTGCAAAGAATCTTTGGTTGTTGGTCAAAACCCAACATTCCAAATTTGAATGATGGATTTGTAACATTCATATGGATTTGTCTGAAAGTAAAAAATGTGGTATCCCGGTATACCCTCAATGATGATAGATCATCAGGTTGGGGCGTATCCTAGTCTCGGACAAACCCAAACACTTAGTTTTGAAGTGTTTCTTCTGTTGATGTTTAGGATGTGGGAGAATCAAATCCCAATGTGTTGAAATGATATCACATGCATGCCAACCTCTTGGTGTGTTTAAAGGTGGTGTCTCAGAAATTCGGAAAGCGAGGGGATTTCACTGGACTTCGGCCGGAGGCTCGTTATGTTGCCTTCAACTGGGAGACAATGAACTGGCATTGGCAGAGGCTGGGATGGAGGTAAGATGCAGAATAGCTGTGGGGCCACTGCAATTTACAAATTGGGATGATGAGAAACAGTGATGAACCATTCTGTGGTTATTTCAAGGTCAGTTAGGATTGGAATACCCATCCCAGAATTGAAGACTGCCTTGGCATCACTCAAGGTGAGAATCATTACCGGGACAGAAGTTCTGGGTGGTTTCGCCAGCTCTGCAAACCAACATCAACCCCCAATCAGAAGCAGATCCACAGACAAACCATCAGAAACCCATCAGAAAAATCCGTGACTCACCAACCCTGCAGGCGGAACAAGCCAAAGTTTTGTCGCCCGCCTGGCCGAAAGCACATTTTCGTGTGGCCACTGCCCTCAAGGCCGTTCGAGCCAAGTCGGACCATGTTGCGTTTGTACCGTGACAATCAATGCTGACTTAAGGACCAGCAAATTGTGGGCCAAAGTTTGAAGCTTAAGAAACCACCACCTATCGCAAATGACGACCTGACTGCGGTGTCTCTTGAATGATCGGTACCAGAGGTAGCTTTCCGCAGCCTCATTTCCGATCAGTAAATTAGTATAACTTATCTAGATCTACGTTAGTACTTTTGACGTCTCAACCATCTTCCACTCCCAAGAAGACACGTTTGTGTTACACTAAACATGATGAGCGCCAAATTTGATTTGGATCCGTCTCCATGTCAATACTGCTCGACAACGATCAAAAATAATCAACAATGGTCAAGTAACAATCAAGAATCAACAAGAATTAATCATAGTAAATAACAAACAATAGTAGTCATCAACAATCAATAATCAAACCAATGATCAGATCAATAGAAGTCCATCAGATAAATGTCCTCATATCATATCAATTCATATCAGTCAACCCATAATCATCAATCTAACAATGCAACAATGCACGACATCATCTATATCCGTCATCAAGTCAAATTGATCCATTGTTTACAATAGTTAACAGTCGTCCATAACAGTCAATCAAAATCAAGAATAGTCTATATATATATATGTATGTCATTATTGATTGATTATCCAACTGGTCTCTTAAATTACATAGTGGTTTTCATATCAAATATCATCAATCATCAACAATCAATAATCAATAATGAATAGATTAACATCAACATACATATTGTGAATGTCATTTATCTCCAATAAACACTACATCAAGTCGCCATTGGTCGCCATTGGTCGCCAGGCCTGCGGGCGTTTGGGCGATGCACGTCTGGCCACCTGCGAAGCCTTGCGTTTGGCGCCGAAGGATGGCACCATTCAGGCGGGAGTCGGTGGTGGGTTCTCTAAACTGCGGGGGTTATACAATATATTACATTTATTATATATATATGGATATAGATCAATAGTATGGCAACATGTATCATATATGTATATCTATATATCTATCTATTATATATATATATTTATTTATTTACATAGTGGATATAGATCAATGGTAACATATATGTACATATATATATTTATTTATTTATATTTATATATGTTAATATATCATCAATGGTAATATTTGTAATATGTCAGTACTATTGATGGATTGATGGTATCTTAGAATATCGATCATATCAAAATAAAAAGAAAGTGAGTATATATATATATATGAATATAATCAATATGTTTCACATTGGGTCAATTTGATATCCTACATATTGGATTGATTTTTTTGCAGCGATCAAACATGTTGACGGAATCTCCTCGGATCTTCCCACTTCTGAAGGCCTTGCAAAAGGAGCTGCGACAAGAGCTCTTTGCAGATTGCAGCGCATTCGGCGAGGTGCCTGGGTCAGTGAAGATTTGGATATTTTGATGTTTTTCTCATGGCTAATGATATATATGTGGATTATGTGGTGCCTCTGCTCAATGATACATCACTCAAATCATCCATATTGGGTGGAGGTTACCATGGCTGATGATATCTTGATTATTTGATGATCATTTCATGATTTTTTCCATCCATTTTTGATAGGGATAGCAATGGAGATAGTTTCCTGGCAAAGCCAGGCCCTGGACGCGTTGGAGGATTTCAATCGCTCTCCTGAAGAAACCAAAAGGGCTGCGCAGGCGCCGATGTCACTGAGGGTTTCAGGTGAGAAAGGCCCTGAAAGGCATGAGGTTTATGAAATTGGGTAGTCTTCTGATATGAAATGAAACCCAGCTGATTGGTTTTAGATGATGGTTTATTGGTTTGTTATTGAGGGTTACCACATTGGATGCTTACATCGTGTTAGCCACACTGGTGACACAACCGCAGGTCGTCAAGGACATGCTGTTGAGCAGCTCGGCAGAACCCCAGATATATTTGGGTATCACATGGTATATCAGATATATCACACTTCTCAGCCCTGATTAATTTGCCAAACAAAACAGAGTTCGTGGTGGTTTTTCATGTTTTTTCACCATCTCATCGGAAGAGGTTTTGGTTGTATCCCAAATCCTCGGTGGAATGGGTTGCTGAGGTGATGTGAAAGAGGACGTCTTGCGAGCGTTCATGGCGTCGGCAGGATCAAAGACCATCTTTCGACGTCAGTGCCATGGCTGTTCCGACGAAAGGGCAAATTTCAAGCCTGGAATGGCAGGATGCCAAGTTTTTGTTGGAAGCACCCAAGTTTCAGGGCTGATTGTCCTAGTTTACCTTATTTTGACCCAGAGAGATGTTAGAAAAACATATGAAAAACATCATTTGGAGTGCCATTGGAGTGCCATTTTTATCCATGGCTGTCACGGCTCAGGAATGCCATGGGAGATAACTGGCAGGAAGAAGCTCGGAATGGCACCATGTCTCTCCTCAGCGAGATCACCAAAGCAGGTGGGGGGGGCCTTCCACAGGATTCCACTGGTGGTGACTGGAATATGGAAAATCACCACCCATTTTTAATGGGAAAACTCACTTTTTGAAGCACTATATAACCACTGGTTGGTGGTTTGGAACAATAACTATGGAAGAATAATATAGTTGATGATTATTCCCAATATATGGATGTTATGATTTTCCCATCATATTGGGAATGAAAAATCATCCCAACTGACTTTCACTCCATCATTTTTTCAGAGGGGTAGGTCAACCAGCAACCAGTCCACAATACTGTAGTCCATATTTATTGCTGTTGCCACTATAGTCAATATCGAATGATGAAGAAAAATTGGAATGAAGTAGGTACCAATGACTTCACACATTGTAGAAAGATCCATAGAAAATTAGAGAAATCTCAAGAAATACCCTCTGGTAAACTAACATTACTATGGAAAATCACCATTTTTAATGGGAAAATCCACTATTTTTATGGCCATTTTCAATAGCTATTTTGACATAACCAAAGGGTAGGCAGTGAGCCCAAGTTCCCAGGTCCCCAACTTGAAGAAGAGCTGGTCCGCTTGAACCAAGAGGAGCAGCAAGGGAACCGGGGATGAACTTTGGCAGATTTTCCATGAAATCATCAACAAATATCTACCCTCTGGTTATGTCAAAATAGCTATTGAAAATGGCCATAGAAATAGTGGATTTTCCCATTGAAAATGGTGATTTTCCATAGTTTTTTGTACGTTTACCAGAGGGTATTGAATTCTATTGAATCTATTGGTCACTTGGACACCCTTGACTTTTGGTCAGTGTTAATCATCGCCCAACAGTTTCTGCAGGCGGAAGCCCTGGAAGGCAGCTGCAACGCCGCGGGCTGCAGCGATCCTCATACCATGAGTAAGGCCCAGGAAGCCAAGTTGGACCGACAGAAAGTGGCGCCACCACCGGCACTGCCTGAGGAGGTGCCACTGGCCAGCTGAACTTTCAGAAAATGTTGAGGTTGAACCCCAAAAGAAAATAGGAAAATAGGGTAGAACCAATGTTGCTACGGAGTTTTGAAGCGGGATGGGCATCCAAATTCCGTGTAACTTGAATGGGCATCTTGATTTCAGAGATTGGTCAGCACAAGACAGGCCGCAAGCATTTTTGGTCCTTTTTGTTGCCAACGTTCATGATGAACCATGGGTCATTGGTCAGCCATTTCAGCCATGGCACCCGCAGACAGGAAGCCTTCTCTGGAATCTCGAAAAATCGCAGGAAGAAAAAAGGACAAGGTGGCTGGGCTGAGGATGTCAGCAGCAAAAATGGGACGCTGTAAATTCGCCAATGGATATCCTCTGGTGAACTAACATAGCTATGGAAAATCACCATGTTTAATGGGAAAATCCACTATTTCTATGGCCATTTTCAATAGCTATTTTGACATAACCAGAGGGTAATTCACAAAAATGGGGGATGCCAAGGATGCCAATTCCAGATGAGTTGAAGCTCGAATGAGATATACATCCAAAATCATCCAAACATTAGGTGCTGCAATGGCAAATCTCCTTATCAACTTAGTATCTCCAATCCAAATTGGACTTCCAATCATTTATTTGGCAAATCTGCAGGGTGACAATGGGGTACCCCCGATATTCAAAAGTGAACATCAAATTTTCTTGCAATGTTTTGGTTCCTGTGTATCTGCTAGAGCCAAGAAGCTGCGATGTGAGGTTTGCCCAAAGACACCGCCGCACCGGCAAAACTGGCAGAACCTTCCAATGTTTGCTTGAGTTTGCCTACGATGCCACTAGGACAAGCTGTGAAAAATGGTGTGGCTGCGAATGGCCCATTTGTGGCACCAATAATTCTCATGACCCCATCTCTTGAATATCTGGTTGGTGGTTTGGAACATGTTTTTCCATATATTGGGAATAATCATCCCAATTGACGAATATGTTTCAAGATGGTTATTGCACCACCAACCAGAAATATCATAACTATGGAAAATCACCATGTTTAATGGGTAAATCAACCATTTCTATGGCCATTTTCAATAGCTATTTTGACATAACCAGAGGGTATGTGGCATCTCGCTGCATCCGCGTCAGTGGATCTTAGGTCAACAAAGGCGACGGATTTGTTGTTCTCCTTCGGACCGCTGCGCGCGTTGGCCGTTGCCGCTGCAGTTGCGCAGGACTTCAAAACGGGCGCTTCGCGCCTGTTTTGAAAAACGCTGAATGTGGTTAAAACAACGATAAACCATCCCCCAAATCACCATTTTTATAGGTATAAACATGTATAAACCATTTCCAGTCATGGGTGGTTTATGATTGTTTTAACCACATAAATTATGGATCGTGGTCGATGTTTCTACCATGTTGGGGTGGATTCACCCACCATGATTCACCCACCATCAGGATTGGGCAAAGGCAGCAAGCAGGTGCGATTTCGGGCTGATGGATGATTGGATCCTTTAGGACTGAGTGGATATCCAAAAAATCCTCAAGAAGACCCTCTGAGCTTTGAATCCCCATTGATTTCCAAATGGAAAAAAACAACCACATATTTCCATGCGATTTCTGGCCCCTTTCGGAGCCACAGAGCCAGGTTCGGTGAAAACGGTCACGCTGATCCGTCCAGCGTCGAGATCCGACAGGCCTTGAACTAATGGTGTTTGCTGTGCGATAGGAAGATGACTAGCATATTTTGATCATATTTGTAGAAAACTATGGGATTTATTGATGGATAACATGTCCATTTATACTACCATTTATTGATGGATTACCATGGGATAACCTAATATAACTTCTATCTGTTGGGATTGATTTTCACATGTTCCATGGTTTTCCACAGCTTTATTTTCCATCTTAATCACCACATTGTGGCGACACCTTCGAGGCAAGCTGGCTCCGATGGGCAGAGATCCTTTGCCCAGGTCTGCAGCCAAAAAAATGTCGTAAAATGTGTGGCCAAAAGATTTTAAAATGCCAATGAGATACCCGGCCTGGTAAACTAACATAGCTATGGAAAGATCCACCCACTTTTAATGGGAAAACTCACTATTTCTATGGCCATGTTCAATAGCAAACTGTTAGTCATAACCAGAGGGTACAATGTTTGGATTAAGATATAAAGGATGTCACCAGGATGTCCAAGTTTCTCACAGGGACCACTGGTCGTGTTCCATGCCACTGGTGAACCGGAAATGTGCGAAATGTGCCAGGTGTGGCCGATCTACAGATTGCTTCTCCGATGATGGGTAAGCAGTTGCTGAAACATTTGGCCCCATGGCAAAGTACTTCAGAAAGCTACCAATCAGAAAGCTGCCTGTAGCTCTGGAAACCCCAAACTTTCCCATTTTTTACTTTCCGTGGAACCAGAAATTCGTCAGGGAATTCCCAGGCTTTTTTGCTGACCAGCTCAGGTTGCTGCACCCGAAAGAGTCGCAGAATCCAAAATGGTCGCAGATTCCATGGCCACCTGGTCCTTCATCCTGGAGATTTGGCGAGACGACAGGTGGGGAGCTGCTGCTGATTTTCATGGAATTCGTGAGGAATCCGTGATTGTTTCATGGAAAATTGTGGCGTTAATCATGCAAATCATCCACCATTCCATAGTTTTTCCATAGTTTTCATGTCTTTTGATGTGGAAAATCTATGGAAATCCCATCACTGCAATCCTTGAACTTGCAGCCAGGCGATTGTGGGCCACCTGTCTCACTGGAGCCCATGCATTGCCCGGATTTTTGGAGGTTGGGCCATCCCCATCCCGGTCGGCTGCGGACATCCCAGATGTTCGGAGTGATGCATCTCCCTTTTTTTTGGGAGAATCATCTAGAAACATGCGGAAATGTCTATGGAATATCCATTGAACATCCATTAAAACATCCATTGAACATCCATTGATATCCATTGATATCCATTAATCATCCATTAAAACATCCATTAAATATCCATTAACCAATGGATCCAGATGGCAAGCAGTCCATTCTCCGATCATTCCGTGGGAGGCTGAAGCTACAGAGCCAGGCCCAACACCGAAGCTGGGGCGGTGATGATTCGGATGTGCATCCCATTTTCCTTGGTTAATAGTGGTTAATCATGGTTAATGGTGATTTATTGGTGATTAATGATGATTAATGGGATATACCCTCTGGTAATTTTGAAAATGGCCCATTTATAGTTGATTTACCTATCAAAAATTGTGATTTTCCATAGCTATGTTAGTTTACCAGAGGGTAATTTCTGTATAGATATGAAATAAGAACCTGCTGATACAACTTAATATCAATTTATATCGTATTAGAGAGGATAAGATGATTTCTGCTATACATCACAACGATATTGGGTTATTACCAACTTCCAAATTCCTGGCTTCACCAGGCGAACGAAACTACCCCCTTTGGTCTGCGTATCCCACCTGCTACGAGCGCATGGACGTGTTGCTGCCCGGGGAAGCGCGTCGCAGCACGTTGGCCGGAGCTGCTTGGCGATCTACGGGGAATCTATGGTGAATCTATGGGGGGTTAGGGGATTATTGTATATTCTATATGGAGGTTTCCTAAAATGAAGGTATCCCAGGTTATCATTCAAAATTTGCTATCAATGGGAAAGACAATGGTTTGGGGTACCCATAGTTTCGGAAACCTCCATAGTACATGGTTCATTATTGGAATCTGTGGTGGTTTTGTCACACTTTGGAGACTTTCACCTAACCTCTATCAGGGGGTTGACCATTGGGTTTACCACATTTACGATCCAAATGTTTGATCCGAAATGTAGATCCTAAGTTGCCATCATTTAGAAACTTGATTTTTCCATATGACTTTCCCACATTTCGATCCGAAAACCCTCCCATTTTTCCATATGTTTCCCACGTTTCGGTATGACTTCAGGTGGTCGCTTCCCTTGGCGACTGCGGCGACCGCCATCTGCGGGGGAAAGCCTTGGCCGTGTCCGGAGCAACTACGCTGGCGCTCCCGGTGTCGCTGCATGCGGGGAGTCGCTTCAGCAAGGTGCGGTACTTCGGGGAGTTGGGAGAAGGTTACCCTCTGGTAATTTAACATTGCTATTGAAAATGACCATTTATAGTGGATTTTCCAAAAATGGTGATTTTCCATAGTTATGTTAGTTTGCCAGAGGGTACCCTCTGGAAAACATACCAAAAACTATGGAAAATCGCCATATATCACCATTTTTAATAGGTAAATCAACTATTTCTATGGGCCATGTTCAATAGCGAACTGTGACAAATTACCAGAGGGTACTGGGAAAAGTCAATCGCATTGTTTGATCCAAAATTTGGGAACATTTGGGAGATTCCACATCACTAATATTTAATATGGGATGACAATGTGGGAAATTCTCCAAATCTGGATATGCCACATCACTGATAATTAATATGGAATGCAAATGTGGAAATTCTCCAAGTTTTCGATCTGTTGGATGTTGGATGTTGGATTTTTCTCCTCCAATGGATGAACTTCACTGAGGAGGTCCTGACGTCCAACATTGGGCCGCTTCAACTGGTGCTGGGCGGCTCGTCGAGCTGTGGATGCCATTGATGCCATGGCAATGTGGCGTTTGGCCAGGTGGAATATGACGATTTATCATGATTTATATATACCCGCTGGTCAGAAAACATGTACCCATATGACGATTTAAATATCCATTATATGTTTTCCATGTTCATAAGGATTTATGTGAATACCCACTATCTGCAGAATCAGAATCCCATTGATGATGGTTGACTACAACCCAAAAATCATGATTTGACCATGACAGAAATGTCTTCGAAGATTGGAACTTAGGCCTTGGTGCGCGCAACGTGTTGCCAAGCCCCAAGGCGGACAATGGGAGTTGGGTGGATGATACCATGAAAAGCTGTTGCTTGAGACAGTTGCATCAACTTGGTAAAACGCCCGATCAATTTGTTTTTTTTAAATAGAGCTGGAGTAGAAATATAAATAGATATCACCAAGAAACACACAGAAACAAATATTAAAAGCATTGAAAACTAAACAAAAACACGACCCAATGAAAAAATAGATACCTAATGAACAAAACTGAAGAGGAGATGTACAGAAACGACCCAACAAACTCAAGAATCTCTATCTCCTGAGACAGGCACAGTGTCCTGTTGGATCTTTGGAGTTTCTTTGTGGCCTGGCTTTTGCAGGACATTGCGATTTTTCACAAGCGAAATAAGCAGTGCCGCAACATGTGGGGCTTCGGCAAACCCCAAGTTATCATCAGAAAACCATTGGATTTGGAGTTCGCCATGTTCAAAACCACTGGGCATGGGCAAAAAATGAGTTGGGTTTTTGTCAGAAATCAGATCCCCAAAAAATGGATGGCTGATTTGCCATGATTGCTTCGAACACGGTTCCAAAAATGTCGAGGATATGGAATTTTGGAACTGTGGAAGCAGGTAACATGGAAACGTTCCCCGAGTTGTAGTTCGCCTGATGAAGCTTCATCAAGCCAAAAAAAGGCTGTATGAAATAAACGGTCCAACTGGTCCAAGATGTTTGTTTATCAACCAGGATTGGATTCATCAACCAGGATTCATAAATATCAACCAGGCATCAACCAGGATTTTGTTTATCAAAATCAAAACTTTGGATTTATCAATATCAACCAGGCATTTCTCGACAGCAGTTGCACCATTGTTGCACCACCATGGCAACCGCAGGAGCCGATGGTCGATGGTTGGATCGAGCCACCATCTCTGCGTTGTTGAGAGCCATGAGTTGAAAAAAACCAGCGGCGCCGATGAGTTGGAGATCCAGTTGGAAATCAATTTGTCAATGGGTCATGTTTGGTTGGTGGTTTCAAACATGGTTAATGGATGGTTAATGGTGGTTTAATGGATGGTTAATGGATGGTTAATGGTTGGTGGTTTCAAACATGAATGGATGTATTTGTCCATTTCATATATGGGATGTCATCCGAAACCCATTGACGAACTCCATCATTTTTCAAGATGGTTATTGCACAACCAACCAGATATGTTTTTTGACGTCTTTTTCAGGAACCATATGAGAAAACATATGATTTTCCATATGAAATTCTTCTATTGTTGAAGTTTTGGCAGTAATGTTGTAATGTTTTTGTTTTTGTTGCTGGCTAGTTACAGACTTGGGACAAGTGATAGTCCAGTGGTTGGTGACATCTCCATCGGCAGGTCAGTAGTGAACGTCAGAGGCTGGAAAAAGAGCTGGAGCTGGTGCCAGTCCCAGTGACATCATGACTCCGCTTTCGCTTCAACTGGGACATGTTTTGGATGTTGTTTTTCGAACAAACTCAGTTCGCAGATTTTTTAATTGAAGAAATTGAAACCGTTTAAACGCTGGTTGTTGAGCTTCGAACAGCGGAAAAATGGAAAAGGTGCAGCACAACTTGCGACAACACACCGAGCTCGCCGATGAGGCGGGAGAACCATTGGAATCCCATTGGAGGGGACATTTCGAGGATGTTTCATGGTACTGGAATGGGATTATTCCAGTTATATGATTATATGTTGTAATATCATCCCAATGATTCCAGTTCTTCCCCATTTCTTAAGCATGAATCATCATCAATCATCAACAAATCCCAGAGATATCCCATAATATTTCAAAATAGCCCCTTTAAATCTCATAAAATCCCATTGATTAATATGTCTGATGTCAATATTCTAAAATCCCATATTTATAGGGGCTATTTTGGAATTTTTAACATCTGATGTCTAAAATCCTATCATATCCCATTGATTGACATTAGAAATATTGAACCAATGGAGTGACCGTTACCTCCCTGAGAGGCTCACAGTGAGATCGAACGCACCTGCGGCGGGATCAAGGCGCAGAACGTTAATTTTGTGAAGAGTGGGGTCGAGCATAAAATGTCCCCTGTAATGTGTGTGGTTCAAGAAGAAATTGGGGTCCAACCATTAGAAATCATTAGAATTATATAGAATTATTGAGGATAGATTTAGTGATTCAACCATTCCATCTAAAGGATCCATAAGGATCCCCTATAAATATGATGATCCGATGGTGGTGTTGTCCTCAAAATGTTTTTCGTGGCTTGCAGATTTTCACAGCTCGGATTTTCCATTGCCATGTTTGATTACCAGACGCTATGCCTTTGTGGATTTGTTGTGATTTAGAAACTGTTTTTATTGATCCGTAGTGGATGGGTTAACTTTTTGGAACCATAACTTTTTTTACTCATGATATACCCATTGTGAAACCATCCATTTGTTCATAAGATGAATGATTTTGTTCTTGAATTGAGATGAAGGTTCTTCGTTTTCATCCCAATTGGGATGATGATAGTGATGATTAATGGTGATGGGCCTGATGGGTGATGATGAGGAGGAGGATCAAAGTTGACTCAGATTCTCGGGATGTTGAGCCTTTAACAGCCATGTTGAGCAGAGGATTCGGTACAACACCACATGGCGACGTCTTTGCGACTGCAGCCCCTTGATGATGTGACGCACTCAGCAAGGGACGTCTAACAAGAGCAGAGTCATGTTGTGTCGTCCAATTTCTCTAGACATGAAAAAAGAGACCATCGTTGTCATCTATCCAGTGAACATAATTGATATTGGACATTTAACTAGATTCTATATCATTTATATAAATCTCAATTATATCTATATCATATATATATTTATTATGTATAATGTGATCTACGAACGGATAGAGTTGTCAGGCCGAAGGCTTTGAGGATTGACGGCCTTCGTCTGAACCTCGGGTTCGAAAAAGCCATCGCCCCGTGTTTGTCACGAGAAAAAAAAAGGATCCTGCAGGAAATTCGGATGATTTCAGATGCTGCTAGGGCTGTGTGGAAACCAGCTCAAAAAATGCCTGCTGCTAAGGTAGAGCTGCGAATTTGGTGCCAAAAAGAGTGCGAATTTGGTGAGATTTTGATGGATGAAGTGCCAAATTCAGTGGAAAGTCCAGATGAAAATCCATGAAAATCATTATATGAAATATATAGAAAAATCCATGAAAATGTCATGTCTGTGTTGAGCTCAAGACTCGAAGAGCTTGGAACATGTGGAACATGTTGACAGCACAAAGAAGCAGCCAGGCAAACCCAATGGCAGCACATTATTAATAAAGCAAGCACTTTCGCAGTGTCACAATGGTTGACAACTCCCAGAAGCACCTGGACAGCTTGTTGAAATTCCATCCTGGACAAAACATCAATTCATGGTGTCCCATATGGCATGAAGAGATGATGCCTGCAAGAATCATAGCATGTTCAGAGGTGATCTGGTTGTTTGGTGACAAAAGAATCAGATCAACGTCAAATTGTCATCTCAATCATATCTCAAATATATCTCAACACATATTATTTTATCATACATTTGAAGTTATCGTTATCCTTCATTTTTTCCCAACATTTTTGTTTTCCATTCAAAAAAAAACACCAAAAAATCCACGAAAATTCCTCAAAATCCACGATTTTTCATCCCAAGTCATCCCTTCCCACGTCCTGCCATGGCGGACGTCGCAGACCCCGCCGAAACCGCCGGCGATCACATCGCCGCCGGCGGCGCGACGCCCACGACCTCCGCGCCCAGCGCGGCGGTGGAGGATGACGTGGTCGAAGCCGAGGAGTCGCCGACGAATCCACAGGAGAAACCCACTGAGGCGCCGAGTTGAAATGTCTTGAGTCATGTCTTGAGTCATGCCTTGAAATGTCTGGTTTCAAACATTTCAAACATGGTTAATGGTGGTTTAATGGATGGTTAATGGTTGGTTAATGGATGGTTAATGGATGGCTGGTTGGTGGTTTCAAACATGGCTGGATGTATTTGTCCATTTCATATATGGGATGTCATCCGAAACCCATTGACGAACTCTTCATATTTTTCAAGATGGTTATTGCACCACCAAGCAGCTTGAAATGTCTTCATGTTTCAATGGTTTTTACACGATGTGGAATGTCATTGACACCAGGCACGAAGACGATTCTGGGGTCTCTGTGGCTCACGCAAAGGTTATCCCGGGGCCTCCGCACCTACTAGGGATCTCTCGCGACAGAAACTTCTCTGGGAATTCTCGGTGAGCATCAACCGATTTCAATTCGTGGGCTCTGAGACGACAATGCCCTGCTTCTTTGCGGTGTCACTACAACCCACCAAAAAAGAATCCAAATCGGTGAGATTGTTGACACAATACTCACCCAAATATGATTTGGATAAAACCGGACCATTGGTTTTGAACAGGCCAAGTGTGTTTTATGAACGAAAGGCCTTCCGCGCCAGTCAAAGTGAACTGGGTAAGTTGGAATTGAAAGTGGCCATGTGGAAAGTGTCCCGATGGACCTTCAACTCTTATCATGGCGTCACCACTCGAAGTTTGGAGCAAATCCTGAGTCGAGAGCCTAACACCTCCATGCTGTTGCAGGAAACTCTAACTGAAGCAGATAGGGAGGAGAAGAAAAAGCACAAAAGACCTATCTCAGATGTGGCCGTGGTCTTTGGTGAAGTGATTCTAGAAGAAGTCTTCGATGTGAAACTCTTCTTTGAAAACTGGAAGTTCTTTCCAGATAACGAAAAGAAGGAGAAGAAGGAGGATAAACAGCTCACTTTTGTGGTGCCCAAGAATTTCCAGGCCAATCCTTCCAAGAATCAAAAGTGCCAAGTGGTCAGCACCAATTGGCGACGCGATGGCAGTTCGCTCAATCCCTACTTTTGGAAAGCCACCACTCAGATCGCCAAGGTCAGGGGCACCAGGAGATCGGATCACGTCACGAAGATCGCAGATCTGGGATGTTTGTTTCATGGGAAAATCATGGGAAAATCATGGAAGAAGTTAGCAGATGTTTGCTAATTATTGGAGGGGGTCAACTGGTGTTGATTAAAATCTCTAGTTGAAATCCCCGAAGTTGATATACTGAAACGGAATCGTGTATAGAACGGTCACCGATTTTGAGCACGATCATCATGAAATATGTATCTCCATGACCATCAGCCCACCTCTTTGAAGCTCTTGACCACTTGACCAGTTGTGTAGTCTCAGCTCAACAGGAGAGCTGTACAGCAGATGTATTTCATCGCCAAGCTCTTCAGTGCAAAGCCTGTGAATGATCGACATCCAGTGACCACGTTCATTGCAAGTACCGTTTTCAATCTGCAGTCGGTCTTGGACATCCCCAATTTCAAGGGGACAATGAAGTCCTTGACACACGACGAGAGCTTCTTTCGCGTCGGACGTGTAGAAGGCCACAACTGGTGAAAGGATGTGAAAGACTGAAACTCTCTGGAATCGCCAAAGATTTTACTTCACCTGCCTAGTGTTTTGAAACAGTGTTGTTTTGATATGTTTTGATTTTTGTAGAGAACAAACATATCCATACATATCAAATACATATCAGATATATCAAACTTTTTTTGTTTCGTGTCTGACCTTTTCCGTGTCCAGGCAGTGTGACCTGCATTTTCTTCTCCGTGGGCCAATCTGTGCCTTCGAAGACAGAGGTCTTCCAGCCGAGAACGTCCAGTTCCGTTGGGCATTTGAACAGCTTCTCGGCGACTTTTTTTTGGATCTTGGTGGTGACTGGAATACGGAAAATCACCATTTTTTATGGGAAACTATAAACCACTATATAACCACTGCATGGTGCTTTGGAACCATGGATTTTTTAATGACTTCCCATCATATTGGGAATTTCATCATCCCAACTGACGTTCAGTTTTTTCAGAGGGGTAGGTCAACCACCAACCAGTTTTGGTTGGGGATGGATATGAGAAATCCCAGTGATGTTGAGGTGAACAGCAGGGAACCAAGGTGCCATTACTGCCATGACCCATAGCCTGCTGTTGCATCACGAATCTCCCTGGTTTTTCAGTATCACTATTTGGAGCTGTCCTTTTCATGGGGGTACCTATAAATTTCATCCATTTCAAATTCGGATTTTCCAAGGGAAAATCCATGGATCCCTGGGAATCTCCCTGAAAAACCACAAAATATCCAAGCTGCTTCTCGGGATATCCTCTGGTAAACTAACAGTTTGCTATGGAAAATGGCCCATAGAAATAGATGGTTTACCTATTAAAAATGGGTGGTTTTTCTATAGCAAACTGTAAACGTTTACCAGAGGGTATCAGATCAAGGTTCAGAGATGCATCTGGTGGTACAGGTGCGAAAATGCGAAAGTTTGGCCATCGCAGATGAGGAGAAAGGCGTCTCCAGTCCCTTCCTTCGGGTCAGTGGCTCGACTATGAAAAAAATCTTGGCCGTTTCTTCTGTGGCTTTGCATGAAAATGATTTATTGACCCCCCAAAAAAAGGGATGGTTTGATGCTTTACCCTCTGGTAAACTAACAGTTTGCTATTGAAAATGGTCATAGAAATAGTGAGTTTTTTTCCATTAAAAATGGGGATGTTCCATAGCTATGTTAGTCATAACCAGAGGGTAATACTTGGGGTTTTTATGGATCCCATGTGGATCCATGAAATCCAATGAACACCAGGCTGGGACAACATGATGCAGACCTCCTTTGTGTTGAAGAACACCATTCGCCCCACCTTCAACCACACCTTTTATTTCCCCGTGCGCTTCTTCAACGAGAAGATCACCTCGCGGAAATATCTGGAAACGGCCTTCCTCTACGAGATGAGATCCAAGGGCGACATTCAAATCCAGGCAGAACACCGGTTGGATCTGTTGGTGTCGATGATGTTTCGATGATGGTGATTTATGGTGACGTTTCGATGATGATTTTTATGGTGATGTTTCGATGATGATTATATGTTTATTGATGGTGATTTTTTATGGTGATGTCTGGTGATGAAACTTATGAAACATGTTGTTTGATGCAGACACCTACGGAGTTGAGTTGATGATTGTTTTGGGGGGTTAGATTCTAGATTTGTTCATGAAGATCATCGAGAATGATCATCCATAAACTGGAATCCCTTTTTATGGCGGGCTTTTGAACACTGCTCACTTTGTGAAAGATTTTAAGCTAACAAGACATGTGAAACACCTCAGGAACCAATGATAAGACGAAGATCATAAAATCATGTGTCATTTTGGTGTATCAAATTCTTGAATTCAGAAGTGGCAGCACTATTTCGTTCTTACTTTTGTCTGGTCCATCTCAAAGCACTTTGAATGCAACATGTGTTCCTTATTAACAGGGATGTTCTGTGCAAGCCAAAGATCAATGTGTCTTCTGAAAGTGGAGCGATTTTGAGCCAGCCATGGTTTTCTTCAAACCAGAGAGTGGATATGTGTGGTGCAAAACACCTGCAGACTTTTCGTATATTTTGATATCCCCGTCCAAATGGATGTCTATCCCAGTGGACACAGCGATCCCCTTTCAAAAGGTATTTGAATGGTGGCATTCGCATTGAGATCCTTTTTCATTCAAGATTCAGATTCAATCCCTGCATATCATTTCAATTCCCTAAGATTTCAGGTCCCTCAAATGAGTGTAGCAATCAAAAAGACACAGATTTGAAATTGGATTTAAATTCCGAGATTTTACCATATGTTCTACTGGATACAAAAAAATAGATCCAGTATCCAATATTTTTCAAGATGGTTAAAACATGTTAAAACCACCAACCAGAAGATGTCAACTATATCTATTTGTTATTTCCAAGGTCCACATGGCCATAGGTTTGGCATCATGACGATGCCTCCTCGACCTCACTGGGCTTCACCACGGTATCCCTGGTCTCAGTGCTGCAAAGTGACTTGGCAAAGGGAAACCATGGAAAGTTCATGGCCTTGTTTTCCACCAAAAAAATGGTGGAAAAAAAATGGGATGTGAAAATTGTTCAAAGTTGCTGGTGGTTTTTCCAAAATTGCGAAAAACATGTGGGGGGAAAAATGGATGAATATGGGAAGATCCATCAATAAGCATGAAGTATAAGAGGGAGAGCAATACAAAGCTGTTTCAACATAACCCTTGAATTGAAAGGAATCACTGTATTAGTTGGTTGTGTATTGGCTAAACATGACTCATTTTGAGGCAACCACGAGATCAAGTGCACCCTGCGCGGCCGCGTGAAGACTGGTAGAGACGCAGCAGAGGGCGAAGAATTGGATGTTCCACAGTCAGCAGCTGGAGCCTGGTACGACCAGGAGAGAGCCGTCAGATGGTTCGATGGATCTCGAACTCCATTGGTCGGTTGTCAAATTGCGAATCCCAATCAACCTCTGCTGCATTTCGAAGCTTTTTTTTATCCCGCATGGCCTACAGATTTCCATGGCTTGACGGAGTTTGCTCAAGAAGAGGCGGACGCATTGGATTGGCCGAACAAAGAAGCGGCCTTCATCCAGCGCAACGAAACCTTTGCGGAGAACTTTGCTGGGCCATTTCCGGATTCCATCGGGGCCAAACGATGCGTCGCCCTGGGCCAAATGGGAGATATCCGCAGCTTTCCCTGTATCGGTTTACATCCCATGAATTTGGAGCCCTTACCTTTGATGGCATTCTTAGCGGAAACCACAGTGAGTCAAGACTACATCCCACCCGCCAAGTTGCTCCATTGGATGCATTGCATTACTTACACCATGTCCACCAAGCAAGAACGAACTGGAATGATCTACAAGGAGATGTGGAAAGATCCCCAATATTTGCTCTTCAGCCGAAAAGGTTCACCTCAAGATCATGCCATCTTGTTGTGTTCCGTTCTCTTGGGCATGAGCCGAGATGCCTATGTGGTGAAGGGAACAATCCAAGTTCCAACAGCGATGTCCAAGCCGAAATTGGTGGAACATGTGTGGGTCATGACTCGTGAGGATGGTGGATGGGTCACTTTTTGGGAGCCGTCCACCCGGGAATTCTACCACTTACCCAACCGCTGGGTAGAAACCAAAAAGAAGGTCCTGGCGGAACCAAAGGTCCAAAAAACCAATGAGGAGGATGATGAGGAGGAGGACGAGACCGCATTGGCCATTCAAGACTTCACCAGCCATGAGGCTATCTGTGTCCAGGGGAGAAACCCGTGGCTCAAAAAAGGGCACTGTAGATATGGCTAGATGGTGAAAGGAACTTCAAATTTTGCTGGTTGGTTGTAGTTCTGCAGAATCTTCTTGGATTGCTGCAAATGGAATGGAATTATATATTTCATAATGAAGTTTGCTTCTGCATGAGCACCACTTGTGTTCTAAAAATCTTTATTTGCCGCTACTCAGACACTCAAGAATGGGCACAACACATTGCATATCGGCGCAACATGCTCGCAACACGTGTTCATGATGAATTTCACATATTCCCTCCAAAACTAGCACTTGTCAGCATGATCATTCTACTTCTGTTTGGGTCCTTTTAGTGCGTGGCTAACTATTGTCACAGGTTAACACAGCCCATCATCTAAGTTCAAGAAACGAGATCATTAGTCAGAGTCAGTATGTGACCATCTCTGTCATTCCAGCTTCTTTTAAACTTAATATGTTGATTAGTCTCAAAAAAAAGAGCACAAAGACACCAAAAGAATCCTATAGTCCTATAGTCTCTCATGATATTCTCATGATATTCCCCATTGAAATGCATTAAAATGCATTAAAATGCTTGAAACTTGCCAAATTTTGCCATGACTCCAGTGCCCCGGGGTGTCAGGTGGGCGATGTCATGGTCGAGTTGGACGGCGTCCCCACAGTGGGAAGGGGTCCACGACCCAAGGCCAAGGCAAAGTTGGGCCGCGATCTGGTGAAGCAACAGATGTTGGAAACCCAAAGGTGCGCTGAAATCCGGGGATGGTCATGGGATGGTTACAGCTGTTACCCTCTGGTAATTTAACATAGCTATTGAAAATGGTGATTTATAGTGGATTTACCCATTGAAAATGGTGATTTTCCATAGTATGGATCAATACCTATGAAAATACCATTACTATAGTGGGATGAACATCCATTTTAACCCAGCTATTTTGATGTGAACAAAAAAGGGGTACTATTGGGGTTTACCAATGGTTTTGACACACTGCCAAATTTCTATGGGATGGTCATGGGATGGTTACAGCTGTTACTGCTGCTTCAAAAAAGATGGTGGTTGGGTGACCTGGTTTGATGTTTTTGGTCGGGAAGATCTGCGCTTCTTGAGTGTGAAATCTTTTTTTAATGGTTCACTGGATGATTTTTGAAGACCAAAAAAAAGGTTTATCGATGGTCATTGATCAACCAAGGGTTATCGAATGCAGCAAAACTAGGGCATGATTGGTGTGTCAATGGCTTGGTGTCAAATAGTTGGTGTACTTGGGATGGGCACCATCTCCTTCCCTGCAGGTTTTTGCCAACTGCACCCAAATCGCAGCTTTTGGGGGAACAAAGTTTGGTGGATTGGCTTCCATATGACTCCATTGATGTGGTTTTCAACAAGACACAGCTCTGGGCCAATCGTCAAAATCAGCATCCAGCCTGCATCACCTACAACTTCGAGGATTCTTATCCCATCAACGAGGCGCAAGAAGCCACTGGAACTTGGATGACTTTGCTGTCCGATGAGGAACGCAGCAATTATAGCATCAGATATGTGACCGACAACGTCTTGATGGAGCCCTCCTTGAAACACTCACAACTGCGGCAGCTGGAAAGTCAGTTGGTCACCGAGTCTCAGGTGGGGGTTGAAAATGCAGGTGTCTCACAGCACAAGATCAGGAAAAACATGATTTTAATTGTCAGGTGTCTTGAATATAAAGATCACATGAATCGTTATGAATCACATGTCACCAGTATATTTCGGTGATCAGTTTTGCAAAGGTCATCTTGAAACGACGCCGCAGGAGAATCTTCGACTTCTCCGTGGAAGAATCGGCAAGGACACGATCTTTGATCATCGTCCCCAATTACTGGAACAGTCACTCAGTTTCTGAAAATAACTGGCATCCTGCGGAAAAGTCCTATTCTTTGGGCTTTCCTAAATGAAGAAGGTCCCATGGAATACTGAGACAAGTCCCAGTTCTGTTGGTTCGTGTTGGTTCTTGACATGTTTATCATGTTTGGTTGCCATTTTTCATCATTTTTCCCAACCTGGAGAATTCGCTGAGGTTAGATCAGTTCCTTCACATTCACGAAGAGATCGCAACGTTGGATGTGGATTTCTGTCCTCTGTGGGACACTGATCCTTGGATTTTTCTTGGCGATTCCTTGGCTTGGAACAGAAGGGAATTGATGCTGGTTGATTGGTGGGTTCTTCTGGTTGGTGGTTTGGAACAATAACCCCAAATAATAGTGGTTAATAGATGTTAATAGTGGTTATTAATAATGGTTAATGAGATATTTGTGGAATACTATGGAAAGATCCACCATGTTCAATGGGAAAACTCACTATAAACCACTATATAACCACTTGTTGGTGGTTTGGAACATGGCTGTTATGACTTCCCCAATAGTTGGGATGATGATCCAATCTGACTAATATTTTTCAGGGGGGTTGAAACCACCAATTAATATTTGGAACATGATTTTTTATGACTTTCCCATCATATCGGGAATTTCATCATCCCAACTGACGAACTCCATCATTTTTCAGAGGGGGTGGCTCAACCACCAACCAGTCTTCTATTTCACAGATCAGAAACTCTCGCAAGGACTTTCAGTGTAGAGGTGTATGAGTTTGAAGTACAGCGCTTTGATAGTGGACGCGGAAATCTCTTAGAGCACTGCCACTTTTGACCATTTTCAGGACATTGCCACATATGAAATCTGGGAGCGAAGGTTTTTGCTTCATGGACCGGTGGTGAACCCAGGACCCACAGCGGGATCCATGGTGCACCCAGGACTCCGCCAAGTGGAACGATGCCGAGAGCTACCTCGCGAGGCTGCTGGCACCCCATTTCCAGGACAAGCTGTGGGATCCCCGTGGGGGAGGCCTCCCAACACCTAAGTTGACCATAACTTGGCGAATCCTATGGGTTTGTGGGCGATATACAACTGTAGTGCTAATGGAGTAAACATGGTTTATGGGTGCATATAACTATAGTATACTAGTGTTAATGGATACTAATGGGCTTTGATTGACCAACTTGTAGCTGCCTCACCTTGTACCTGTCCTGCAAACCATTGGAAGTTTCATCGGAAGTATCGGAATATCACTGGCAGCAGCCCCATTTCACCTACCTCCCATTGGTTTTTTTCCCAATCGAGATAAAACCGCAGAATGATTCTGCTCTATGGTGGTCATCTTTTTTTTGCCACGGGATGCCATCGGTAGTTGGGAAGAAAGATTATTGATTTTGGATAAGATGAGATCTTCACTCAGATGAGTTCTGCATTTTGGGTGCGCTTAGCCGCTTAGCCGCCAGGAGCGCTTCAACAAGTTTGGCACGGCTTTCAATCAGCCAGACAGGTATGGCCCTCATGTTCACCACCATGGCACCTCTTTGCAACTTGGTGAACAAGGTTCATGTTGATTTTGCCAAGGAAAGGCAAATACCGATACTACACTACAGTCCAGGCAGTGCGTTGCTTCCCAAAATTGGCCAGTCGCCATTTCAGCGCAAGGTTTTTAATGTGCCGCCATTTTTTTGAGCCATTTCTGTTGGGAGGCTGCTGAACAGAAGGGCTGGCACCAGGTTTTGGCGAAGATCAGAAGCTTCAAAGAAGGCGAAGCTGCTCTGAGATCAGCAACTGACAGCTGAGAGGATCCCATCTGGATCCTGTCAGTTTAGCCGCGAGACAAGTCGTCGTGTTCGGCGCAAGGCAAATCTGTTTTCCCAACCATGAAGGGCAAGGCAAGGATCTCTGCAGATATCACCTGACCAAACAGCACAAACAGCAGCACATTGCAGCAGCATTGCATGGTGCTTTCGGTCGTGTTTTATGGCAGGTCTTTGGAGGATTTCCTCTTCATTTCAGCAGCGCCGACAAGGCAGTCGCCACGGCGGTCACCTGCAGTTTTTTGGGATTTTGTTGGGGGTTGGAGGGGCCCGGAAAGCATCGCAACGCCAGGATCTGATTCGCGATTATGTGATGAAGTCTTCAGAGCAACTTGGGATGGAAATTGGAGGTGTTCAACTTATTGGTTGAAGGGAATGTGTTCCACAAATGGGAATCTGAGTCAATGATGAGCATTTCTTTAAGGGAAAACGAAGAAAAACGAACTGATTGGCTTGAAGAAAGATGTTGGTCTCAAGAAGTGCAGATTTCGACATGGCAAAATGATGAAAAATGTCACAAGAACTTGATCATTTGATCCGTGTTCTGCGATCCAGATGATCCAGGTATCAAGAGCTGATCCACCAGCACGACGACTCCATCTTCACCATTCACTGCCACATCTTTCCACTCCCAGGAGGCACACAGAAACACAGAAACTCGGAAACTCAGCGCTGCAGAGGTTTCGATATGGGATGCTGAGGTATTACGTCCACGTGGCTGTTCTTTGGAACGCAATCTCCCTTGAAGGACCCTGAAACTGGGGGGATTTGAGTGATTTTCAGATCAAAATAGTCGAAATATGTCGAAATGAATTGAAGATGGGTAGATTTCGCTGTCAGTTGATTCCTGGATCGCCAGAGCCAGACTAGCTACACCTGTCTAAATCATTCGAAATCCACATTGACAGCGTTAGATGGTGAGATTACCTTCAAAAATCGTTATTGATTTTTACCTTTTGTTCATCAAGACTCCATTTGAATGCTAGAATCATAATCAAATGGTACCATAATCAGATGGCACCCTCTGGTAACTTAACATATCTACGGAACATCACCATTGCCATCTTTAATGGTTACATCATTTAAGTAGGCCATGTTACATAGCTATGTTCAATTTCCAGAGAGTAATATGAAAAATATCACCTGAGATCAGCCGTTTTTCATGATTTTTGTCACCAGATTCCGGGGGCCAGGATAGTTGAGCGATCTCCGAATCGACAACATAGCACTGTCAGAATGCTGACAAACTGGAGAAATCTCGGAAAATCCTGCAGAAATTGCCAGTTGGGTGGTTTCATCTCCATAAATTCAAGGTATTGTTGCTTATTGTGACTTATTCATCTCTAAGTGGAATTCGAAAATCACTTCTTACATGTTTGAGGCATGACTTGAAGTGATTAGTAGATATTAGTAGTAATTTGGTGCCAACTTGACATTTCTTGCAGATTGAAATTTGAAACCACCCCAGGATGGATCTTCTAGGTTTTTTTTTGGCTTGTTTCACCCGCCACAAAGATGGTCAACTGCGGCCGACAGCAGTGCCGGCAGCAAAAAGCCAGCGACACCTTGCCGAAATCATCCGAAAGCCATTGAAAATCCATGAAAACCCATTGAAACAATGGCTATGTCAATAGCGCTGCACCCGTCAAGCCATCACTTGAGTTGTTGCTATTCCAGTGACCAGCTTTCGAGAGAACCCATGAGATCCATGAGCGTGCCAGGTTGTTTTCTGGTTACGTTTCTGACTGAAACAAATACACCGTGAAGCGACAAAAGTGTTTCTGACTAAGGTTGGTCAAAAGAATCATGGCACTTTCTCATCGCATAAACTGCGCCGACGTGCTACACGTCAATACAGTATGCACCACGCGAGCGCGAGAAGTCACGTGACGTTGTGCCCATTGTTGAAACCAACCCCATCAAGCACTCTCCATAGATTTCTACGATCGGTCACGACAAAAAAGACGCGAGAAATTGAATTCATCGAAATAGAAATGGTGGCCCTCTACAAAATGCTGGGGGAAGTACCAGCGAAGTTGAAGTCACGAATGGATCGCCGTGCGGAAACTGCTTGCACCTGACTGCAAAACCTGCCAGGGTGTGTTGAGATACAGAAGCTTTTCGATCATATTTGCATGGCATTCTGATGGAACATGCCTGTACCACAGTCTTCTGGGATACTCTTTTACAACCTTATTGTAGAACTGTGAAGAAGGCTGCTGTGCAATATTCTTGGACCAAAGGTTTGTGAGACACTTTTTGGTGACATGGAAAGATTCTGTTGTCAGAAGGTTGTTGAAGCTTGCTGTCAGAAGGTTACATCTTGTAGCACGTTTGCAAAAATCAAAAGGTTGTTGAAGGAAAGTTGCATAACACGCCCTTGCACACAAGATTCTGGTAGAACACGGGTGTTGAAGTCTCTGCCACACAACTTTCAAACACCGAATCTGTACTGATTCAAAATTGTTGTGACTGTAAGCTCACACCTAGACTTAGACAAGGCTAGAAGTAGAAGTAGTGTCCAGCACACTTGAACCTTTTGCTACACTTTGTGTACCACTCTGCATTTTGTACAAGAACGTGTAGACAGACACGTCGATGCCTGGGACGTCTCACACCTCGAAATGTGCGGAAAGGGACACGTCATGAAGTACATCCGTGTTGAAGCACGACCTCACGCTAGGAAAGATGAATTATTTATATATATATATTATATACATTTATTTATGTATTCATGTATTCATTCATTTATACCAAGAATCAAGTAATACACCAAGAAACTTCAAAACCAACAAACATCCACCACAGCCTTACGACGCGTGCAATCTCGCCGAACCCCTTGCCACTTCGCCAACTCTTCAGGGGACGGTTTTTATTGTCAGATGCGGTGCTTTCAAACGGTTGGGGCCGAAAGGTAAGCCTGCATGACTGCATGACCTTCATTTGTGGTTTAGAGAATGCCTGTGTTCTGCTTCTACAGAGCGCTGGCATGGACAATCATGCCACACATTCACCGCGGCACAAGTGTGTAAAATGATGCAAAAGCATCGGACAACAACGGTACCACATCAACATCACTTCAGATACACAATGTCAGTCTCTTGTCAAGTGCAGCACGGTCATGCAAAATGATGAAAAATGCACTGATATGTTTGCTATTGTCTTGTTCCTTTTGCAGGATGTTCCACAGGCAGTATCTACTGTTGTCCTTTGTTTCCACGGCCGCGTTGCTGCACCGCTACTCGTATGAAGTGCTGCAGAATGTGAGATGGATTCCATGAAACTACAAAGATTCTACAGCAACACTGGCGGCACTAGCGCCGCATCTAGAGGTTGGCAACCAAACGTGTCAGATGTACCTAATGCGTGGTCGCGGGTTTGCTTCCGCCAAAATTGGATCACTTGCACCCGCTTCATGGCTCTCGGTGATCATGTTCCATGTCATCCTCATCCTCATTCTCATCGTCCTCATGATCGTCAACAACAACGACAACAACAACAACAACAACACCAACAACACCAACAACACAACAACCACAACCACACAACCACAATCACACAACCACAACCACAACCACCACGACGACGACGACGTCGTCGTCATCATCATCATCATCATCATCTTCATCATCATGAAAAACCCTGCAGGTATCGTAGCCCGTCTTCGAGTAAATTCACCAGCATGTAAACCTCAAAGGTATAGTACCCCGTTTTCAACCAAGTGCAAGCACTTGAAAACCTTAAAGATGCCGCAGCCCGTCTTAGATTCAGTGCAACAACATGTAAAACTTAGACGACTCGTAGTCCGTTTCGGGAACAAGCGCGACAATCCGTAAACCCTACAGGCGTAGTAGACCGCAAGGGTGCCGTAACCCGTCTTAGAATATCATAAGTGCAACAACATGTCAACCCTAAACGTCCCGTGGCCCGTATTCAAGGTAAATGCAACAATATGTTAGCCCTAAACATGGCGTAGCCCGTCCGCAAAGAAAGGGCAACAACTTGCAAACCTTAAAAGTGCCGTAGCACGCTTCAGAGTAACTGCAACCACACCCGTGCTGATGACGCATGAGACGCGAAATCCGTGATGACGCAAGTCGCAAGTGATCCAATTCGTTGGGCGTGGGCGATTCCTTGGTGATCCGGTGATTGCTCGTAAGTGATGCCCTTGCCATCACGCGTGGTAAGGGCAGGATCATATTATGTGGTCATTTAATGAGCCGCGTTGTACATCAACGCTCTCAATCTGTTGCATCGGCTGTCTAGGATCGAACACGGTGTAGAACAAGATTCCTTTATCCCTTGGTGCCGTTTGAGGGTTTCGGAATTGCAGTTTCTTCATGCATGCTCATGTGCATCAACACACCCTCATCAACCAAACCAAATTTGGCACGTGCAACCTGCGTCGAACAATGCAAAGCGTATGGGATTGCAATGGATTGAAGTTTGCTAGACATTTTTCGCGCTGATACACGGATACAGCGAGCACGCGCTTACAAACCCCAATCCCAAACAAGCTGCAGCAATCGTGAGTTATTATCTTCTTATTCTTGTACAGATGTGTTTGTCCCGGGCATCCTTGGAGTTTGACATCTAAGTTGGTTGTGCCCGTATACTTTCTCAAATAATGATCCCGATGCGCGACTACGGGCGGGGATGTTGAAATGCATTTCGATTTGAAATCCATGTGGCGATGGGTTGTAGTTGCAACGATGTGGACGATAGAGCACCACATGGTTCAACCATGTTCAGCCCATCTTCAACCGGTCTCCATCGAGACAATTCTAGCGGGCAAACAGCTGGCGAAAAAACGAATTCATCACTGCAACAGCTTGCGTAGAGGGAACGGATTCCGCGCATCCCAGCGTGCCATCACCACCAAAGTAGCGTGCATTGCCAATTTAAACCAATGACAACTTGCCAAATGCCCTCCGTCCACCTTATCGCAAATCAAGGAAAATGCGCACAGCTCGCTATCCGAAGAAAACCGTAGAGTTAATTGAATCGGCTTAAACTCTGGCAGCAGTAGAAGCGGAGGCCGTCAAAAATCTGACATCGAAAACAAAGAGCGCCGAGCGTCTCGAATGCCAACACTTCTTGGCATTATCCGTGCTTACACTGCGTCGTCAATTGACACATTGATTCCATATGCGGCATGCGGAATGGGAAGGAACCCGTCCAACAAACAGCCGACCCCTAACCTCGAGGAGGCAAAAAAACAAATTGTAAGCAACCAATGTCCGTCCATCATTGTGTCGAAACCTATTGAGGTTAAAGATCCACAATGTCCATTCAACCATGAAGGTCTTGTCGGGATTGTATTTTGCTCTTCGCAAAGATATGGAAGCGGCCTAATTCAAACACTTGTCACCAGACTGGTGCTCAAAAAAAATTACGCCGGCAAAAGGCCTCAAACAGTGTGGGGGGTAGGAAACCAATGCACCAGATACAAGCAACAATAACCATGGAAGAGTAACGGGTCAGGTTAAACATGATCGCAACTGCAGCCGCAGGACTTTCTATGTAGGTCTATATAGAGGAACTCGCAACATCTTCGGACAAGGACTGGCTTGGAGCATTCCAGAAAATTCTTCATACCAGCGCCAACGTAGATGATCTTAAAGATCTTAATGCATGGAAGATTTCAAGGGAATCGCCACAAGATCTTCACACAAGGACGTGCGCCAGACGTTGGCCAAGATCTTCATGCCAGACCCCCTAGTAGCTGGAGGGGATCTTAGGGTGTCCTGATGAGTTTTCACAAGCACGTCT